AGAGACGGGCAAGCAGTTTTTCTGAAGGCAGACAGGTTACAGTGGCTGATAACCTGACCCTTTCTAAAAGCAAGTAAAAACTAAATAACATTGGTCTTAAATTGATTGCACATAAAAGAAGTTAAAGAAAGGAAAACTTTTTAAGGGGAAATCTAAAATTTTCAATTAAAATCAAGTACGAGTACTTCCCACTGTGCGGTTTCCATGAGGCAGACAGGTGGAGGCGAGAAGCAGAAATAGCAAAATGGAAACAAAACGCTGGCTTTGATCGCTGGCTTTTGATAAGCGTCAATGACACAGACAGTGCAAAGGATATGCCCAGGACCTGGTGAGCTGGGTAGCTGGGTAGCTAGGTATCTGGGTATCTGAGGGAAAGGACCTAGTTGCTGCTAGCAGTGAATCAGATTTCGCCACTCTCTCTCTCTCATTATGCATTATACATTGTGCATTGTAACCAAGTTGAGCTGACTCATTCAAGCCAGTCGCCGGGAATTCGGGCCAACTGCAAGAGGGGGTGTTTCTACGGAACAGGTGACTTTTCTTTGTCTAACCGCAAAACTGGAGCACCGACGATGCTGACCAGGCACCTCTAGTCCACCCTCATCACTGAACAATGCACTGGGATAAAAAAAAAATAAACGTGGTTATATGCCTTTTTGTGTTTAATCGTTAAAACAGATATCTGCCTTTAAGGGACCAATGTGGACTGTAACTTAGTAACTTAGTTTTAGGAATAGTCGGACAAGAACATTGGATTAGCTAATTGTTTTTCTCTCTGTGTGCCAAATGCGATTAGACCTCTTCCACTGCATACTTTCAGGCAGTAGCAGGAAAATGACTTCTTGAAACGGCGAAAGCTAAAAGCAATAATGTGAAAGAAACTAGAATTCGAGTGGGGCAACGAGAGAAGAGAATTAGCATGCAATAACAATGAGGAAGGTGTAGGTGTATGGGCTCGGCTCTGTTCTGTTCTGTTCTGCTGGGTTGTCGAAAAAGAGGGGCGTGAGGTCGTCGTCGGGCATGACTAATATGGGTCTCTCGCCTCTCGTTCTTCGGTGAGGTTAAAGTCTTTTGGGGGTAGTTCAAAGCCGTCGGCCACTGCTATTTTTTTTTTTCTCCGCGTTTTTATTCGTATTTCCCAGTTAAGTTACTGTTGCTGCTGGTGTAATAGTGTAATGGCGTGCCGACTGGCGGCAGCTTGTAGGTGTTAAGTAATGACACACATACACAGTGGGTTAAGAGGGGGGGTGGCATTAGGGTTATTCGCTGAGGTCGCCAATTATCGGGGACTTCCACAATGCGTATGGGATAAGCCCAAAAATGTAACTGTAATTACAGACTAATTGGGAATCATTCTAAGAGTGACGTTTCGATTTAATTAATGAATATAAAAGCAATATTTATGAAATTAAGTTTTTGTCCTAGAAAATATGTTTCCGCAGGCTTACCAAACTATTATATAGCCCACAAAGCTATTTAATGGGAAATTGAATAAACGTACATGTGTGCTTAAAGGTTAATCTTAACCTTTCTTTGCATTTCTCATTTATTATTTTCGCCAGGACGTGCCCTGTAAATAGCAAGTCGCCTGGATTTTTATGGTCGTCGCCTGGTAACAGGCTGTGCAGTCATGAATTTTACCTTACATAATTGAACAAGCATTCGGCGGAACAAGGATATAGTTTGCAAAACACACAGACACATATGCAGAATGGTTTATACTCGTATGCATGCACAAGCAACAGCTAAAAAGCCGCTCACCAACTGCAGGCGAAATTCATTGCATACCTTTCGGGGTCCTGGAGTCTGGAATTCCCTGTGATGAAAATCCACAAACAAAAGTTGTTCACTTGCCGGGTTTTACACTCAAACAAAAAATATATGAATATAAGAATGAATGGAATCACAAATAAAAAAAAACATTAGAGAGGAACATCTTTCGGTGTAAATTTCGGACGTTATTCCGCGACTAGTTCTTCCAGCACTCTGTCCCTCAGCTGTTTTTCGGTTGATTATTTGCTAAGAACTCAAGTGAAATTCGATTAGACGCGATAACCGTTCTCGGCGCCAAACGAACGCCAACTGAACTTATCAGTCACTCAACTGAACAGCGACCCGGCCAACAACTACAGCTGCAAAATCCGTGTATGTATACGTACACGGTCGGTCTGGGTGTGTGTGTTCGTTGGTATTGGTGTTGCGACGACAACGAGCATGCAACAACAACATGTTGGACCTCGCACACACACACACTCGGGCAAGTACAGTAGTCAATGCATATGCATATACATTAGCTTAAAACTATCTTGAATATTAATTTTACTTACTTTTTAAGTTCTCTAAGCTCTTAGGCAGATCATTTACCCATTTCGAAGTATATTTAGTAGCATTTCCAAAATAACTCTCTTTTCAAGGGATAACTGTATTTCGGCACACACACACACATACAGACAGAAGAGAGCCGACTGGTGGACTATTGTTGACTGCACATTTCCTTTATTGCTTTTGCTTCTGTTTTTACCCCAGCAACCCCTGCTTCGCCCCCCAGCTTCTGGCTCTTTCTCTTCCGGAAAAAGCAAAGGGGAAGTGCAGGGAAAATGGAGAATGGAGAACAGAGAACCGAATACAGAGAAAAGCAAAGGAACTGGAGGAAATCCTCGGCCAACTGCAGTCCATACATACATACTCGTGCATACATACATATATACAGAGTGCAGCGTAAGCTTTTTGGGTTTGGGCATGCTAATGGGGTCAGCAACACCACGCCCACCACGGCTCGGCCCCTTTACAGCTGCGATTGTTGTGGCAGAATGCAAAATTGATCAATTTGGGCGTCAAGTCTGGCAGGGACTCTCGCTCTCTACCGCTACCTCTGCCTCTGCCTCTGTCTCTGTTTCTGTTTCTGCCTTTGATGAGCCACAAAGCCCTCGTTCCCATCCGCCAAGTTGGATTTTCTTTCCGCCCATCATGTGCAAATATGTATAATTTATGCCCACTTCCCGGGGACTTGAAAACCAGACAGGGAGGCGAGCATTCGGCTATCGCCCGAACGCCCTAATTGTGTTGGCAGTCATAATGCAATTGAAGGGTTAACTGCTGGCCATCGTGTCAGTGGAGGGTGCACTTTGTCCTTCCAACCAGATATCGAGTGAATATCCAAAATCTCTTTAGATTTGAAATCCCTTGAGGACTTATCAAACGGTACGCTGGGGAAAAAAAATGATATCTAAAATTGAAGTTAAATTTCTGCAATAGCAATTAAATCATTGAAAATTTCCAACAAGTAAATCCTTATTACTTTACCAAGAAGGACCTTGCCAAAATATGTTAAAAGGTTAACGAAAACCGCACTAGATTAAAGGAGGCCTGGAATGCACGGTAAGAAGCCGGCACATACTGCTCCCATACTTGAAGAGGATTCGGAAAAGACCACCCACCAACCGACCCACTTCCATTGTGCTTGCATGTAGGCATCCTCCCCCGTTAAACCATCCAACTACTGCCCCCCCTCGAAAAGGCAGAGTTGCCACATAATTCGATTACCATACATATACATGCAATCGCATGCAGTGCGCATCTGGTTTTGAATAAAAGTGTAAGTCCCACCCACTCACCAGCAGCTCACCCATACTCCACCTAGCATCCAAGTGGGTGTGCCACGCACCGCCCTGATGGATGAGTCGCAGCGTTAAGTGGCGTTAAATGGGGGAATCGGGTAGCAGGGAAGCTACTGCGTTTGCATATAAACACAGAAACAGACACAGCAAGAAAAGTCTACTTAATTTTCTTTTAGATTTACTAATATTACTTTTTAACTTATTACTTAGTTAAATCAATAAAAAAAAGATCCAAAGAACAAAAATTTATGTACTTCTTACTACATAATTTCAGGCACTTTCGTTTGGTTTTTAAGGTCTTTAAAGATCATTAATTTCTGTTTTCCATATTTACCATAAAAATATATAAACAAAATCGCTTCTAAGCTATCTAGCATTGGATTTAATATGTCATGGAATTGGACAGAAATGAACAGCTTAAAAGAGATTGAGAGAAACCATATAGAGATGATGGAGAATAGGATATAAGAACACTTTTTTAGTCAGAGACACTTTAATGTGTCAACCGCACGACTCGTAGACATGGTCAAAGGGTCACTGTGGGATTGCGAATTGTGAGAGGTTGGATTGCGATTTGTGTATTGCAGAACGCAGACTGGGTGGACGAGGACTAGGACGACCCAGTGGCCAGGTTGGCCAACCGAACGGATGTGTCGATATGCGCATTATTCCTCAAGGGTCCTTTGCTCTCCACTTTCGGTGCCACACTATTGTGGCATTGCCATTGCTATTGCCGTTGCTGTTGCTGTTGCTCCACTTCTTCTACCACTTCCATTTCCACATCCACTTCCTGCACGCCCACTCGTCCAGATCACACTCAGATTCGCATGTACGCCCACACTCCCATAATATAGCATACATATATGGCCCGATTTTTAGGGCAGTTTGATGCACTGAACAAAATAAATAGCAAATTCTAGCTTTGTTGATATTTAAATAAGGATTTTCCTTATGAGATCCTACTACTTAAATTGATATTGTAAAAATGGAATTTACTATTCACATTTAAAGAAAGACTTTCTAATAATACGAGTACTTACTACGGTTCGCGAGAGCTCCAAAATTATTTTCCAGTGCTGGCCAACCACATTTTCCCCATGGCTTGGCATCCTTTTTTGTAGCGAGTTAATTGCATCAGTCGCGGGCATCGAATGCACCGACAGTGATTGGAATTATGCTGTTGCATTAAAAATGGAAATTCAGTGTGCGTCATAATGCCATATACTGGTATATACTGATATATTCCATAGATACATTCCTTCCCCCCAATAGAGCATTCAATTACACAAAATGCTTCCCCTTGACGAGGAGTGTGAAAACGAAAATGAATATGAATTTGAGTATAGAACAGGGAATGTGGAATGTTGGTTGTGTAAACTCTTCTTTTTAAGCGTAGTATATATATTTACATAGACCCAAGCCCAGCTGGGAAATGGAACAATAAAAAAAAAAACAAAAGTACAATAGATGGATGAGCCTAATCCGATTTTCATATTCACCAGGACTGGGCAATCCAATCACTATTTCATTATGGGATTATTAAATATGAACTCAGTAGAGTTTATGGAAGGATGCAAAGGTAAAATCCTCTTAAGAAATGTGAAAATCGTTAATGGCTCCAATGATTAAGGTACAGTTGTGCGCACAAAATATCTAATCAATTTCGAGGGAACGTAAACTTTGGGTAACTCCAGCCTCGCTCGACTTTCGCTGTCCGTTTTTTCTGGCCTTGTTTATCTGCCAGTTTTCCGCATCCATCAGATAGTCCCTGCAAGAGTACATTTTTCAGATCAATATAATTACATAGAAATATTTCTTGATTTTACTTACCTCTGCTCCTTGAGCAATTGCATCCACTCTAGCTTCAGGTCGGACATTTTGCCCGCCTCGCCGCCGTACTCCTCTGGCAGCATGGAGCGCGGAAAGTGACGATATGGAGTATCCGCATCCGGCAAATGGAAGTGAATTAGCTTAAAGACCTCTCCCTTAATAAACGGCTTGACCACCGCCATCACTTTGTCCACAAACGAAGGGCAGTTGAGCACATGGATCTCCTTAAGCCGGACAGGATGGGCCTCTTGGACGAACTTCATGTATACACGCAACGCACCTAAGGCTGTCTTAGTGAGGTGGCGCAGCGTATAGCCAGCCATGTCGAAAACGGGTATCTCCCCGTCCGACAACCGCTCTTCATCCTCCGTCGCAAAACGGCAGTCTGCCACCATGAAGAAGACCTTGATCGCAGCCGTAAAGTTGAACTGTCAAAAAAGATGTTCTTCATGAGAAAATGAGCATAATAATGGGTATATATTTTAAGCTGCCAAAATATCTTATTAAAGATGTTGTATATATTATATTATAGAGAAGATAAGCACTTACCTTGTCCGCGTCAAAGTCAATAAGGCGATAAAAGAGCAGCTTATTGTTCTCCGGGGTCAGGCCGGGCAACGGGACCAGATCTCTGCGAGCGTAAAAGTCAGGGAAAACGGTTAACATAATTCTGGGTAACCCATTAAAGTATCCATCCGAGCCAAACCGGTTGGCTGCCTGATATTGCAAGCCAATGCACTTTGAACGAGTTTATACACTAAGCGAAAAAAAGTCACTAAATTCAGAAAAGTTTACAATTTCTAAGCCCAAATCAATCTAAGCTAATTACATGGTTGGAAAATCAAACAATATTTCCAATTCCACAGGAATTTCAGCTAATTAAAAGCTGATTGGTCGGCCGCCACTAAAATCAAAGTCTCAATTAGTGTTTAATGTCTGTATTAACGTGTTTAGCTGGCAATAAGTTTGTGTTATGGCTTTTTTTGCCGGTACTTATTTTTATAGATTTTCTGGTGGTTGTAAACATTGGTTTTGCCCGTTCATTGTGATTTTCCACAATTGAATTACTTTTTTTTAGGCATTTTCGGCAGCTTTGTTTGAAATTTCAATTTTAATTTTGTAATTATTTTTGCATTTAGCTAACTTATTTAGTTGTTAAACACGTTTAACTTGGTAATAAACATTTTTAAGGCTTCAAATTTATTACCTTAAGCGCAGACTTTTATTTCCTTTTTTTTTTTTTGGGCATTAACTTAATCACTTAAACAATGGCTTTCAACGTAATGCACATTAATTTCATTTTGTTGTATTTTCTAAACTTAAATGTAGTTTTAAAACTGTTTTTTAAGATGTACCTGGATTGGAAGGACTATGGTCCTACTGATCTTGACCTTCGTTATTGTATCTTAATAATGGTGGAAAATGATTCAATGACTACCCCTTGATCCCAACTCTAGACACCCCATATATCTTGGTACTTACGCGACTTGCAGAAGCTGCTGAGAACTGTCGTCCAGAGGGTCACGATCGATGAAGATGTGGGCATGTTTGTTTCGCAGTCCATAGTTGAGTTCCAAGAGGCGTTGGGCGGCTGATGGATCGCCGCGCGTCGTGTGCAGAAAACGTCGCAGAAGCAAACGGGCTGCGGGCAGGGATACAGATTCAGGTGAGTACAGGAAGAGGCAGAGGCATAGGCACAGGTAGAGGTGCAGGTGCAAGTGCATTCACAAGACACTGCGCTATGATGGTTATGCAACTGGCTGCGGTTCCCATCGCTGTTGACCCACAACCAAAGTTGGCCAAGCAAACGATAATTACACAGTTAAAAATGTATGTAACCTAATTAGTATCACTATTTAAATTATGATAGTTAGTTAAGCCCTAAAAAAATTGCAAAGCTTTTACCAGATATATACGATAAATATATATTATATATTAATAATCCACTAAAAAACTCCCATTTTAAAATCAGATAAGTTAAAAACTTGAATTATTATTCAATAATATAGCCATCCAATGAGATCCTCAAGTTATGATCAATATTTCATGGCATATTTCGCGATAACCCGAAATCGATTTCGAAATTAACACAATAAAAAACAAAAACAAAAATAAAATTTTAATTTATTTTCAACATTTCTCTCGGTGATATTCGCGAGGAAGATGAAAAGTGGCTTTTTGCGATCTGACCCACTTTGCCAATACGAACATACATATATTCTGCGGCAGTTGGGGCTGCGATTTAAGCCACTCCTGCAGCTCCGAAATCCGTTTGGCCATATGCTGATCCTCGTTTTTCTCGTTTAAGTGCACCATTTTACAAAGTTACAATTAACCGTTACACCCACAAGAACTATCGGACTTCCGCGAGCAAAAGCAAGAGCGAGATGGTAGTATCTATGCGAGACAGCGCGTCTGTGCGACGCTAATTCGCGACTGCAACTGAAGTCTGATTGGAACTTGGATTTTTTTTTGGCTTTTCGTTGGAGTCGCTCTGCTACTGAAGCTCTGCTTATGCCAGCGTCGCTGCCTCTGCTGGCATCGCAAATAATAAGTGCTTGAATAACAACGAAAAGGGGGAGGACATGGGGGTAAGTCTGGCAACTTGCTGTGCGATCATGCAATCGTGTATTTACCGTTCGGCGTTGCCATCTCGCTTTTTAAGGGAGCTATAACAGGAATGCTTTCCATGCTTTATAATGGAAAGCTTAAAATCAAAATTATAGATGAAGAAAATCCTGTTTATTTAGAAGATATAAAAATAATATAATTATTGGTTTCTATAACCACTATTATTGCACTTTTTTTTGTTTTACTTTCTTTTCATTATCTGTAGATTTATATTTTCTATTGTCTTAAATCAATGATCTACATTTGATTTCATTAATTAAGTTTTGTTTTAGCACATATGCTAATTTTTCTACACCCAAAAAAATTATTGAATTTTAGTAATAGTATCTTTATCAGTTGGTATTTTGTAAAATATTTCATTTTACTTGCATGGCTAAAATCAAAACAAAAAAAACTCCCCATTCATCCGGCATTGTGTAATTTCCACTATTGACTTTACTGTGTCAGAAGGTCGAAAGCCGCCAGGTGTATTGACTTTGGTTTTTGCGTGTGCGTATTGCGTGGGTGCTGTGCGGTTTTTCCGGCTTTCCACCAATCGGTTTAGGCCATTGCCGTATTGCCATGTTTGGCAGCATTTTTTCCCCATTTACTCGTTCAGTTTGTGTTTTTTTTTTTATTTTTCTTTAGTTTTATCGCGACATTGGCAAACAATTTTCGGCAAGGCGAAGTCGCGCTCCACTTGTTATGCTGCTCTGCTCCCGGCCAACCTGGCCAACTCAACTGGCTTTGCTTCGAGTCTTGAGTCGGACGTGTTTCGCAAGTTAAACCCAATTCAAAACCAAAGCCGAACTATTTACAACCACCGACCACTATGAAACGGCGACAACAAAGCATGAACATGAATTAAAACAAAACTGTCAAAAAGAAGCAGAAGCAGCGAAAGCGAATTTGGGTACATATTTTGTTGTTGGCCCACAGAACGCAACACAGTCAACTGAAAAGTTACCTCTGCGATCGTATTACCATACGAGTTTTTACAGTCAAACTTCTGAATTGAGCTAATCTTAAAAATGTCGTCCTTTAAAGTGATTTTCTTCATTATTTAAAACAAATAATGAAAATTATTTAGTCATATCTAACTATACCTTGTAGATTTAACAAATACTCATACGACATGTTGCCACTATATAAGTGGTAAATTAAGATAGGCCTATTTAACAATGTAATTAACTAATGTGTCTTAAAAGTTGTTAGAATCTTTGACCATTTGAAATCGATTTAAACCCTTAAATTTACACCTATAAATATATCATCCGACGGGACGTACAAAAAAGTTTAAATTCCTAAGGTGAATAACACATTTTATAATTTTGTTTTATTTTCTCGATCATGCTTTCGTGTAGTGCAGACGCGTTTTTGCATTGCTGCGGATTTCATTGTGTAGAGTCTATGGACAAGTCCACGTTTGTGGCAAAGCGTAATTCTTTTGTGAATTTCTACGAATTCTTGGTAAAAAGTCAATGGACAAGTCCACATCTGTGGCAAAATAAATCCCCCGATAAATTGTTTCAAAAAGTCGCTGTCAGTGCTCCCACGACCCGTTAGTTGTGCTCGTCGCGAAAACAAGTTGAACAGTTAGTCAGAACAAGTGGAACAATAAGAAGACGAAAACGAAAACAAAATCACGATCGATCGATACAAATTAAAAAAAAAGAGATTAATAAAATAAAAATTTAATTCACCCCTCGGCGGGTCTGAGCCAAGTACGTCCCGGCTGAGGGGCTTGCGCTTGCCCCCTAGGCTACGATCAGTGCTTGTCGCTGTTGGGATAAGCGACCATCTAACAATCCAGTCGGTAAAGCAGTGCACGGAAGTGCCTAAAATCGTACAATGTCTCGCCTTTCAGACTCCGAGGATGAGCTAAACATAAGAAAGACTGTAGCACGTCATCAGCAAACAATGAAAGAAGCGTTAAATAACTTCAGCCGAATATATGCTTCTACCTCAAGCGCCAAGCCATTACCATCATTCGACGAACGTGAACCGGAATTATCAGCCATTAACGGCGACGACGAAGACTGGTGGACCCCAAGATCGACTAACAACAAACGTCGCCTCGAATCAAGATCACCGAATAAAGTCAGCAAAGTTCAAAGAAACTCGAATAGCCCTAAAACCATTCTTCCAGCTAACCGTTTTTCTGAATTATCGGACATCGACACTGACATTGAGGTGGCAGGTTCTCATCGACCGACCAGACCTATTGAAACTCCTAGTACGTCTGCCGGATTAAGGCAGGCTGCCAACAAAACTTCTTCTTCTTCATCAACTAACAACAACAACAGCAAAAATCCTTCTGGATGCCAGGAACAACCAGCCTCCCACAAGCCACCCCCTATTGTGGTTAATCATTGTGAAAACCTAAATGGTCTCATAAGATCAATAGACAAAATTGTTGACCCATGCAAGTACTCATTAAAATGCCATCCAAATAACTCTGTATCTATCCTAGCAGTAGACTCTGATGCGTACAGAGCTATTACTAAATCTTTAACAGCCAAAAAAGTGCCGTTCCATTCGTGGCAACTAAAAGAAGAGAGATCCTACCGTGTAGTTATCCGTGGTATCCATCATTCTGTACCCGATGACAACATTAAGGAAAGCCTTACCTCAGCTGGACACACGGTTCGGTTTGTCAACAGACCTAGGAGCCGATTTGACAAAACACAGTTTGTCAACTTGGTTTTTGTCGAGCTAGAACCGGCGGCTAACAACAAAGAAATTCATGAGGTCAAGACTCTTTGTCGGCAACGGGTTCAAGTTGAGCTCCCTTATAAGAAGGATGATGTCGTGCAATGCCACCGGTGTCAAGCATTTGGGCACACCAAGAATCACTGCCAAAAACTCCACAACTGCGTCAGATGTGGCTTACAGCACGGCCTGGAGGCGTGCTTAAAGGATGTTCATCCGGTCAAGTGTGTGAACTGTGGCGGCAACCATACAGCTAGCTATAAAGGTTGTATTGTCTATCAGCAGATTGCAAGTCGGCGGAAAATTAGTACATCAAGGCGTACCACCACTCTCCAACAGCAACCTACCTCCATTCCTCGGACAAATCCTGTATTTCCGAGCTCCTACGCTAACGCTGTCCGTGGACAAACTAGTTATCCCACACCCACTCAGAGCCAACAACAGTTTCCTCCGCTGGGCAGCAATAACAGGAAACAAAGTCCGACTCTTCATCACAATGCACCACCTCGACAGGAGCGGCCGGTGCCCCAACTACAGCAGCAACAAGTACACCCACAGCAATCTCTACTCCAACAACAGCGGCGCACCACGCAGCAGTCAGTCAATGATATTCAATGGCAACGTCAAGAGCAAATGTTCTTGCAATCGAACGAAAGACTGTCGGTCCTTGTAGCTCAGTTTGACAAGATGTTCCAAATGATGGTGTCGATGATGGGTCTTGTTTCTAAATTGCTACCACAACACCCTCTAGGAGGAGCTGAAGCCTTCGCTGGATCTCTCCCGGTTCATGTAACGCAACCATGAGTCAAATCGGCCTTAACATTGGTGTGTGGAACGCTGACGGTCTCACTAGCAAAGCCCTTGAGCTAGAGCTCTTTGTTCAAAGCCATGATATTGATATTATGCTAGTTAGTGAAACACACTTTTGTTCAAGGTCATATTACAACTTGCATGGTTACGATACCCATCAAGCGAACCATCCTGCCGATCGGAAACGCGGTGGCTCTGCCATAATTATAAAATCCTGCCTTCAATGTTACCAGTCTTATAGTTTACAAAGTCCAAATATTCAATGTGTCTCAGTTAAAGTCAAAACCGTCCTTGGTGAAATATCTATTGCGTCTATTTATTGTCCGCCTAACTTTCAATGCTCTACCGAAGACTTTGAAAAACTCTTTGACGATCTGGGAACAAACTTCATAATCGCTGGTGATTGGAATGCCCACCATCGACTCTGGGGGTCTCGAAATTCAACCTCCCGCGGAAGAGCGCTCGCGGAACTTGTTCAAGGATCAAATTTCCAGGTCCTTGCAACTGGAGGACCCACACATTATCCATACAGCCAGAATTCGCCAACAGCCATTGACTTTGCAGTCTACAGAGGGATACGCCCGGAGAGTCTTTCTATTACAGAATATTTCGAACTGAGCTCTGATCACATTCCACTAATAATTTCATTAAGAGTCGCTGCGTTAAAAATTAGTCGGCGGCCTCAAATTCTTCCTCGTAATGCAAGTGTTCCGCGGTTTCAGGCGGTAATTAACAGACTTGTTAATCTCAATATGGTGCTCAACTCCCCTGAAGATATCGACGATGCAGTTGAAACTTTTGCTCGGAACATTCATATCGCTGCGGAATAGTCAACCTACGGGCAAGTCTCCAAACCTTCCAATCCATCTCAGGCACTTTTAAAACCTGAGATTATGGACTTGGTAAGGCTGAAAAGATCATTGCGCCGTAGATTTATGAGGTCCCAAGATCCAGTCGACAAAAGAGCATATCGACGTACTGAAGACGAGCTTAAAAAACTCCTGCGTATAACCAAGCGTGAGTTCTTTGAGGAAATGCTTCTCAATGCGGACCCCAGCAAACCTTACGGCTTCAATCTCTGGAAAGCTACAAGGAAATTAAAAAGGCAGCCTCTTAGGAAGATCCCAATTAAGAAAACAGACGGTACATGGTGCAAATCAGACTCAGAGATCTCATTAGCTTTTGCCGAAGAACTAGAGCAACGCTTTCAGCCATTCAACCTTGCGAGCTCGGAGGATGTCGCTGACACTCGGGCCTTTCTCAACTCTCCTGCTCCGGATGCACTCCCCATAAAGCACATAAGTCCAAAAGAGGTTTGCCTCCATATTCAAAAGCTACGCTCCAGCAAGGCGCCAGGATTTGATGGCATTGATAGCAGGGTTGCTAAGGCTCTCCCTAAAAAGGGAGTCCTGTTTCTTGTTCTCATTTTCAACTCGATGTTACGTATCCACCACTTCCCGTCCCAATGGAAGTGTGCCGTGATAACGATGATTCCAAAGCCAGGAAAACCGGAGAACCTTGTTGGATCATACAGGCCGATAAGCTTACTACCTACGTTCTCTAAAATATTCGAGAGAATATTCCTTAGTAGAATTATGGGAGTAAGAACCATACAGGACGCCATTCCCGACCACCAGTTTGGTTTTAGGAAGCAACATGGGACTCCTGAGCAAGTCCATCGAGTTGTGCACCATATTCTGAATGCCTTTGAAAACAAACAATACAGCTCTGCTATCTTCCTCGACGTTAAGGAAGCCTTTGATCGCGTGTGGCATGATGGCCTGCTGTATAAGCTGAAATCTCTTCTCCCGACTGCCCAATTCCTCTTACTTAAATCATATTTACTTGGTCGAAGTTTTATGGTTGAAGTAAGAGGAGTGAGGTCAAGCATAAGATCTGCTCGTGCTGGGGTTCCACAGGGGAGTGTCCTGGGTCCCGTGCTGTATACTCTGTTCACTTCTGACCTGCCTTGTCCGAATGAACCAAACACACTTCTGGCCACCTACGCCGATGACACGGCGTTCCTAGTCAACTCCTCTTGCCGTATCGAGGCATCAAGAATCACCCAGGAATTTCTGGACACATACGGCAAGTGGACCAACAGGTGGAACATAGCGATTAATGGAAGGAAATCACAACACTGCTGTTTCGCTTGGAGAGTGCAGTCCCTTCCGGAGGTCAAACTTCACGACGACATCATTCCGCAATCATCACAGGCGCAGTACCTGGGCCTCATTTTAGATAAGCGCCTCACGTGGAGGCAGCATACTTCGAAAATAGCAGCTACTTGTCGTTCCAAGCTTAGGAAACTCTACTGGTTGCTTAAGCCAACGAGCAAGCTAAGCCTAGCTAACAAAGTGCTACTGTACAAATCAATTGTGGTGCCCTCGATGATGTACTGCATCCAACTATGGGGCTTGGCTTCGGATTCTAACGTCATGAAAATTCAAAGGGTTCAAAACCGGGCGTTACGCATGATTGCAAATGCGCCTTGGTACGTCAGAAACAAAGCTCTAGAAGATGACCTCCACATTCCCTCTATTAGGGAACAGATAAACAGGCACTCGAGTCGGTATAACGATCGTCTCACAGCTCACACAAACCACCTAGCCTCCTCGCTAGCTCACACTACTATAAGAAGACGTTTAAAGCGAAGGCATCCAGCCGATCTCTGGACAAGAGGACGCCAAATTTCTCGAGTCCTAAAGCAGTAAATTTAGCATTAGCATTTAGCATTGATCTCTAGTTATCTAGTTATAAAAATTTGTTAATTTCCTTCCTGTTAGGTATTTATGTTATTTTGTTCTATGTAGTACTCAACGTATTATAGCCATTAAGTTGGCTGATTGACGTTTAATAAATATTAATATTGTTATATCAAAAAAAAAAAAAAAAAAAAAAAAAAATGTTTTATTTTAATGCCAAAAGTAATTACGTACGTTCACTGTTAAAATTATGGAGGTCTGACTGTATCACTCGGTGGCCAATTTAATGCAGCTGTAAATTTATTTAGCTGAAAGCAAACGCAGCAAAAACACGCACAAGTTCACATTTAAGTCTCTTGAAAACAGCTGACTGGCCTTGAACATGGAACTTAGCCGGTCCATAAATGCCATACAACAAAGACCAGACTTTGGAAAACGAAAAAGTGCTAACTACCAACTAAAATGGTCAACGTACCATTCGTAATATACATACGTGGAGTGGGGGAATTATGGTCAATGGTACGCTTCATTCTGGGGACCTTAGATATCGGGCTTAAAGAAAATTAAATTTCAAGTTAAACTTATATTTCAAATTCGTTGAAAAGCAAACAAATTTATAAATAAGATATTTATATTTCACTACACGTTTGACGTTTCATTTTAAGAATGTAACTTGTAAATTCAACTTGTAAATTTTCAACATTTATTTGGTTATGGAAAATTGAAATTCTGTACGGGCAGAGTGTCAATCAAGGCAAAGTGCATTCAGTAATAATGCACCTGCCGTTTGCCAACTTTGTTTGCATCATTTTGCAAATCAATTAGCCAGAATACTCGCACTCGCTGCTACTTGCGGTCGCAGCATCATCAATGCAAGTGGTCAAAGCGAATCGGCGGTTACAAGTCATGCAATTCGGTTGCATTTCGGCAAAGCAAAGAATGATATATGCATATTTAGATAAGGTACAAAAACCGCACATTTTAAAGCTCTGTTGCTCAAATCCCTAAGTCACCAAAGAAATATTACATATCATTGGATGTGGTGTAACTTGTGGTCTGCCGAGAAAAGGTTTTGGGCTTTTTCGAAATGTTTGCTTAACAAAATTACTTTGAAATTTTACAATTCTTCTAATGTTGATTACGGATATTTACAACATTTATGGCATGAGTCTCCGTTTACTATTATTTTTTTACACTTCATTTAAATCAGATTATAGTCTGCTCAATAATACTTTCTAAAACGATGAAAAATGGTTCATTTGTTTACGTTGAGATGTTTGCTTTACAAAATAAGTCATCAAATTGTTTTAAAAGTTATAAATATAAAATAAGATTATTTTACATATTTTAAATATTGAAAAAGGGGATTATTTAAAGATATGTATGTATGTATGTAAACACCACTAACATAAAAATATTTTTTAATCAATTTTCTAATAAATTTCTATTTTAAATTCCTTATAAATATGTTTTAAAATAACGTTTTGTTGTTACGATTCTTGTCGCGTAACGTAATACTATTACGCCAAGAAAAAAAAACGATTAGTAAATCGATGAACGCCGAGTGGGCGGCGTGTCATCGCTAGTTGAAAGTGTGACCGTACGCGTGTGGAGAACACAAACTAATGGTGGAGCAAAACGAATAAGGTAAAACTACGGAATAAAATGATCTGTCGCCTGTGTCTAAACACGCTGGACGAGCAGAACGCCGTGCTGCTGTTCGGTGGCGCTGGCGGAGCCAGTGTGACCACTCCGGAGGACGAGGACGACGGGAAGGCGATGCCGGAGAGCTACCTGGTCCAACTGATCTCGATTCACTTGTACCTCTGCGTGAGTATCTGCTGATGCTTCTTTCTGTTTGAAGCCGCCAAATAATTTGTCCGGCAATCTTCTTCAGCTCTCCCGCGACGATGCCATCTCCACCTGCATTTGCACCGAGTGCTCCTCGCAACTGGAGAGCTTCCACAACTTCTGGAAGCTGGTTGAGCTCAAACAGACGACTCTGTGCAGCCAGTTTTTGGCAATCGACTGCGATGTCAACTGGTCGGAGGAGGGCACCGAAATACAGCCGGATGGGCAGCCTATGCTTTTTGAGCCAGCTGAAGAGCCCAAAGCCGTGACTCCCACTACGGCCAATAAGTTCCCCTGCATGTTCTGCGAAAAATCCTTCAAGATGCGCCGCTACCTAGAGGAGCATATAGCAACACACACCGGCGACCGACCCATTGCATGTCCATACTGCGAGATGGCGTTCCGCTGCCGTTCGAATATGTACACCCACGTAAAAAGCAAGCACACTACACAGTGGCTGAAGGCACGCGAGGAGCGAGATGCAGCCAAGTCAGGACAGAATCACACGGCGCCAGAGGAGCCGACCTCTGCAGCCCAAGCTCCTGCTCCTGCAGTGGCTACTCCATCTATTATCACTGCAAATCATAATATTTCTGAACATCCTTCTGCAACTGTTCATCACACAGAAGCTTCTCTAAACTCACCACTTAACCACCAACAGTTGCCCTTGTCCGTAATAAAAAGCGAGCCTAGTGAGGCCATCAACCTTTCCATTACAAAGACACCACCATCCGCCAGTCGGGGCTCACGCAATCGGGCCAGTCGCCGCAAGACCCACTCACCCAAAAAGGTCCAGCACACAGAAGGCAGCGATGCAAGCGACGATGATTCTCCCCAGAAAAGACTCAAGGAGAACGAGCTCATACTGGCTAATTACAATGCAGTGACAGCGGCAGTCGTGGCAGCGGCTTCGCTCACGGGAAATCCTCCAGTACAGACGGATAGCCTGCAGCAGCGCCTGTGCGTGAGTCTCCTCCAGCAACAGCAACAGCAAGAACAGCTATTTGCAGTAATGTCGGCAACAGCTGCTGCAGCGGCGGCGGTAGGATCGAGTAGTGCCACCACAACAACAACGACGTCTACAGGGGCAATGCTCGCTCATCCTTTTGGGTAAGTTATTGGCTTATTGCAGCGGAAAGTAAGCTTATGACATAATATCCCACAGTCACCAGCCGTCAGAGGTGGAGAAACGACCATCGGCTACGATACAGGCCGTCATCCATGCCGCACCCGCCTCGGCCATTTGTCCCAATTGCGGGGAGCTTCCCGGACAGAATCATCGCTGCCTGAGCAAGCCGAAATATGCCTGCGATGTGTGTGGAAAGTGTTTTAAGATGAAGCGCTATTTGGAGGTCAGTAAATTATTTCCATAAATTTACTATATGGTTATTAACCCACTTTATCCACCAGGAGCACTTCGCCACTCATACGGGCGTAAAACTGCACACCTGCGCCTTCTGTCCCACGGAGTTCCGGTCCAAGTCGAACATGTACCACCACACCAAGCGCAAGCACAAAGCGGAATGGGAACGGTCGCGGGCCACCCGCTCGGCGGCCAAGGCGGGCATCCAGGAGCAGGTACAGCATGTCAGTCCGCCACAGGCTCAGCCAGGACCAGCTGCTGCTCTTTAGGAAAGCCAGGAGTCGGAGACAGTGCAGTCGTAGTTATAGAACTTTACAATTATATAAATATATATATTTTTTGCATATTAGCCATACAGAATACCGAATGTACTTATCCGAAGTTTCGTGTACTCCACAAAGTCCCGGCGCCTCCTCGCCTGGCACCTATTGTGTATACTCTTCTCGTTCTCTATAATGCCTTAACCAGTTAAATTGAATCTGGTTATAAAGTAAATATACATTTCAACAAAATCCTATTACGTTTACTTATTGGGAGGATTCTTTATGCTAATTGGATGTGGTGAAAATTAAGAATTCACTAAAGGATTCTTCGATCCTGTAACCCAACAATATCCAATGTCCGTAATTCTTACAAGTTTATTCAATTTAGTAATTTATACAATTAGAAGTACAATAAATTGGGGATTATGTTTAATTCAATATTTTCAGAGCGTGGCGTCTGCTGGGTATGAATTGTAGAGAGCATCTGCACATTTCACACCCCGCAGACGCCAACTCCAAAGAGAATTGCAAAAATCATAATGTTGTCCCCTTAACGCTAAGATGGGAGGATTGATTGGATTGTGTGAATAAAAATGTAAAGCCAAGGCAATAAATTTCGATAAAATTGAACTGATTGCTAAATATGTTTAAGGCAAGAATTACTAGTTTTGGTGTCTGTAGAGTGTGAATTGTGGAGAACATTTCACATCCACTAGACGTCTACTCCGTAATTTATTGCAAAACATCAGAAAACCCCCTTAACGCTAGGATGGGAGGATTGTGTAAATAAAAATGAAAGCCGAGGCGTTAAATTGCGATGATGATTGCTAACCCTAACCCTATGCCTGGCTGCTAGCTGCCCCACTGAGATTGGTGCTGCTCCACTGGAGTTGGCTGCGGTTGAGCGCGTGTCTATGTGTGCTAAAACTAAGTGTTTCGGCTCATGTCTTGGTCCTAAGGACGCTTGCTGCGCGCCTGCGCCTGCAGCAGGTCCACTGACGGCACTGAAAATACAAACGACAGACAGCCGAAACGCAGCAGGGTGCCGTGAGCCAGCACTGCCGATCCTTCCCAAGCTCCGGCCACCATGGGCGCTGGTCCGGCGTTCGTACAACGACAGGCTGGCTTCACAATGGGTGCCAATCTAAAGTGGGATGGATATTAATTACTTCCACTAAATTTGATAGTAAGACAATCCTACCGCTCCTTGCCAACTGTCTTGGGCTCAAACTGGCGATGAATATGCCGCCGCTTATCCAACAGATCGTCGACGCGTCTTTTCAGTTCCGCATCATCCGGTCGCATCCGCTTTCCAGCATGAGTGTGCATCCTATCGGTCAGATCGCAGGCGTACAGCTGCCCATTTACCTCCGTCCCAAACTCGGAGTAGTTAATCAGTTCGTACGATTTGGAGAACTCGTCGTAGAAGATGATGGCGTGCTGTGGCGAAATGCGGCAGCAGTAACCAATAGCTGAAAGGTCCACGGTCTCTGTTTGCGCCAGCGTTGTGGACGGTGAATAATGGCCACCATAGCCAATATACAACGTTCGGTACCGCATAAAAATCGAATGATCCAGCCGTAGCGAACTGAACCAGCGGCTGTCCTCCAACATGTCGCCCAAAGGCGTGATTACCGCGCGCGCCTGTACCTTGCACTGGAGCAGCTTTAACTCCAGTCTCGAGGCCAGCTCATAGGCTTTCTCTGTATCGCTTCTGGCACGCGGCATATAGCTCTCGGCAGCTGCATCCGCTGCAGCAATTGCCGCCGCGGTGGCCAAAGCGGGATGCAGTGCCATTGCGGGATCCTCGTCGGCAGCATTGCCATTTTTCTGCGCCAGTATCGAAGATGTTTCGCTGGTGAACAGCAGCGAGAAACGGTTCATATCCTCCGGCGCAAGTTGGCCTTGAAGAGCAGGGGCTACATCCGATCCATCAGCAGCTGCCAGTTGACGCAGTCGGCGGGCGGCCGTGCGATTCTTATACTGCGTCACAATCTCCGGATATTCTTCTACCAGTTGCTGCAGTCGCTGGTGCGCCAGTTTCTTTATTATGTCCACGTCCAAGTGGAAAAGGTCAGCATCGATAATGCCCGCTTTGCTGTCCTCTTCTTCCTCCTCAAAGCTTACCTCCAACTCTAGGCTGGGCTTAGTTTCCACTTTGATAGCTGACGGCTCTTCGTTAGGCTGGACATCAGGTTCTGTTTTTGGATTCTCCGAATCCACTCCGCCATTTAGTTTATCGCCCGGAGAGTTCGTCTCGGACTCCGGTTCTTCTGGGCTAGGATCGCTGTCGCTATCTCCCTCTACTGCCGTTTCCACGGTTCCATATTCCCGTTGAATCTCACGGAACTTAGCGTGAGCGGTGCGCAAGGCCTCCAAATCCTTTAGCAGCGATTCGGTGACTGACTCACGGGAGATCTCCTCAACTTCGGTGGGCAGGTTCTTACGCCGCTTCACACGATCGTAGCGCAGTGTTTGGCGCATGGAGGGTAACAGCGCCGGCGGATGCTCGTAGTGGTAGCGCACAATGGCTGGCACTTCGATGTGGGCACGGGCCCGCAAATTCGTCTTGGTGCGGAAAGGCGGATGGCGAGTGTTGACACGTCGAAAGAACTCAAGCTTGACGCTTTCATGATCAAGCGGCTGATGAAAGCGATTCCAAAGGCGTACCCGTTCCGTGGCTGAAATGCTGTTGGTCATATTGGCATCCTGTAAACACATATCCTCATTTAAATTAAAAAAGATAACTTGTATAAGAAGCGGTAAGTTACAATGAAATTTTCGGCATGGTTGGGACACATCCACAAACCAGCTGGCAGTGCCGTCAGTGGGGGATCCAGGCAATCCTGGTGGTAGTATAGTGGACAATAGTCGCAGGATATAAGCGGCGCTCGCTTGCAGGAGCGCGTGCAATAAAAACAAGTCTTTGCGGGCAGTGGAACAAGCCCCTGTGCGTCCAGCTCGAAGGGCTTTGAATTGCGGCGCTGATTGCCAGCACATTTGCGATGGGAACCATTCCCGCTTGGCGGATGCGTCTGCTGGACCGGCTGCACCTTGCCATTACCAGGAAACTGGGTGTGCAACTCTAGCTCCGGGGGCAGCGAAAACTGTTGCGGATTCAACATACTGGCCGCCCTGATAACATCGTCCAGTGGCGTTGGCTTCTTATTGGGATCGAGGGCGCGCTGTATGGCCAAGGGCATCTTTGCCAGCAGCTTCTCGGTGCTATTGCGTTCGCTGTTGCTGCGTTTGCGGAGGTTGCGGATCTTTAAAGGTATAGACTCCAGATCTCCAGAGGAAGGGGTATTGGCTCTGGATCCACTGCCCGCCGAGGGTACCCGCTCCACCGAGCTAGCCTTGGAGGAAGAGGCCGGCGGCTGGGAGACCTTTGCCATGCGACAGCTATGACACAACCACTGGCCACTAGGTATATCCTCTTCGCTTAATGGTGGATCACTACGTTACATAGAGGGATGAACTTGAGTTGGAACACTGAGAATTGACATCACTTTCTTAATATACTTACTGGCACTGCAGGTGAAAGCTGGAGGGGCATCGGTCGCAGCACAGCAGATTGCCGCCTTCCTCGCAGGCGTCGCAGTAATCGTGGTTATGCCCCCTTCCGGGTCGCCTGTAATAAGGATGCTTAGTGTTGGTGGTCCGTTGCACGAGCTTCTCGTCCTCGTTAGGCGGCGGACGGATGAGCTGCTTAATTTGCTGTGGGTAAGTAAAACAGAGACACTAATTGTACATGCGCTAATGTGGCATCTCTTGGCGGCGACTGCCAATTGGAATCGCAACACCGAGCAGGAGCAGAACGGAAGCTGCCTAGCGTCCCGGGGACGCACTTACCTCCATTATGCTCAGTGAGGCATTCGGGTCCTGGTCAACTTTTGACATTTTTCGCTGGCTCCTCTTATCCGGTGTACACAATCAATCTCGGAGCAAGCAACTCACTTCACTTGGAGACGGAGGCGGGCGACAGTATTCAGTATGCAGCCCTGCGCATCCGATTAATAACTGGTCACACTGGGCGCCCATCGATACACATTCAACGGATATTCAGTGCTGTCATCATTTCTCTCTAAATCTAGCTTCCTTCTAACGGTCACTTTAAACCGAAATACATCTATTAAAGATATGGATCATGGAAGTTCCGGGAAAAACGTGGTACACTAGATAGATTGCTGATTAATCTTAGTAGATATCTTAGAACTTCAAAATTTGTATGTTATACATTCAAAAATCAAATATCAAATAATCACTAAACTAACACTTAAAAATTAGACGAAAAAACGCTAAGGGATCACCACTGCTGGCAATCGCCCATCTCAGCTGGCCGACGACGCAATTCGCAATTTACCAAACAATATAATATAATAGTGCAATGTTTTCAATTTTTGGGAAGCGCAAGCCCACGGAAACGCCCACAGAGGATCAGCCCATCCAGGGGCCGGCCGATGGATCTCGACCGGGAACCAGTGGCGATGATTTTGTGTTTATTGAGCGAAAACCCGGACCGGATGCTCCTCAGGTTCCTTCCTCCGCTACGATGTATCCACCCATGCCTCCTGCGGGTTACCTACCCTACCCGCCTATGCCAGGACATAGAGGAGGACCAGGAGCAGGAGCGGTAAAGCTGCCGGGCGCCCAAGCACCCGTCAATTACTTGCAGGACATTCCCTTTGAGCTGGCACCCGAATTGGTCTCCAAGGATCGCTACGATAGCACTCAAATGCAGGTGGACAGCATCCTGGCATTTCTAACACGGCAAATGTCTGTTGACGAACTGGCAGACGAGTATACATTCACTCTGGAGAGATCCGTGCAGAACGAGTGTTACTAGCATTATCCCATAAATTCACTGGTTATTAAAATAAAATGGTTGCTATTTAATTGTAATCCGTCGAAAGGTCTTTTTTTATATATATATATTTTATATCTTATAAATTAGCTTTATCAAATGTTATTATGTACATAAGCATATATTTAATACACTTTTAACAAAAGAAAAAAGTAGCTTAAAATGTATTAGGGGAAATCCCGGTTTTATAACATAATTACACTTTTTATTTTCGTACCAGCCATAAACGTTGACGAAGAGAACTGGTTGGGATCCAGCAGCATCAACTTGACGTCGGAAAAAGTAAAGAAAAATATAATTTTTCCTGTATATCCAAAAGCTAGACTGCACACTACAGTACAATCCTATTATCGCTCCTCCTCCGGAGGCATTTCCGATAAAGCATATAAGTCCAAAAGAAGTTTTTCTCCATATCCAAATGCAACACTGCACACTACACTTCTACTAACGCTCCTCCTCCGAATGCATAACCGATACAACATATAAGTCCATAAGAAGTAGTCCTCCATATCCAAAAGCTAAACGCCACTAAAGCGCCGGGATACGATGGCGTTGATAGCAGAGTTGCACATTCTTCGCCTTCGTTCGTGCTGGTGTTGCACAGAGGAGGGTCCTGGATCCCGTGTTGTATACCCCGTTCACTTCAGATCTGCCATGTCTGAATGAACCAAACAACTTCAATCTAGTCGTCCAGATAATTTTCCTCGAACACATTTCAACTGGGACTATTCAAAAGTCGTTCAGCTTTCCTAACGCGAATACATAAAATTGTTAGTGCTCTCGTTTTTCCAAAATTAAACGTATAAAAGGTCTAGAATATACTTATTTTGGTTTACACAGACAGAATCCCAGCTAAATTCTTAATTTGTTTAAATTGATTGGGCCGTACTCACCACTAATCTTTAGTAATGGCCAGCTCCAATGTCTCGGACTGGGATGAACCGCTGCCCACGTCGACGGATTCGCTACCTGAGGAGGAGGATCCAGATGTGTGCGCCGAGGAGAATGTGAAAAAGCGCCAGGAGGAGAACCTGGCCAAGCTGCAGTCCTATGTGCGTCGCATGGCCTACCAGCCAGCCATGCCGCCCAAGGTTAAGCCCTATGATGTGGCTTTATCCAAGCCCAAACTGCACACTCTCATCGACAACTATGAGCAGTTTAAGGATGTCTACGATCCAAAAATGCGAGCCAAGCGTATCAAGCGGATGCTGGGAAAGTACAATGCCATTACTACTGAGTAAGTATATCAGATATGACGCTTATCTATACCGGGCGCTAACCTCCTCCATACACACAGGCAGCTGGAGGAGATCCTCAAGAGCAACAAGACCAAGGAGCGAAAGAAGGAGGACTTCCTGAAGCGCAAGCAGGAACTGTACTATAATATGCTGACCAAGCTGGAACGTCAGTGCCGCACACAGTATCTGAACGTGCTCATCAAGAAGTTTGCCAAGTTCATCGCCCACCTGGCCACTACAATGCGCATTCCACCGCAACTGGTCGATCCTTATGCACGCATGCAGCGCGGCATCTTTTGCAACATCTTGTTGGCTATCGGAGTGCAACCCACTTCCCAGTCGGCCATCTATTATACCAGCCAAGACGCCATCGAGTACGATGTGTGTCATCGGCTGGCACACGCTCTTCTCAGCCTTATCATTAAGGCCCTGGACTCGGCTGCCACACGGGATCCAAATGACTTAGCCAAACCAGCGGATATGGACTTTGAGATGGACAACCATATTAAACGGCGGCTAATGTGCGCCGCCGAGAAGAAGCTGATGTACGAGCGCCGCCGGAAGAAGCCCCAGCCTCAGGGCATTGGAGCCTTTGAAAAGTGCACCCGCTACGATTGCGACTAGAATTCGTGAACGACGGCTGTTCCAGTATATTTGTTAACCTTTGGCTATTATTTTTTCTCACTAAATGTTTTCACACAGTCAACTTTTAGCCTTTCCTCTTGTTTCTAAAGGGGTTGGCTCCTTTAGCTTGAGGCACAGCCATGAGGCTGGCACCTCAAAACTATCTGTGGGATGCACGGTGTACACCTCGCAATAGGGCACATGCCAGGTTCCCGCAACTTCGTGGACACACAACCGGTGGCGTATGGGCTCCTTGACTATGATCTGACCCGTTTGAGTTTGGGTGACTAACGAGAACTGGTGCTCCTGTTGCCAGCGCCGGAAGATGGGCTTTAGTTCGGGGCCCAAATGAAAAGCATGGCTGCGCATCAAATCGCGGGAGAAGAAGTCAGTGTCCCGACCGCTTCGCAGCGTGGCATAAAGCAGAAAAGGATCGTCGTGGGACCTGTAAGTCAAAACCAATTATTATATCTCTCCTTTTCTTTTTGACTAAAGTTATTCTTACAAATTGTTGGTGAGGAAGAGGCTGGCATTGCTCTGGACATAGTGAATTGCCTGTTTGGACCAGTTACGCATGTGTTCCCGACCGAGGACCAGGACACGTTTGTCTTGATCTCGGAAATGTCGCACCACTGTGGCGACCAGCTTGGCCAGTTGCTGGGGCGACTTTTTAGTGCCCGTAGAGTAGGCCACATTAAGACCATCGATTACACAGTCATAAGGAGCTGTCTTCTCCACATACTTTTTAAATCTGTTAACCTCCTCGGGAGTGGAACGCTGGAACACATCACGTCTTATGAGCACCCGTTCCAGGAAACACTCGCTGAGCCGTCGGAACTGCTCATCGCTGATGGCCACTGGCTGGAGGTGCTGCTGACACGACTGACACTTTCCCAGAGGTCCCAAGCCTGTGCAATTAGCCTGCAATAGGTGTGGTACTTGCTGGGCCAGCTCCTGCAAACGTTCCGCCACTCGCTTACTAACTAGAATCTCATAACGCTCGAGGAATTCCAACAGGCGTCTTAACTGGACAGGTAGTTGAGTAGTTTCTTTGGCCAGACGATTAAGCAGCGCCAAGTAGACCTCGCATTTGGGCGGCTTACGAGCCGTTGCCATCTCCTCCAGCAGACGCCAGGATAGCTCTTGATCCGACTTCTCCGCGCAAAAGGCCTTCTCCACTAGCGCGGAATAGGCGGCCAGGGTGGGCGTACTCGTGACTTTCATCATGTCAAGAAGCGACAGGGCGCCCTGCCAATGCTCGCCATCAGTAGCCACTAGTCCGTGGATCACATGCTCGCAGCTGTTGGCGTCTAGAGTTTCGTGCTCCGCTTGGAGTGTCCTACATATCTGCAAAATCTCATCCTGCTCTTCTTTGCTTAGGGGTCGTTCATGGTAAGCGGCATTGTAGACCCTCAACAGGCGACCCAGAGTAGCTGCATTTGGTTTGGAGCCCCTGCTCCGAAGAAACTCCACATAGTTCTTGGCCAACGGCAGTTGTCGTGGTTCACTGCACACGCCCAGGATCACGGCATCCACGTTGTGTCCGTTGATGTGCTTGTAGCCTTCCACCAGGGACTGACGCACTTCCGTCCACTCGGCGCTACTGAGTTCTTGGCGCCGCTCAAAAATATCACTGCGGAGCTGGTCCATCCGATCCGGGGGCAGGCTACCTGGGTGCGGACGGCGCTTGTGCTGACTGGCCATCCAGCGTGTGCGGGAATATCCGACGCCCGGAAGAATTTTACACAAGCGTCTTAAATTGTACATGACTACACATGTATGACCACACTATTCGCCGGCGACTGCTGGAATGACCTACCCCCCTACCCAATGCACCTGTATTTATACCACCTAACCAGCTGGGGGTGCTACACGCGCTTTGAGATATTTTTCTGTTGTTATGTATGGTCACACTACGGAAACAGCATGTTTACCAACCGATGTATCTAGCGAATACACTCACCTTTTGTGGGATACCCCTGTTTCGTAGTATGGTCACACTGCATAAAAGCTAATTCACCAACTTATACCCACCGTGTACACCCACCTTTCCTGGAATGTACTAAATAATAACTCCAACAGAGTTATATATTTTTGATTTGTCACGTTATGGTAATACTACGCAAAAAACTGCAGATTCACTTCATTATTTGACATTTCTGAAATAAGTTGTAGCTTAAGCGTTTGATCTAAAAGAGAAGTGTGAATACTCGAGAAAGATGACAGTGACAGCAACGCCGCTTCCCGACAATCTGCGGGTGAAAGCCTTCTCCGACTACAGAAAGAAACTGTTAGAGCACAAGGAAATCGAGGGACGCCTTAAAGAAAGTGCGTCCGTCCGCAAATATTCTTCGACAAACTCCTTACATGTCTATTTTCAGAGCGCGAGGAGATCAAGGAGCTGACCAAGCTGTACGACAAGTCTGAGAACGATCTGAAGGCCTTGCAGAGCGTAGGACAAATTGTCGGCGAGGTGCTCAAGCAGCTGACGGAGGATAAATGTGAGGTTCCGGCTTTCTAATGGGGAAATGTATTCTAATTGTTCTTTTGTCCCACAGTCATTGTGAAGGCCACCAATGGACCCCGTTACGTGGTCGGTTGCCGTCGCCAGCTGGACAAGGCAAAGCTAAAGTCTGGCACCCGTGTAGCCCTAGACATGACCACGCTGACTATTATGCGTTACTTACCAAGGGAGGTGGATCCTCTGGTTTACAACATGTCGCACGAAGATCCCGGCGATGTAACCTACTCGGCCATCGGTGGTCTTACAGAGCAAATTCGCGAACTTCGCGAAGTAATTGAGCTGCCTCTCCTGAATCCGGAGCTTTTCCTGCGCGTCGGTATCACACCGCCTAAGGGTTGTCTGTTGTACGGACCACCTGGAACCGGAAAGACTCTTTTGGCCCGAGCCGTTGCCTCCCAGCTGGACGCAAACTTCCTAAAGGTCGTGTCTTCGGCCATTGTGGACAAGTATATCGGCGAAAGTGCTCGTCTTATTCGTGAGATGTTCAACTATGCCCGCGACCACCAGCCTTGCATCATTTTCATGGACGAGATCGACGCCATCGGTGGTCGCCGCTTCTCCGAAGGCACCTCCGCCGATCGTGAGATCCAGCGCACGCTTATGGAGCTGCTCAACCAAATGGACGGCTTCGATTCGCTTGGTCAGGTTAAGATGATTATGGCCACCAATCGACCAGATACCTTGGATCCGGCCCTGCTGCGTCCTGGTCGTTTGGACAGGAAGATAGAGATTCCACTGCCCAACGAGCAAGCTAGGTAAAATATGTTGTTTTGTTTTTGCATAGAACAACAATAAATAAAACCCTTGCTCTTTTTAGGTTGGAAATCCTTAAGATTCACGCTCTGAAAATTGCCAAGCACGGTGAGATAGATTACGAGGCCATTGTAAAGCTTTCCGACAATTTCAACGGCGCGGATTTGCGTAATGTCTGCACGGAGGCGGGTCTCTTTGCCATTCGGTAAGTGATAAGGTCGTCCCATGCATTTAATTACCCACTCTAATGAAAACCTTGAACTAATTCCTTTTCAGTGCCGAGCGAGAGTATGTCATTCAGGAGGACTTTATGAAGGCGGTGCGCAAGGTGTCGGACAACAAGAAACTGGAAAGCAAGTTGGACTACAAGCCCGTCTAAGAACCACCCACCGCCACCATCCATAGATATAACCATTAACCATCTACACACATATACAGATATATATATTAAGCCAACAGGGCTGTCACACATAGTCCGTTGCTTCTTCACATGCTAATTAAATGCTATGTAAAGATTAAAGTACTGTAATTTCATTTACGTTTTTGGCTTGGATATTACCCGCACTTCGGTTGTTGCTGCTCCTCGATACGCCGCTTCTTGCGCTCTAAGTAATCGCTGACGTTGTCGAATCGTTTTTTAAACCAAACGGACAAGTCTTCGGGAATGAATGGTGGTCCACCCTCTTCTGTGGCACCAAGTCCTTCCAGCACCATATTCAGCCAGCCCTCGGGCACTCCACTTGTTGTCCGCTGGCCATTAGCAATGTCATAAACCCGCAGGCTTAATCGTTCATTCTCAGAGCCCGTAATATAGATCCGGTCGGCGGTTAAAGTAAAGTTGCTTATGTTCCAGGATCCTGCCTCAGCCCGCACCAGTTGTGTGGCCGTGACGCTCCAGGTATCGTCAGAGCCGCGCTCCAAACGATATAGTCCGAGGGCATCCACATGATCGTAGAACAGCACAGCCACCTGGTAGACCTTCTCCGGCTCCAGTTGTCGTACCAGCAGGCGAACCGCTGGGGCTGGGAGCTCGTGCTGCAACAGTTCTTTGCCCTGAATGAAGTTCCAGATGCGCAAAGTCTTGTCCCCGGAAGCGGATGCTATGTGTTGATCTGTGAGCAGGGCCAGGCCCGAGACGAACTCCCTATGACCTAGACAATAGCTGTGGATGTCGAAGGTGGCGGGGTAGTTGGTCACTCGTATCTTGTCATCCCGATCGCATGTGATTATGTGCTGCTGGTCCTCTGACCACAGAATGTCGTACACCACGCTCAGATGGCCGAGCAGCAGGCGCGGCGGGGCCTCCACCTCGACACAGTCATACTGATAGCAATCGCCCGTCTTGTCTGTGACCAAAACTGAACTGCTGTCGCTGCAAAAACGCAGGGCACTGGCTGTTCGGGCCAGTGGGCGGGTAGACAACAGGCGGGCGTTCTCCGGTCGAGTGCGGTACAGCAGGAGCGCCTTCTGTCCGCCGCTGGTGGTCACGGCCAGCAGCTGTCTATCTGGTGAGTAGGCTACATTCTGCACTGCGACGTTGGCTGTTCCAGATACAGACCCAGAGGCGGTGGCATCCGATTGCTTGGCGCCACCAGCAGCAAGCTGTTGCTCCTTGCCTGGTCCTTGACCAGTGCTTGTAGATGGACAGGATTCTTGGGATGCCTGGCTTTTAAGGCCAAGATCAGGAGGTAGCTCGATCTCCTTGAATATCTGCAGATCGTCGGGGTTTACGAAGAGCACCTTGCGGCCATGGCTGACCACCAATTCAGGTTCCTCGAAGAAAATCGTTGCCGCTTCCCTGATGCACATTTTAGTTCTCATTCAATGTGACCAGGTGTTGAGATGTTGTTGGAAATGTTTTTTATTACTAAATTATTTAAACCAAAAAAAAAAAATGTATTAAAAACCTACAAATATTTTGTTTAAATTTTATACCTTACCTCATAATTTACTATTTATGAAAATACAAATTAAATTAAAGTTTCCTGCATTCCAGGTTCCAGTTTGGTGTGGGACATTGATGTTTTTTTAAATGACCAATTAAAGTATATATGATCGAATTCATTTAATGAATTTGAATCGGACTTGGACCTTTTTGGATTTGCATTTGAAAAAAATGTTTTCTAAAAAAGATAAAAAACCAGGGCTGCAAGCGATACTGTAAAGTACGGTAACGGCCGGCGTTAATGTAAGTAACCAAACAAGGTGACGGAATCGATAACCGATAACAATAAATAGTGAGTAGAGTGAGACCTTTTTGGTGCCAAATAAAATGCTCGTAAAATTGGCTAAGTAGATTATTTGGTATTTTATTGAATGTATGCGAAAAGCAGACGGATAAAAAAGTAAAAAAAACGCAAAGCGAACGCATACAATCGCGCCCGGAACCGGCGAGGCGCAGCTCCCTGTGAGCCAATCCCATGCGAGAGAACGAGTGGGCAGGAACTGCTAAAAAAAATTTATCAATTATATAGGCCATCCTTAAGTTTTTGGGGCCATGAAGAGTGTGCTGATGGTGGCCGAGAAACCCTCGCTGGCAGCGTCGCTAGCGGGGATTCTTTCCAATGGCAGGTGTACTGCCAAAAGAGGTGAGTTCTGTATATCCCACAGAAAAATCATAATAATCCAATCTTAATCCCCTTCAGGCACCGGCAACGGCTGTTCTACGCATGAGTGGACCGGCAACTTCCGGAACGAGGGCAGCGTCCATTTCCGGATGACATCCGTGTGCGGTCATGTGATGTCACTGGACTTTATTAGCAAGTACAACTCCTGGGACAAGGTCGATCCTGTGGAGCTCTTTGGCTGCCCTACCGAGAAAAAGGAAACGAATCCTAAGCATCATATGCGCACCTTTTTGGCCCACGAAGCGCGCGGCTGCGATTACTTAGTCCTGTGGCTGGATTGCGATAAAGAGGGAGAGAACATATGCTTCGAGGTGATGGACGCCGTGCAACACGTTATACACAATGTGTACAGCAAACAGGTGACGTATCGGGCGCACTTCTCTGCTATTACGGACAAGGATATCAAAGGAGCGATGGAATCACTAGGTCATCCGAACGAGAACGAGGCCAAGTCGGTTGATGCGCGGCAGGAGCTGGATCTGCGAATTGGCTGCGCCTTTACCCGCTTTCAAACAAAGTTTTTCCAGGATCGCTACGGCGACCTAGACTCCTCGCTTATCTCCTATGGTCCCTGTCAGACGCCAACGCTAGGTTTCTGTGTGAAGCGGCACGACGACATCCAAACCTTTAAGCCGGAGAGCTTCTGGCACCTGCAGCTGCTAGCTGGCCAGCCGGAATTTACGTTAGAGTGGGCGCGTGGCCGGGTTTTTAAGAAGGACATTGCCATCATGCTGCTGAATCGCGTCAAGGAACACAAGGAGGCCACGTAAGATTGTCGTGTAGCGTGGGTACTGTCACTAGGGGAACAAATATATCCGAATTTCAGTTGTCTCTCAGTATATAGCCTAGTGGCTATCATCAAGTCTATATATAAGCATGTATTCATCTTTATTCTTCTGTTTCTACCACTTTTGGCCAGTTAAAAAGCTATCTTCTTTTTTTCCATTACGCCATCATTTTTAAATGGGTGACTACATCATTTAGGTGCCATAGAAACGATCATGCTAAATTTGCATAATTTGTTTCTGCTTCCAGTTAAATCAAACAATTCAAAATACTGCTGATTTATACGTTAGAAGATAAAATTAGCTTTATCTGTATAAACCTTTTGTTATTATTTGTTTATTAAACACTCTGTTTCCCTTCTTTTAGAGTGGAGAGCGTTGGCAGCAAGGAGTCCTTCAAGAGCAAACCTCAGGCTCTAAACACCGTAGAGCTAATGCGAATCTGCAGCTCCGGTCTGGGTATCGGACCGTTTCAGGCGATGCAGATAGCGGAGCGCCTGTACACTCAGGGGTACATAAGCTATCCGCGAACGGAAACTAATCAGTATCCGACTAACTTCGATCTACCGGCAGTGTTGCACGTGCTGAAGCCTTCGGGGGACTTCGGCGAAGAGGCACGCACCATCCTAGGCGATATGCAGACGCCGAGGAAAGGCAAGGATGCGGGTGATCATCCTCCGATTACACCCATGAAATTGGGAAACCGAAGTGACTTTGATCGCGATACTTGGCGCGTCTACGAATTCATCTGTCGGCACTTTATGGGCACCGTATCGAGAGACCTAAAGTATCGCGTGACGACCGCCAAACTGCGCGTGGGCTTAGAGACGTTTAGCTGCACGGCCAATGTGTTAATTGACGCCGGTTTTACCAAGGTGATGACATGGCAGGCCTTTGGACGGGATGAGCCGATGCCGCCGTTCATTCAGGGCACTCAAGTGGCCATCAACGATGTGCGACTAACCGAAAGCCAGACGGGACCACCAGACTACCTCACGGAATCGGAACTTATCACACTTATGGAGCAGCACGGCATTGGCACGGATGCTTCTATACCGGTGCACATAAACAACATCTGCCAGCGGAACTATGTGCGTATTGAAAATGGACGAAAGTTGATCCCTACGACGCTGGGCATTGTGCTGGTCCATGGCTATCAGAAGATTGATCCTGAACTCGTACTTCCGACAATGCGAACGGAGGTCGAGCGCATGCTAACGCTTATTGCTCAAGGTTCAGCAGACTTTCAGGATGTTCTGCGTCACGCCATTCAGATCTTTAAGCTAAAGTTCATGTATTTTGTGAAGAACATCGCCAACATGGACGCCCTGTTCGAGGTTTCCTTCTCGCCGCTGGCCGAGTCGGGCAAGGCACACTCGCGCTGCGGCAAATGTAGACGCTACATGAAGTACATACAGGTTGTTTATCAAGATCTGTATAACTTTATCTTACATTTTAATCATCGTCTCTACCATTTAATTTTAGACAAAGCCCGCGAGGTTGCATTGTTCCCATTGCGATGAGACGTATGCCCTACCTATTGGCAATGTAAAGGTCTATCGGGAGTTTAAGTGCCCGCTAGATGACTTCGATCTGCTGGCATTCTCCACCGGCGTCAAGGGGCGATCGTATCCGTTCTGCCCGTACTGCTATAATCACCCGCCGTTCAGTGACATGCCCCATTTAGGGGGTTGCAATACCTGCACTCATGCCACTTGTCCACATTCTCTGAACACGCTAGGCATCTCCAGTTGTGTGGAGTGTCCCACAGGCGTTCTAGTGCTCGATTGCACGCTGGCGCCCACGTGGAAGCTCGGCTGCAACCGCTGCGACGTAATAATCAACTGTTTTAAAGGTGCCACTAAAATCACAGTGGAAGGTGGGTCACTAAATTATTAGAAATCTTGTATATAAGAATGATTTCAACTTTTTTTTCAGAGGCCAAGTGTCAGGAGTGTGGCGCCCAGCAAGTAAACGTGGTCTACAAGTCTGACAAAAGCAAGTTCAAGGATGGCAGTGAGGAGAAGAGCGGGTGCATCTTCTGCTCCACAGACTTCTCCCACTTGGTTGAGAAGCATCGTGCAGTCGCATCGAGACCTGTTCGCAGTGGCGGTGGATCTCGGGGCGGGAAAGCTGGTCGTGGCGGTGGAGGAGTCGGTGGACCGGCTGGTGTCGCCGGAGGAGCAGTAACTGCTGGCGGCGGAACTGGTTCTGGAGGCGGCGGGCGTGGTGGACGCGCCGGTAGGCAGCCCAAAGATAAAATGGCTCAGCTGGCGGCGTACTTCGTATGAGAACCGTGGATTGCATTTACAACAAAAACAAAAAAACTAAGCCGAAAAAATAAAAACGAAATTGTATAAAGAAATTTACTGTTTTTGAAAAAAAAGTATATAAGAATTCAGAAAATAAACCTACATATACATATTTAAATCTCTCTATACCCTTACTTTTTATTCATTGAAGAAATTATTTATGAAATATGAAACAAAGGGGACGTACATATGTACATACATACATATGCATGTATGTGCTTCCCAGATTATATCCAAGGGTTGTTTGTATGGAAAGGTCCCTTGATTCAATTTTCGTGAATTTTATATTTATAGTTTCCATATTTCCATATATTTGTGGTAGTTGAAAAGATAGTGGCTTATTTAGTGTTACATATTCCCAGAATGAAGTTTCTAAAATAGTAAACAAACAAAATTCTAAAAAAAAAAAAACCCAACCAAAACCAAAAGAGGTTTACCGATGTTACCGATTTTACCCATTTTGAAATTGGAAACCATTTCAAAACAGCAATTTTCTCTCTGGCACCCTTTTAATGAATACTTAAATACTTTAACTTGTGATTTCAACTTACAGTACCCATCTTTAGCAAAATTACATTATAATTTGAAAAACAATCATTTTAATTCTCTTATTGGAAAATGCACACAAACATATGTACATACATATGTACCCACATTAATCCTTCCCTAATTTAAGAAAATTTTATGTTAAATTTTATATATATATATATTATATATATTATTTAAAAAATTAATAAAAAACTTTCTTTATAATTAAATTATTTTGGCAAATGTCTGAGGACCTCGAGATAGAAATAATGCGGCTTAAGTGGGTTTATGTATTCTCAAAATTATGTTACGAGAAAAATATGCATATAAAGGGATAACATAAAGAGTTAGTTGTTGACTAACAGATTTCATCAGCCTTAATCATTCCAGGAACTTTCCAGATGCAGTTAGTCACACGCACACCAACTTGCAGGTGTACATACATACATACGTATGCATATACTATGTAAGGATGGGAAATCGGGTGTCTATCATTAAACATATGTACATATGAGTGCGGGGGTCTCTTGTCTAAAGGCTGTTGACCAACGCGAAGAAGACAAATCTTCCAAGCGGTATCAAAACAAATAAAGGTCGTTTAACTCGCCAAACAAAGAACGTCATAAGATGTCCATGCATATACAAATGTATACATACACATTTACACACCCTCCACAGCAAGAATACATATGCATACAGAAAACACTTACACCAAACAGCTGCGATTAGTGTTGGAAAACAGATCAGTTGTTATCGATTACAAAGCAATTCCTGCTATGAGAGCAAACGAGATAGATGAATTTTTACTAATGCACTACGCATTTTGTTTTCAATGCCTAATTTTGAAAATTTCAGCAAGCCAATTGATTGGCCTTCATCTGTTAGAATCTGTTGGCAATGAAAAATCTTATTCTTTATCAATAAGACAAAGAATTTAGCCCGAATAAAGGCTAAACAAAGCCAAACAAATAGAACTACTACCCCAGAGTGAGCGAGATAGCAGGCGTCGCCATTCCAGTCAGGTCGCCTATAAATACTGGTGTATAGCTTTAAAACGGGACAGTAGCTGTGAAAAAATAGTTGAGAGCGGACGTACAGAGTAAAAGATAAAGCAAGTTTTTGAACATAAAAAAAGTTTTCTTCAAAAAGTGCAGAACCAAATAATTAGAACAAGAAATTTAATTTTTCGGTGCGGAAAAAGAAAATAAAGTAAGTTATTTTGCAAAGAATTTCTTCTTGATTGAAGCCAAAATGGGTTCCCAACTAGAAAAGTGCATTAAAAAACGAAAATGGTGTTCGTATGTGTGTATCCAGTTCCAGGGGGCAATTTTTTCCAATAGAATTTTCGAGCAGTCATGAAAACTAAATTTTCCGATTCATTGCAAACTTTTTCTAATTGTGAAAACATGTGGGAAATACAATAAAAAGCTTTCTGTGGCTGTGTATATTAAATAACTTTTTCTGGGTCACGGGAACTAGGTCACTACGCAGAAAAGGCAATTGCGCACTACTTTCCTTCCACTTTCCAAATCTAAAGCTAATTTTATTGTTTTACTTTTCCATCCTCAGCCAATATGCAAATTTTCGTGAAGACTTTGACTGGCAAGACCATCACCTTGGAAGTTGAGCCTTCCGACACCATCGAGAACGTCAAGGCCAAGATCCAGGACAAGGAGGGAATCCCCCCAGATCAGCAGCGTTTGATCTTCGCTGGAAAGCAGCTGGAGGACGGACGTACCTTGTCCGACTACAACATCCAGAAGGAGTCTACTTTGCATTTGGTGCTCCGTCTGCGCGGAGGCATGCAGATCTTTGTGAAGACCCTCACCGGCAAGACCATCACTTTGGAGGTCGAGCCCTCCGATACCATCGAGAACGTTAAGGCCAAGATCCAGGACAAGGAGGGAATCCCCCCAGATCAGCAGCGTTTGATCTTCGCTGGAAAGCAGCTGGAGGACGGACGTACCTTGTCCGATTACAATATCCAGAAGGAGTCTACTTTGCATTTGGTTCTCCGTCTGCGTGGTGGCATGCAAATCTTTGTGAAGACCCTCACCGGTAAGACCATCACTTTGGAGGTCGAGCCCTCCGATACCATCGAGAACGTTAAGGCCAAGATCCAGGACAAGGAGGGAATCCCCCCAGATCAGCAGCGTTTGATCTTCGCTGGAAAGCAACTGGAGGACGGACGTACCTTGTCCGACTACAATATCCAGAAGGAATCTACTTTGCATTTGGTTCTCCGTCTGCGTGGTGGCATGCAAATCTTTGTGAAGACCCTTACCGGCAAGACCATCACTTTGGAGGTTGAGCCTTCCGACACCATCGAGAACGTTAAGGCCAAGATCCAGGACAAGGAGGGAATCCCCCCAGATCAGCAGCGTTTGATCTTCGCTGGAAAGCAGCTGGAGGACGGACGTACCTTGTCCGACTACAATATCCAGAAGGAGTCTACTTTGCATTTGGTGCTCCGTCTGCGCGGAGGCATGCAGATCTTTGTGAAGACCCTCACCGGCAAGACCATCACTTTGGAGGTTGAGCCTTCCGACACCATCGAGAACGTCAAGGCCAAGATCCAGGACAAGGAGGGAATCCCCCAGATCAGCAGCGTTTGATCTTCGCTGGAAAGCAGCTGGAGGACGGACGTACCTTGTCCGACTACAATATCCAGAAGGAGTCTACTTTGCATTTGGTGCTCCGTCTGCGCGGAGGCATGCAGATCTTTGTGAAGACCCTCACCGGCAAGACCATCACTTTGGAGGTTGAGCCTTCCGACACCATCGAGAACGTCAAGGCCAAGATCCAGGACAAGGAGGGAATCCCCCAGATCAGCAGCGTTTGATCTTCGCTGGAAAGCAGCTGGAGGACGGACGTACCTTGTCCGACTACAATATCCAGAAGGAGTCTACTTTGCATTTGGTGCTCCGTCTGCGCGGAGGCATGCAGATCTTTGTGAAGACCCTCACCGGCAAGACCATCACTTTGGAGGTTGAGCCTTCCGACACCATCGAGAACGTCAAGGCCAAGATCCAGGACAAGGAGGGAATCCCCCCAGATCAGCAGCGTTTGATCTTCGCTGGAAAGCAGCTGGAGGACGGACGTACCTTGTCCGACTACAATATCCAGAAGGAATCTACTTTGCATTTGGTGCTCCGTCTGCGCGGAGGCATGCAGATCTTTGTGAAGACCCTCACCGGCAAGACCATCACTTTGGAGGTTGAGCCTTCCGACACCATCGAGAACGTCAAGGCCAAGATCCAAGACAAGGAGGGAATCCCCCCAGATCAGCAGCGTTTGATCTTCGCTGGAAAGCAGCTGGAGGACGGACGTACCTTGTCCGACTACAATATTCAGAAGGAGTCTACTTTGCATTTGGTCCTGCGTCTACGCGGTGGCGCTCTCTAGATTTTGTCAGCACTACAAAAATCTCAAAAAATTTGATCTTGCCAGGCCAATAGTATTCATATTAAATTTTATTTAATTGGCTTTAGAACAAGGCATCAAGAATAATCACATTTGGTATTACAAAAAATAAATTTTCAATTTGCGTGTTTAAAATTATCCATACGTTTCTTTATTGGGATTGCTGTAGGTTGTGGTTTTATTTATTCTGGAACGTTTTATAATACGTTTATTTTTTAGAGATTTATTTATATTTTTAGAAATTTACAATAAATGCTTAAAACAAAATCAAGTACTGCTTTAATAAGCCAAATTGCTTAAAAATAAAATGGAAATTTTTTGATGCTAAAAAGTAATGAGCAAGGACTAAACGTTAAGGAAGTTTTGTACATAGTACACAATAATGTGATTTTATTTAAAAAATTGGTACACGATTTTCATGTACATGTTCAAGGTACAGTAACGGTAATGTGGTCTAATTTAGTGTATTTTGTGAGGCCGGCGAACATATGTAGTTTAACGGTAAAGTCGGCCACACTGGAAAATTCAGCCGAAAAACGAAACAACAGGTTCGCAGTTAATTTTGGAGAGGAGAGCAGGCAGTTATCATGAGCAAGGAAATCTCTTTGGCCACCGTGAAGCAGCACAACAAGGCCACGGATCTGTGGGTGGTCATCAACAACAAGGTGTACGATGTAACCAAATTCCGGCTCGAGGCAAGATTTAATGTAGATTCTTGGTTTTAGGGTATTACATCAAATTCCATTAATTGCAGCATCCCGGTGGCGAGGACTCCTTGGTGGAAGTAGCCGGTCGCGATGCCACCAAAGACTTCAATGATGTGGGTCACAGTTCGGAGGCAAGGTCAGAATGTTCACCTTTCATTCTAGTTTCAAAGTTGGGCTTCTAACTTGCCATCTCGCCTTTCTTTTCAGGGAGATGCTAAAGAAATACTACATTGGTGACCTGGCTGCTGCTGATATTCCCAAGAAGAGTGCAATTAGGTGAGAATCCCGGCCTGGTTTATGGTCAACAGAAGATGAACTGCATGAAAACTAGACACGCATTCATCTGTAAATAAAGAAGTACAAGGGATTCTCTTGCTCTGCTCTCCTCACACAAAATGATCTCGTTATCACTCAGGAAAACATATATTCTTGATAAGGCATTTCATAATGTACCTCTGAATCACTCCATTTTCTAATGCATGACGCATTTTTGACCGAAACCGGTTTCGCATGAGCTTCGCCTGGTCTTTGCCTGCAATTAATAGCCCATTAAGCATTGAAACATTAACCAACTCTTATGTAATCCATTAATTGACTTGAAGCCCCCAAAGTGTTACGCTTGGCGTGTCCTGAAAGTTTCGCTTTGCCTCAACATTTTCTATGGGTTTTGTAATACTACTTCTGGTGGTTAATAGCATTTCTTCTTACTTCTATTCCAAATAATGATCCAATCAGCTAACAATTCTTCATAGAACATTCGACTTCGCACTTTAAAGCAAATATAATCTAACAAACAAAAGCAATTTCCTATTTACAAATAGCAAACAAGAAGTTGAAAGTATTTTAACGAAGAAAATATTTATTTACATCCTATTTTTCAACATACTGCTTGTATATTTGCATTTTATAACTAACCTCTTACTTTTCTCAAGATTTAAGTCGTTCTCAAGCACGCGAATAAGATTCTACAAAAGCTAGTTGGATTTGTAAGTCCTGACTGACCTGTAAATATCATATATGTATCTAAAAAACATCTATATATATATATATATATATATAAAACACGTAAAGCACCCGAACTAAACTAAACAAACTATGCACGCTGTAATTATGCACCGTTTTTGAATAGTTTTCTTCTTTGACTTGCTTTTTTATTTCGATTCTTGGTTTTGTGCAACGCCTTCTATAGTGCCACGCCCCCTGAAGCGAGCGATGATCAAGACCCCGCCGCCCCCAAGCAATGCTGCATCTTAAATTAACCCCACTAAGCCCGTAACACCCGCTAATTAACCAAAGATTTCCTAGTTTGGTTGATGAATTCGCTTTTCCCTTATTCTGACCGGCTCTCAATGATTTTGATATATTTATATATTCTTTATTCCTAATAAATAGCTGCCGCAATGCCGCGTTGGCCTTGGGCGCCGCCTTTCTTGGCATCACTCTGGTCTATGTGCTCCGACGTGGATTGGCCAAGAATTAATATGCTGCCAGAGGATCTGAATACCATCTTCATTCCGTGATTCCAGAGATATTTTTCCAATGCGAAACATAATTTTCCATACATTTGATACGAAATAAACTGTAAAAATTGCTTAGACACACGATTATAGAATTTATTCAGAATAGAATATTCTAAAAAAAAAGACGTGCTTTATATTTAACAACCCAGATACAAAAAAGTTCAACGAAAATTATTTAAATATCAAATTTCAATGGATCCTTCTTAGATAATTGGCTTGTTTAGATCCCAGAAAGTAAGAACAATTCAAATTTTCTGGTCAGAAAAAAATTCATTTTATTTTTCGTCCTTCCGTCGTCACAAACCTGATTGCTCCTCCTTCCTCCAGCTCCTGCCGAGCCGTTTTCGTCCGTTCGGCTCTATCGACGCCAACGGCAGGCGCTTCACGACCTTCGATTATATGTATGTAGGTGTATATATATTTCTATTTATATATATATATAATTATATTTATATATATATGTATATATACATATATATATATTTATAAGGATATATATATATATATTTATATGTGTGTGTACCGCGAATCAGTTATAGACTTGCTCTTAAACATAAATATCGTTGAGGATCAATGCGAGATCGCACTCCAACTCTCTAATATTAATGCAGCTGCTTCTCCGCCAGCTGCGCGTGTTTGTTTTCCTTCTTGTTTTATAATTATTGTAGGCGTTCTGTTCTTTTCTGTTCTTGTTTCAGTAGTTTAGTTAAAGTTTTAAGCATAGTGTTTTTTTGTTTGTTTGTAGTTTGTGGTGGTTAAGTCCGCCGCCCTAATTCTCATCGTAAAGGGGAGTCGCATCGCCCAGATTCATGGAGTGGGGTGAGGTATTGGTGCGTGGAGTACTACGTACAGATGCCTTCGAAGACATGGATGATCCAGTTCCGTGGCCCTGATTCATGCCCATTCCTCGATTGTGTCCTCCTCCAGTGTTGTAGTCATTGCTAGGCGTTGATCCGTATCCTCCACCACCGTGGCCCATGCCCATTCCCATGCTCATGCCCATTCCTATTTGCTGTTGCTGATGCGAATGATGATGCTGCTGTTGCTGCGGCGGTGGCCTGCGCCTTGCCCACGCATCGTTGGCCAGCTGCCAGTCAAGGTTCTCTTTGGCACGTTGCTGGTGATGTGGCGGCATGTTGCCACCACCCATGTTGTAGGGATTTGAGCTTCCGCCACCGCCTCCCATATCGTAATACCTAGGTGTGCCACTCGTTCCGGAGCTACTGCCGTAGTGATGACGCTGACTGCTGGAGGATTGTGAGCTAGGACTCGGCACATTGTGTCCGTAACGAGGTGTCTGCGAGGCATGCGGCGTATAGGGCGTCATGAACGGCGTCTGACCACTAGGTGTGTACGGCGTATTAATAATTGCTCCAAATGACGGCGTCGATGAGCTGCCATAGTGTGAAGAAGCCGCTGCAGCTCCCGCTGCACCCGATGAGGAGCTGTAGCCAACAATGGATTGTGTAACGGAATAGGCGCTGGAGCTGCCACCACCGCCGCCACCAGAACTGCTGATACCACTGCGCGGCGTTCCTCCACCCACGCTGCCCGTTATGCTGTAGGGAGCCTGGGAGCCCAAGGATGGGCCAGAAGATGAGGAGATATTCGGAGGCGGACGCATTGAGTGCAGGGGCGTTGAGTTTGACGCCGAGGAAGCCACTGCAGGAGAAGCCGTGGGATCCAGCCAGTGCTCCTTGAACCAACGCAACAGACTGTTAACCGAGTCAAAGATCTGACCACGGAAACGATAGCCCTCCGGCATCACAGTCACATACTCGTGGCGCACCTTCGTCTTGGGCAGATAAGAAAGCAGGAACTTGCCCGGCATGCTGCGTGACGCTGTGAAGAAATAATGAATCTTCTTTGGATCCTTGGTCTTCTCGTCGCGCAGCATCTGGTCCATGAAATCCCGCTCATTCACATTGGCCGCCGCCGTGTTTGGTTTGTAGTACTTGTACTGTATCAGTTCGCGGGCAGCCAAAGCCATCGGTGTGATAAAACGGGCAATGATTTCATCCAGATCCTCGTACTCCTCAGTGCCAATCCACAGACTCCTGCCCAGGCTGTAATCGTTCTCCTTTCCCTCCTCGCGCACATCGATGTGCTGGAAGATGTCATCAGCCACCTTCCACGTGGCTGTTAGGTGATCCTTGGACTTACTACTCGGGCGCAGGGCCACCTCGCCCTGATCAGCATCCGCCAGCATAGCCACTACTTCCGCATACGACTTGTTGAAAAAGCTAGGATGGGCGATCGCCCGACGGGCGTAGGTATTCCGCTTTTGCGCCCTCGCCTTGGCATCAGTGACCTTGCGGTTGTCCAGCTCCTCCGTTACAAAGTCGTAATAATTGTCACGTCGGGGTCGCCATTCGTTGTTCACGTCCTTTAGATCGGCCGTCTTCGAGGAACAGTCAACCGAGAATCGGTCAATATCGATCTTAATGATGCGCACATGGATCATTTGGGAAACTCGCACGCGCTCCTCTGGATTGCGCACTTGCTTATCGGACAAATTCTTGATGTGTATAAAGCCCGGCAGACCATTCTCCAATCGCACTCTTACACCAGATGCCTGACCAGGACAAGTATTCGCATCAAAGTGATTCCACACCTCGGACAGCTCTGGAAAATCGGCCTTGAGGCAGAAGGGACACTGCCAGCTATCGCTGGAGTCGATGCGCAGTGGATTTGCGTTGTCCAGCTGCTCGCCCTGTGGTCGCCGATAAGTGAAGCCGGTAACCATGGCCGTCACACATTTGCCTACGTAAAACGAGTCAGGCGTCTCCTTGGTTAGCATGTCGAAGAGTTCCTCCGAACTGGGCTTCGTATACGGAGACCGATAGTCCTTGTACAGGCAGCTCAACTCGTTTCGAATATCGTACAGGGTGATGCTCTTGCTGCCGAAACCCTGGCGCTCCAGTTCCACGGCGAAAGCATCTAGATCGAGATCTTTCAGACGCTCTGGCGACTCCAGGATCTCCTCAAGAGCTCCGGCCGGATTGGTCTCCTCATCATCGTACTCCATTGCATCAATGGCCATCTTTCTTGCCCACTCATACGTCTCCGGATGTACACGCGACCCATCCAGTACCTCAACATACGCCTCCGTGCTATCGCCCAACGATGAGGTGTCGATCTTGATGAAACCACTGCAGTTGATAAAGACCTTGGGCCCGAGGTGGCACACGGTAACCAACTGGGTGCGGTTTTCTAGACGCTGGTTGCTTTGCTTTAGCAGTTTAAGTAGAGCCTGACCCTTGCGCGGGCCCAAGCCGCAGGTGTACTGCAACAGGTTGACGGTTCGTGAGTTCTGCACCATTAGGTTGATGTCCAGACCGACCTCGCTGGTACGATTGATAAACTGCAAGCTAAGTTGCTCCAGCAGCTGCTCGCGCGGCACACGCTCTTGCAGCGAATGGTAGCGCAGGCAGAGAATCTCGTCATCGGCGTCGCATAGCTGCGAGTATTCCACCAGCGGATCCTGCATCTTGCGGGCAAGCGAAACGGCCTGCTTTAGCAGTGCGGGATACTCCTTGAAATCTGATTCGCCCTTCTTCGAATTGGCATAGATCTTTGCCAGCTCATTATCAATTATCTCCACCTCGATTGGCGGAAACTGCTCAGATGACTCGAGCTCTTGGAGTATCTCCTTGATGTCTGCCTGGATGTTCTGGGCATCACGCGATTCAGCTCCAATGACCACAATGTGCGGTTTCTTCATTTTGATGAAGTCACTAAGCTTTCGCAGATCGGCCAACTTTTGGGCTTTCTCCTCTGCATTGTGCGAATTCTTGCGCTTTAGGATATTCGGCAGTCGCAGGTAGTCGGAAATATCGCCTTCCACGGTGGTTACCGCACAGAAAGCGGCCACAGACTGGTCGGGATCGTAGGCCAGAGCCAGCACCCGTATACCCCTTAGAGTGCTCCATTCTTCGTAGCCGTAATCAGTGGGCAACTCTGGCTTATATGGCGCCACCTTCAGCCACTTGTACAGTTTAGCCGAGCAGGAACGTAACACAAACTGCTGCGCCTCCTCATGCAGGGTAGACCGCAACTCCTTGATCAGATCCGGAATGACCCACTTCTGCAGCGCCAGCTTTACACACTCCGCTCGCAGTGTATTCCATTCCAGGACATGCTTGGAGAATTGATCCAAATGATACAAGGCCTTAGACTCCTCCACATAGTCACCGGGTGGTCCGTTGGCACTTGCGTTTCCCTCGAACTCTTCGAGGAACGTAATCTCCAGTAACTTCTCCTCCTCTGCCATCATAAGCTTAATAAATTGGTCGCCAAAGAGATCTCCCACCGGCTTTTTGGCCACGTACTTCATCGAATAAACAGGAGAATTCTCGTCAATAAGCACCATACCATTCTTTGTGGGCCGTATGTTGATGCGGGCTCTATCGAAGTATACCTCTCGCATGGTTTTGCGGAGTAAAGGCTCCTGTGCCAACTGGCGTGCCACAACGTATTTGGCCGCGTGGAGCACCTCATCCGTGGTCATAAAGCGAGGAGACAGGTATTGCTTAGCTAGCTCCGTTGGACCGAGGCTTTCTTGAGTGACTTCGTTGCGCTGATAATTGTCGCGCAGATTTTCAGCAAACTGCTCTGGAGTAAGACCAAAGTGCTTGGCAAATCCACAGATGCCCGCCTTGCGGAACACCGCATAGGGACTGCTGTTGGGCGCCTGTTTCAGCTGATCATCGATAAGTTCCGGATCGTCATCGTCCTCCGGCTCTGGAATCACTATCGCTGCTCCCTCCGCATCGTCGCCGTTCTCGGCAGCTGCAGCCTGACGACGAGCTCTGGCTTCCCGGCGCTCCTGAATTACCTTACGCCGCTGTTCAGCTTGCATGCGCGGCAGCTCGTGCGAGTAGTTTAGCAGGAAGTACATGTGCACATCCTTTAGTTCCTCCATGGACTGCACGTCATCCAGACGCTCAAAATCACTATCCAACATCAGGCGTACATCATCTGGTATTGGGGCATCAGGATCGGCGCACAGTGTGTCCAGCTGGAATTGGCGCATCTTTTCAAAGAGCACCTTTAGCTTGCGCTTTCTCTCGTTTAACTGGCACCAGCGTTCATCGAAATAGTACACCTTCCAAAGATCGTCGATGTTAAGCTCTGGTTTAACATACTCCTTACGATAGAAGGCGATGAAGGGCACCTCCAGCTGCTGGTTACGGATAAACTCCAGCGTCTGTTTGATCTTGTTCACGGCCGTCGGCGGTTTGCGCAACTTCTCGCGGTTTTCGGCCTTTTCCTGCTCGGATACTGTTTGCTTGCAGAATGCATACTTGTATATCCAATCCGCCTCGAGGTCCAGCTCGTGAGAGCCCTCGGGCACCGGAGTCACAGGCACCTGGCGCAGCTGCATGCGCTCTGGAATGTCCGTCTTGCGGATCTCATTGTCCATGTCGGTAAAGTGACCACGCTTCAACTCGCTTGGCTCGTATATGTCGAAGATCGTCTTCTTGGCCACCTTCTTCTTAAGAGCCTTTTTCTTCTTGACACGGTTATCATCGCCGGCTCCCAGCTCCTCGTCATACTCATCGCCCTCGGTGTCATCCTCGTACTCATCCTCCTCGTACTTAGAGAAGTCGTCGTAGTCAAAATCTACGCCAAAGATGTCCTGGCCCTCTTGCAACGATCTGTAGTTGGATTAAATATATGTATCAAGATTCCTTGGATTTCTTACCAGTTATAGTTCTACACTAATAAATTTTGGATTGAAAATGTATGTTACTTTTCAATATATATCGTACTTTTCTTATTTCTAATTTTTAGTTTTTAAAAAATGAATATACTTACGCGTCTGTGAAGATGGGACGACGCTTCTTTTTCTTCTCGGCTATGGGACGTCCGTTGTCGTCCACAATGAAGTCATCGGCATCTGACTCTGAGTCCTCCTCGTCGAAAGCATCCGCCTCCCTGGGACTACGTTCGCTGCGATGCTCAACGCTCTAGAGGATTGGGTCAATTAATTATACAGAAATTTGGATGGCAATCATATATTACTACCTCATCGTTCTCGTCAAACAGCTGCTCGGCAATCTGCTCCCGGGCAAGACCCTCATCCACGTGCTGCTCCTCGCCATCGCTCTCATTGTCGTGGATCCGACGCAGACGCTTGAAACGTTTCTGCGAAACAAATTTTGAAAATTGGTTAGTGATTAATAGTAATAAATAGTATTACTTATTATTATTATTATTATTACTAAGGGGACACCTACCCTTCTTTCGACTTTTACGCCCAAGTTCTCTTCAATCAGATCGTAATCGTCGTCCTCAAGCCGGTCATCCAGATCATCATCCTCGTGCTTTTTGCGCTTCTTGCCACTGCCTCCGCCTTCGGTGTCTCCACCGCTTCCGGTGTCTGAGTCATCACCACTGCCGTCATCTTCCTCAATGGGATTGTCGTCGATTAGATCCTTGAGCTCTTCGCGCAGGCGTTCTTCGTCATCTGCCAAAATCAGAAAAATAATCACCGGAATGTAACATTTTTTGCAGGTCCAGAAACCTCGAAAATGTAAAAATAGATTTTTTTTTTTTTAAACTATGACTATCTCCGTCAATGGAAGATTTCATATTTGGTCCTTTTGCATTGACGGCCCCATCGAATGTGTTTCCATTGATTATTTCCAGTGAGCTGCAACCAGTACCTCGATCTTTGGGAAAGTCGCTTTCTTCTAATTCGCCGCACTTGTTCCACTTACTGGAGCGAACGCCGATTGTTGTTGTTGCTGGTGTTGTTCTTGTTGTTCCGTGGCCACGGTAGCACGGTAAAAACACAAGACCTAACCTCAAAGTTGTAAACAAAAGAAGTTGCACTCGGATTCCCAGCAGTACTATCCCGGACATGAATCTATATGTCAGATGTGGTTTCCAAGGTGTGAAGTAAGGGGAGGGAAAAGCCCGCCACCGATCACTAATACTTCTCTGTTTTTGTATGCGCGCACCGCGGTTGGAAAACTCACCTTCCTCTTCTTCGCTGCTGTCGGACACGGCGGCTTTCAGTTTCTTGAGCTTCTTGCGCTCGTTCACGTCCAACTCTTCCTCCTCCTACAGGAAAAACAAAACAAGGAAAAGCCATGGGAAAATGCAATATACTATACATATACATATATACACACACGGAACGCACACCGCACACATATACATATACACACAGTAAGCGCGCCTACAAACAGGAAAAACGCAACGCGAAAAATCCGCGAGCATAAAGTTGGCGGCATTAGCAGACACGTACCTCCGATTCCTCGGCCTCGGAGTCCAGAAATTCGGCCATCACAATAAATTAAACAATTAAACTATAGCTTAAAAACGAATCTAACTAAAAGTAATGCACAAAAAACGTCGCTTGCAAAGTCACAATAAAAAAAACCAAGTCGAAGAACAGTGTTACCAGATGGTAAAACAGCTTGCTACCACGAACGGTTTCGACCAACCCTGATTTTCCAAAATAAATTTTCCGCCTAAATTTAAACTTTTAATTTATACAATATGCCTAAATATTCGAAGTAAGTAGATTTTTTTTCTATGATTGTACATCTTTACATTATTTATATTTCAAGTTACGAAAAATCTTCCGCAAGTATATTGACGCCTTAATAATATTTTACTATTAAATAGGTACCATAGGGAAATTAGATGGATCTTAAAAGATACAAAACCAATACTATACGTTTTTAAAGTATGATCGTTGTTACTTACATCCAACTAACTAGTTAGGAGTATGATTGTTAATGCTTATATGTTCTAAAATGTTTCCAATGAAGCAGTGCTTGTCGATAAATCTTGTATAGCGAAGACATACACCTCGTCCATACTACATTAGGAGCGATTATGGTATTTTTCGTATTTATTTTTCCAATAAGCTAATAGCCTGTTTACACCAACTTGCATATAGTTTTTCCTATGATAACTAATAATTTATAAATAGGAAACCACAGTTGATTGGGAATTGTTCCAGTATCATATTTTCATTACTTTAAAAAAACTTGCTCAACCTAACAACGTACGTAATGGTGTTCATTTTAAAAAATATTCAATAGGTATTACAATTCAACAATTGAATTATGTAGTGTGACACGAAATGTTCAACACATTCAAATTAAACTTAATATTTGGCCAATGCATATATGCACTTTCTGTCTAACTATAGTTTTTTATTAACTAAAGCTTTTAAATGTTGTGTTTTATTTTGAATTATTTTTATTTAACGAAATAAAGTCTAGTGTACAATGCTAAACATAAGGAATTTAGAATACCATCTGCAAGGATCTTCGAATCGAAATTTGTGTGTTTTAACTTTATATATTAAACATAAAGGCGAAAGATTTGTTCGAAGAAGAGAAACCAGAGAGAAACATATATATATTAGACATAACTAATCAAAGACAAATGTAAGCTTAAGAAAAAATTAACTTTACTATTAAATGCAGAAACATAAACAAATCAATGAAATGAAGGATATGAAAAATTAGAAGTAACACAGCTAGTGTTGATTAATAATATATAACATACATTATATTCCTTTAGCTTTAACTAAATACATAAAATATTATTAAAGTTAAAAATTTGTGGTATTACTGCCAGTATTTCCCAGCTTGGGATTTTTCATTTTTTAAACAAACACTATTCCGTCTACACTTACATTAACAGCTTCCCCTAATCTGGCCACACTGCTTTGTTGTTGCTCGAGAAGGAAATACTATTAGTATTTTTTTCGTTCATCCTGAAAGTTTAAGTGGACGAGCGGCCCTCTCGGTCCGACACTCATCCCGAAATTCTGAAGTGTATTTGAGGAAATCTGTATTTCTTTGGCCTAACATTTTCTCAGTAACTTCTTTCTTCAGAAGCGGCAAAAAAAGCATATACAAAAGCAATAAAATAGAGCGTTAGGTTAACAAGACAACAACAATTCGATTCGGCGGTTTGTTTTTTGACAGTGTGTGCCTCTGTGCTGTGTGTGTGTTTTTGTACGTTCCGTTGTGCGAGTGTGTGTGTGTGAACCGCGGTCCGGTACTCCTGTTGTTCTAGTTGCTGTTGTTGTTGCTGTTTCCAAGGCACAAAAAACAAGACACGAAAACACAGGCGCAGGTCGCATGCAAAAGTCGCTCACACAATTGCGAATATTTAGAAAGCATATATAAACTACGAAACATATATATACATATATGTGACAACAAACGCCAAGAAAAAAACTGGAAAGCCGAGCAAAAAACAATTGAAAAATTAAGGCAGCAGCAGCAGGAACATGGATCTAATCAATAAGTTCAGCGATGCATTCTGGAGTACGCATATTTGGCTGCCGCCGAACACAACTTGGGCGGATATAGCGCCAGGTTCGCGACAGGATGTGGTGCACGCCAACTACAAGGACCTTATCTGGCCCATTCCATTCGCCGCTGTCGTCATGCTGGTCCGTTACACGCTGGAGCGGTAAGTTTCCCGATTTTCCTGCCCCTTTTCAGACCTTCTCATTCATACTTGCCGTTCCCGGCAACTTTATTCCATTTGCCTCTCTCTAACCCCATTCATTTTGCTTTCTTTCTCTCTCTCATACTCTCTTTCATTCCCATTGAGAACCCCCGCCCACGTTTGTTGCACCATGTACAGTAAACTTTATTCATAATTCCTTCTTTTTTTTTCGACAAACATAACCTCACGTGGAAACGCCCAACATTCTGCAAGCGTATATGTACACTTATGAGTGTGTGTTTGTGTGAGGCAGGGCACACGCGGGCACAGTTTCTGTTGTTGTTGCTGCAACTCTAAGTTTTCCCTTCCAAGCGACGCCGGCTGCAGTTTCCAGGCGGCCGGCTACGAATTTCCCACAAAAATAATCATTCACCCAACTGCAAGTTTCTACTAATTGTTTAGTTCAAGGGAAGGTATATTTATTTGTTTATAGACTGCAACATGAGCTCCATGCGGTGTTTTGTTTTCTCTCCTTTTTTTTTTTTTTGGTATGTATGGTGTATGGCTGTTTGCACCGGTAAGGAAATAGGAAAAGCCGGGTACCGTGGGGATAATATTTAAATCGACATGCATTTACTATTTGAAAACTATAACTTAAGAACTAAAAGGTTGAGAGCTTTAGCAACTTGCTTAAAATAGTTGTACAACCACTCCAAAGGGGTTGTAATTAATCTACATATATAGGTTAGATTAACTTTAAATTGGTTCATTTTTATGGTGTCGTATGACTTCTATAGAAATCCAAATTACTGGCTTGCCATTTTTTGAAGCGATAAGGAAGCTATGTTTATTCAAACTTTTGATCGATTCCAGGCAACCCACTGGTTTTTCATTATAGTCTGATTTCTAAACCCCTTCCTGGAAGAAACTCGTTTCCACTTCATGCACTTGAAATACAAATATTAGTATATCGAATTTGGATATAATTGTTTTTTTACTGTGGCCTAGCTGCCATGGAACAATTTATTATTCATTTCCTTTTTCTTAATTCAATAGTAAATTTTAAAAGAAAGATTTTTGTCGATTAGATAAAATATGTTGAGACATTCGACCGGATTTAAAAGTCTCGTTCTTCTAAGATAAGATAGTTTTTTTTCGAAGTAACTGCTAATTAAAATAAAAATTTTGTTGTATTGCCTTATAGCCCAGTTTTAAAAAGTTAAAAAGCTAAATTTATTATTGTTTATAAGATTACAATTTAAAAATGAACAAATAGCAGTCAGAATTTCTAAGTGGATAGTTAAAAAAGTGATTAATGTATTTAGAATGGGAATTTTTGAGCGTAAAAATTTAAAATTCCCATGACTTTTGGCCCACTGTGAGCCAAAAGCGTTTTTGGCCGCTTTTCAGGGCAATTAACCTGCTCGTCGTTTGGCCTTAACTATGTGGCTCTAAATGTGTGGTTGTTTGCTGTTCGTGTATGCGGATTGCGTGCACTAGCATTTGCATGTAAAAATTGTAATTCTCATATTTTTGCAATGTTTTTGGTGCCCTTAATTTGACATAAATTGCAAATACAATGTATAGGAGACTGGAGTGCAATATCTGAGCATATGCCTTGCGGGCCAGTGTTACTAAAAGTCTCTCAGCATTAATGCATTTCTCAAGCTAGAAAAAATAAAAAAAAACTTTAATAATATTTTCCTAGCTAATTTTTTATTACATATTCAAAACTAACTTATTATTACCTAGAAAAAACTATCCATATAATTTTTTATTCTGTATACAACATATAGAATTTCATCTGTGGTTTTTTGTTTTTATTCCATTTTCTGCTCTTTTTCGGTGGTTTCTTTTTTTTTTTGCATTCAAGTTAGCATTTGAAAATGAGACAAAAACCAAATCTGTTTCATGGCAGACCACTTTAGTTTTTTGTATCTCTTCTTCTGCTTCTTAAACGAGAATTGGTCTTCAAGGTCGAATTGGAATTTTCGGACGCGTCTGTCGCTCTAATAGCTATTCATTTAATGGCAAAAGTCGTAGCCGATTCGTTTCGATCTTTTCGGATTGGAATATCAACGAAACCCCTCCCAAAGCTCCATCCATAGTGGCCATAATGGTACCACCTTGGGAATTACTAGCAAGACCGATATCACCGCCACTCCACGGCGCTGCCCCGATAAGATTTGTGCCAAGATTTACGTATAAAACTTGATAACAATGCTCAGTGCCTCGATTGCTTTACGCCGAACTCTGGAATGACTGTTCCCATTGAGGGTGTGTGTGGCTACATCAGAGGCGTGTGGTAAATGTTTTGGCGGGGTCACTTTTTAGAAGGCGTGGCTCTAACACTTATTTGGGTCAAAAGAGTGCAAAGGGGCTTAGTATTAAGCAGTTTACCTAACTCATTAGCTAATGACTGCTAAACTTATGACAGTAAATAGGCGAATTCCTTAGACTAAGAACATATATTCCTTTTATTAATATTTTCCGTAAGTTTAGAGAAGGATTTTGTTGAAATGGTTCTTGAGATTAATCATAGCTCACTTATAAGATTGCCCATAATAAAGATAAGTAACTATTGTCGCTATTTATATGTATATATGTACATATACTATCTTACCAGCTTATGTGGGAGTTCTGTCTATGATTCGTCAACCGTTTTTCTTTTGCGGGCCTGGCCAATATCACTTCGGTCAGACAGTGAGTCATTGGCTCGAGAAGTTTTTCCAAATATGTGCGTACTTTATGGCCCGATTGGCGCTTCCCTTATAGCCACTATACTATTACTATGCCACATACAAACACGCTTTGGAATGTTGTGAGCAGTCGATTGGGGTTTATGTTTATGTTTATGCTGGGCATTGAAGAACAAGAGCGGTAAAACAATTTTAACAGTTTGGCCTAAATTAGTAGAACCTGGAAATCCTCTAATCGATTTCTATAATAGGTTAAAATAGAAATATCATCTAAAATACTAATTATAGGGGAAAGTGTTCGCTGGAAGTGGTTCTTAGCGCTTTAATCCTGGGTTTTTCGAACTTTTGTAGATTACAGATATAGATATAGTTAAAGTGGAATTTATGAGTGCTAGTTTGCTGGGCGCAGCTGTGTGGGGCATGTACTATTTGTCCGCATTTATGCTGTAGCTTTTGTGATACGTAATCGCCAAGAGGCGACCCTCGAGCTCAGCGCTCTAGTGCGATAAAATTTCAGGTTAATTATTTTAATGGCTCACATGCACACAGCCATCGACTGGAGGTGTATGTGTATATAGAAATATACATACATAATCGCCGCAAATGGGCAATTACGCGTTGCTCCGCCATTTCTCCATCTCTTTTATTTTAGGTTTCTCTATCACCGAGAGAGACTCTTGAGATTGGCAATAGAATTTCTAAGAACAACAATCCCAAAAACCGATCCGGTAAACCCGTTTCCAAAAGTTTTCTTCTTTGCTAACGCGGTCGGTCAGTTATTCGAATTGCTTATCGTACCAATTGCCTGATAGTAGTGAAAAGAAAATAGAAGAAAAAAACAAAATGCTATTAAACCGAAAGAGAAAAGAATGAAAAAACGCACGTGCTTCACGCACCAGGTGAGAATGGGAACGTGGAGTTCAACCTGGTCAGGTGGTACTCCATTTCAGAGGAGAGCGGGCTTTATGCCGGTGCAATTCGTTAAATGTCCAATTAGCACCTCTCATTCTTCTCTTCAAAAACGCTTTAACTACTTTGCCTTGGAAAAAAAAATCGAGAAGTCTTTAAAAGAAGGAATCTTATATTTTATATTTTCTATTTTTCCAAGTTATGAGTTATTCTTTATTTATAAAAATGTTTATCATGAATGCTAAATAATATTCACAATTACGAATATTCCAAACATAAAAAGATAAAATATTTTAAAAATAACGCCTTTTCGTTTCCCATTTTCATTGCTATGGGAACATTCAACAAACCCCAGAACAAAAATTACTAAGTTGCCAACCCCCAGACGAAGCGATAAGCGTAATTTCTGCTTAAAATTCGCTGTTTAAGTTTCCAAGCCGCAGATTGCTGGAGTGTTTTAACATACATAGTCATAAAGCAAATTGAAATAGAGCATGTTATTAAGATTAGAATCGGTGATAGGTAAAAACGCAGGGCTATCAATTAGTCGCTGACTAATGGCGCTTATGCTAAATTCCATCTGGCAATTGGACATGAGTCAGACAGCGCGGACCCCAAAAATCGAGCCACATCGTATGTGTATATATAGGATATAGCACTCACTAGCGCTAATCTCACAATCGTCGACTTGCCTTGCGTGTTGTATTATCGCTGCATATAAATCGCCAAACAACAGGCGATATATGTATATATATATATATATTCTATATAACTTGGCCTCGCCTGTGGGTTCCAAAATTTTAGTTGTTACGCCGATAAGACCCGAATAATTGTCAGTCCATTGCACTTTGGCAAAGTGAAATTTAATAAATGCAATCAAATAATGGTGGGGCTCTTATCACAAGCTGTCATCGAGTTGCAGCTCAATCAAAACACATTCATTATTCGCACGAAACGAAACCAATTTGATAATCAACATCTAGCGTTTTACGTAAAATGCAGTTCTCAAATTGCTTTTAAACGATTGGTTCTTAACTTCCAATAAGTTGACCACAAATTACTGTTTTTTAAAATGGGTAAAAACTACCTCCTAACAAATACACTTACTTCAAATTCTATCCATCATAACTCTTACTATTGATCTTAAAGATGTCAAGAACTTAACTTAAAGTCATATATTTTATGCATTGTTTTCTTGGTATTTTATTGCTATTATTTTGCCTAAATAATTGCATTCTTAAATTCGAAACTTATCCATTTATAGAGCGAAAAAAGGTTAATACAAAAATTTAACTTGAATCCTAGGGCACATTTTGGTTCACATTATCTTTAACAAGTGATAAAATAACTGATAATGGTTAGGGCATCATTTATTTGTGTAAACATAAAATTAACCCCTGAACTGCGGTAGCAACCAACGTTGCTGAACCTTCTGGGTAGAGTCCGCCTCCACGTTCAAAACCAGGAATAGCTCGTGGTCCATTTGCAGCTGGCTGCTCAAAAACTCAATGAACTCCTCCTCGTTTCCCAGGCATCTTGGTTCGCGCAACTTTGAGTCCAGGTTGTAGTAGATTCCATTGATGCAACGCAACGCCAGCCAGTGACGCATCTGGAAGGGCAATGGGATGTAATAGCCAAGACTCATCTGAGCCGGAACATTGAGAATGAATCCAAAGATGGCACTCAAATTAAGGCATTGTGGATTCCTCCGGCGGTCAAACCACACCGCCTCGCAGTTACGCTGCTGCAGGGCATACATAATCACATTCACATCGTAGTTGCCCCAACCGATCCATGACCGATGGGGATTCAGCCAGTTGCGAGGAGTCAGCGTGGTGCAGTAGTCGTCTAGTTCCGATTTGGAGAATGTGTCTGGGCACTGGAACAGATTGTTTAGGGCGTGCAGGCCGCACAAGTGCCTTGTCTGTCGCTCATGGTAAATTCCCTGCATCATCGTGGTGTTCCCGTTTCCGTTGTTTTTATTCTCACAATCCCCCAGAGAATTCTCGTGTGTTCGAGCACTGGGAGATTCCATTTCGTAGCAGTGTAGGTTGACAGATCCCAATAAATTCAAAGCTCCTAAGGAGGAGCTGCGAAAATGTCACTAGATTAAAGTTGCTTTTTGTTTACAAGTTCTAAAGGTTTTCTGTTTAGGGATGGTACTGCAATGGCGATGGTACAGCATGTATCGATATGCGTGCGAAATTTAATCTGACCGTCGTAGTGCATATCGATATTTTAGCAACGGTCCTTATTTTTTAAAAACCTAAAGGCTTGAGGTTTTTAACCAGTAAAATCATTAACTGAACTTATACAATTGTATAAAATATAACTACTCTTCTAAATGTTTTTTTATATATAGCCTTTAATAAGAGCTACATTTAAGACGAATTTAATTAACACTTGTAGACTTCTACCCCAATTAAGCCAACTTTTATTAAAAGCTAAATCGACAAAACATTTAAGGTTTGAGTTGGCCCATGAAAATTCCATAAGAAATTACTTATTTATGAATGACCTTTAGCTCTGATAATAAAACTTGCACTGTGCGTCACTCTTAATGACGCACTCCCTATTTATTTATGATAAAAACTGATTAGTTCAATTTATTTTTACACGCCCTAATTCGGGAAGCCTTCTCCAATTACTAGGCTTACTTTCTATAACCCTGGGCATTGGAAAGCCATAAATTGTCAACGAATTAGAAGAAGCCATGATATTTATACATAAATCAATATCCAAACACGAATGCGGGTCAATCAAATCCTTCTGTGCCTTAATTAAATTACACACTACTTGAACTTGAACTGAACTCAGATTCGGCATTAATTCAAATTAATTGTTATAATTTCTATATAGCCATAGAAAAATCTGATGCTTCCGCGTCTCTTCTTTGGCTGTGTGTCATGTGTTTTGACTACGAATTAGGGTTACTTTGAAAACTACTTGGGATTCCAATCGTCATGCCTTGGGATCTGCAAATCTTGGAGGCGGTGGTAGGCGGCTATTTTCGATTTCATTGGCAAATTAACTTCCGAATTGAGATACTGTATGTAAGTCTGGCATGGTTGTGGCTATGTCCAGTTTTGGGCGGGCTAATTACCGATGCATGTGGGTGTGCGGGCCAAACCGCACCAAAAAACCGATCCCAAAAAACCCCTTCCCAGATCCCAGTTGCCATGCTCCACACGTGCCAGACGTTGGGGCGACGGCAGGTGTGTGTGCAAAATAAATATACCTATACATAAATTAAATTAAATAAAATAGAATCATAAACAAAAATCGAAAAACGTTTCCGCCATGGGTGTACGCACATGCATAATTAGAAATGTTGTCAAGCCCAATGAAGCTTTTATTGGATATGTTGTTGTCAGGTTTCAGGGATAGCGATTCACTAGCCCAGATTACAACAGTTCCTGTACATCTACACAAACTTTTACAATCCGCTTCTTCTTTTAATTCATATGTATGTCAGTTATTAAAAAACCAATAAAAAAAAATCACATTAAACTATGGTCACCCAACTTTATTACAATTTATCTGCGTATCATAAACTTGAAATCCATTGCCTCCGCCGACAAACTGCTTTATCTGCCCATAAAACTTTTAAAAATACATCTTTATAATCGAAATCTCTACATTATTTCCAGTTTCTGGATATCGCCAATAGGCAAATCACTGGGCATACGTAGTTCTAGACCTAAGAAAGCAGCAAATGTTCCTATTTTGGAGACGGCCTATGCGAAATCAACGCGATTGGACAACAAATGGGTGAGTTAGACACTTTATATCCCCAGATATATATAGACGAATAATCTTTAAATCCGTAATTTTCTTATAGCTGGCTCCGCTGTCCAAACAAACGGATATGAGCGAGCGCCAAATTGAGCGGTGGTGGCGTTTGCGAAGGGCCCAGGACAAGCCGTCAACCTTGGTGAAGTTCTGTGAGAATACCTGGCGCTGTATCTACTACCTGTACAGCTTCATCTTTGGCGTGATTGTACTGTGGGACAAGCCCTGGTTCTGGGATGTGAAGAGCTGCTGGTACGGCTACCCGCATCAGGTAAGGATATGAATAGATTATTATAAATACGAGGTCCTAATACGATTATCACTCTCCGTTGCAGTCGATTAGCAGTGATATCTGGTGGTACTACATGATTTCGATGTCTTTCTATTGGTCGCTCACTGGCACCCAGTTCTTCGATGTGAAACGCAAGGACTTTTGGCAGATGTTCATCCATCATATGGTTACCCTGCTGCTGATGTCGCTCAGCTGGGTGTGCAACCTGCATCGCGTTGGTTCCCTAGTCCTTGTTGTACACGATTGTGCCGATATCTTTTTGGAGGCAGCTAAGCTCACCAAATATGCCAACTATCAGAAGCTCTGCGATGCCATCTTTGCCATCTTCACAGTGGTTTGGATTGTTACGCGTCTTGGCTTTTATCCACGCATCATATACAGGTAAGTAGTGGTGTGGTTTGGTCCAAATCCTTATCCCCTCTGGTTGATTTGATCCCAATCCAACTGACATGTTCTTCCAATACCACCATCCTGTTAACCCGGCAGCTCATCTGTGGAAGCACCGCGCATTCTGCCCATGTTCCCAGCCTACTACATCTTCAACTCATTGCTTCTGATGCTGCTCGTCCTGCACGTCATCTGGACATATATGATTCTCAAGATCGTTGTCGACTCTCTGCAAAAGGGTCTGGTAAGTGTAGAGCCATTCTAGCTAACATAACCGAATCCTGTTAACCGTATATTAAAACCTATTAAAAGAACATTACTTGTGCATCCTATCGTAAATAACTAAGAAAACTTGTTCGAGTTATAGATTAATACATCATAATAATAATAATTAATAATTATATAATATTCCTTATTTTTAATTGTACTCACCGCTGCTTTTTCAGATGTCCGGTGACATACGTTCCAGTGATAGTGAGGATCTCACAGACAGTTCGGAGAATGCACGTCTGGCCAACGGATCGGCACGCTCTAAGAACAAGTCGAACAGCGGTGCGCCGTCAGCCGGAGGATCTGCAGGAGGAGCAGGAACAGGAGCCACACAGCGCAAGTCCAATAATTCCAACAATCACACAACCGAAGCGGCAGGAGGAGCTGCGACAGCGGAGGCCAAGTAGACTGGGATGTGGCTGACTGGGGACGAATGTAACGCAGAGTAGCGGAGTGGCCACAAGTAACAGAGAAACCAGTACCATACCAAGTAGTGGGCACATTTCCCGAGAGACAGGAGCAACAACAACAGCAAACAAACAAAATCAACACACACACACCCCACACACAACACACACACATACAAAAAACCAAACCAGTTCAGAACGTTTTTATGTTAATTATTATTTTTTTTATATATAAATCATTTTTTTTTAAGGTAAACAAAAATAGGAAACCAAAACCAAAAGAAATTTCAATAAATGCGAGAAAATTTATGCGTAACGATCTACTTGAACATCATCGTTATTAATTAATATTTAATATATAATATGCCTCACCGTTTTTTGTTGTTGTTTGTCTTGCTTAACCAAAAGAAAAAGAAACAAAAATTAAGAAACAATAAAATAACGTTAAAATTAACCAATTAAACGTAAAGCTAAATTAAGTTATTTTACCAAATGAAATGGAAGATAGCAAAGTGGGACTAAACCAAATTCGCTTAGACAAGAATTCAATGAAGAGTAATGGAAAAAAAGGATAGTAGTCAAAACTATTGTAAATAATGTACTTGTATGTTTCCCATATTAATAAATTTATGCAAAACGAATTACAAGACCCAAGTAAAAGTGTTTCGAAAAGAAGCGGGATGGCACTATCCGGGGGGCTGGACAAAAAAATTAGGCTTTTACACGGATGAGTCTAGAAATTTTAGCTATCTTCTATCAGTTGACAAACTTTGAAACCATTATAAATAAAGTCTATATATATCAAAGGATTTATAGTTGATCTGATGTCCAATAAATAAGAAGAAATTACCATTTTTATATGAGTTCCCTGATATTTAATCTTTATAGGTGAATTTCGAAAAAGCAACTGTATTTCACTTCTTTTTTATACATTTTTCGAACTATTTAAATTAAATGCAATAAGGGAAATGCAGTAATATTTTGAATTACTACTGAAGATTGAAAGATTTGGCTAAATAAACGTATTTTTTTTAAATTGTGTTAAAATTTATTTGCTCTCTCACGTAATACAAATTACAAACTAGGCTGGTGACTTTGTAGCTTTTAAAATATTTTTCAAACTAGAAAAAAGAATGAAAATATTTTTTTAAGTGTAATAAATTGTTAAATGACCAGGAAGTAGTCTTAATTTATATCATAGCTATAAACTTGATAGTTGGAAATGATTGTAAAGGTTCTAAAAGGTGTTTTCTGTAGAACTAATTATTTATCGAAATAGTTTACAAAGTTATATTTTTGGGTGTATTAAATGCATTATAATTCCAAGAGCACGAACCGAAGTAGTCTTAACTTATACCAGAGCATCTTTCATTGATAAATCCTATTAAAATTTATTTCGTCGCGTTCAAATTGGTATACACTACACGCTAGATCTAGTATTGGTAGCCGTCGGGTTGGTAGGGCCGTGCAAAAGGAGCAGGCGCAAACGGCACAGGCGGCGGACGCCAGTTGGTGGGAGGTGGTCTGGGAGGAGGCGCCGGCATACCAGGAGGTGCCCAAGCGTTTGGCTGCATCATTCGCGGCGGCGGAGGTATTCCCATCGCTGGTGGCAGAGGTGGCTGTCCACCGGCCATCGGTGGTAGCGGTGGCGGTGGTATCGTGGCTGGGAATGGCGCAGGCTGAGGCACTGGAGGCGGCGGTGCAATCATACCCATGTTGTTATTCGAAACGGGTACAACAGGCGGCGGCGGAGCCATCATCGGCGGTGGCATCATCTGGCCTGTCATCTGCGGCATCATATTCTGCACTGGCGCATCGGCAAACAGTTGATGCGGCCTGTCTGCATGAGCCGAAGGATTTTGCGCAGCCAACAGACGCTCTGCTGCAGAGCCGTGCCGTTCGCCTTTGTGATCCTTCTTGAAGGCATAGGACACAGAAATGGGACGGTTGCACAGGTATTGGCCATTCATGGCGTCCATGGCCGCATCACTGGCTTCAAAGCTGGCAAAGTTAATAAAGGCGAAGCTTTTCGACTTGCCCGTCTCCGGATCCCTCATAATCTTTGGGGTTTGCAGAATAACACCGAAGGCGGAGAATGTATCGTAGAGCAGTTTCTCATCCACCTCCACGTCCAGGTTGCCGATAAAGATATTGGCGCCAACGTCCAGATTTTTCTGGTGGGCTGACGCCTTGTTCACCCGAATGGGTTTACCATATAGCTTTATCATATTCATAATCTTAATGGCATAGTCGGCGTCCTCCTCGCTAAGGAACTCCACAAACCCATAGCCCTGGTGCATTTGGGTGACCCGATCCTTGGGCATGTGTACGTTCACTGGAATATAGGTGATTAAGAGGATTGCAGGAATTCGGTATGCTCGGTACTTACCCACTGGGCCTGCCTGCACAAATAGCTCCCACAGCAGCGTTTCCGACACCTTGTCATCCAGACCGCCGGCATAGATGGTGGCATCTGAAAAGAGTATAAAAGTGGATTGAGACGGATTCAAGGAAGGAGCCCGGCACAAACTCACCTTGGTTGCGTTCAGCAATGGGACCTGCCGCCATTTCGGATCAATATTTATAAACAAAACCAAAAATTAGTTTCCGGCGTTTTTAACATGCAAGCTATTGACAGTGTTACCAGATGGTGAAACGACTTTTACCTCCAAAGGCTCACGCCGTTGAACACGGTAATCGATGTTTAAATTTTAGTGGTTAATATTTTAATATCGGTAAGCAATAAAATAATTAGAAAAACATAACTAATAGAAATTGGTATAGATCAGCAGATCAAAAATATTCATGTAATTTTAAAGTCCTTAAACATACCAAAATATTTCCATTATGGATTGTTACACCTTGTCCAATTCAGTTCTTTATGCACTACATTTAGTAAAACAATTGGGATAAATTTGCTTATTTTTTTATTTAAAGGAATAACATCACAAAAGTGTAACAAAAATGATCAAAAAATCAATCAATTATCAAAGCTTCGATATCTTAAAAATAGACGCACGAATAACATATGCTACTTCAAAGTATTGATTCGATGAGCAACATTTCAACCTATAGAAGTGCATTTTGGATCAGAAATCTGTAAGGTATAGAACATTTAAAAAAGCTCATCTCATCTATATGGCTTTTTCGAAGTCTTAGCCCAAAAATAATACATATTAATTTTATTAGCAAATTAAATTGAAATTTTAATAAGTAAGTCACTTCGATTAATTGTAGGCTCAGAAGTGCAAAATTAGGACTCCTGTGAGTATATATATATTTACAAAAAATCAATTTGATTTATTTATTTATTTAATTAAATAAATTGCCAAATGTTACTAAATAATATACGATGTGCGCAACCGATTGCTTCATCTTCTATATCGATAGTTCGATTGGCCGTACTGCTCAAGAACTCAACTCTAATTTTTATGTAATGTCACTTTGTTGTCGTTTGTTACAAGAAGCAAGAAAAATTCGTGCTAGAAACCAAAGAACCAAGTCCCCAATATCCGTGCGCTGTGATGTGATAATCAATTGTGTTTAAATTATGAATTGTCATCAGATATTGAGCGGCGCCTGCAATGCGGGCGACCGGTGCTTCGCCATTGGCTCCGTGGAAGGAATACCATTTACAGTAAGCGCAGAAGAATCATCCAAAACGAACTGGGGAAAATCGTGAAAAATCGTAGGAGGAATTCGCATTATTTGCAAATCATTGATTGCCTCCCACCAACTGGCCACGCCTCCCAATTCGTTCAAATACTTTGCTCCGTTTTTTCACCACAATCCCATATACTTCCAATTGGAAACGGGGCATTATCATCATCATCATCGTCATTCCAACCAGAACCGATCGCAGCACGTCTTTAATGTTTTTATTTACATATTTGCATGTGTGTGTGTGTGCGCGTGTATAACCTATGTGTACGTCATGTACATATGTATTTTTTTATGCCACACTTGGTGGTCAATTAAAAAATCAAATGCAAATAAATGATGAGATAGAGAACTTTTTGTGTGTGTGTACAGTGCAAAAATTCGATAACAACAAAATGCAGTGTGTGTGGCAAAAAATGTTTGTTTTCACCTGCATTTACATACTTGGCCAGCAATTAATTACATTTTTTTAAGGTCAAGTGCTGGCAGTAAACAAGCCGAACGCACACATGCGTAAGTTGCAAGTGAGAGTGTGTGTGTACGACTGTTTGTTTGTGTGTACCCTTCGATTGGTCAGGTGGCCTTTGATGCCCTAATTTCGCAGCTTGCAGGTTGTCCCCCTTCCACTCTCTCTATCCCTTTCTCTTATGCCCCCTCCGATCTCCCTTACTCTTCGTCACACGTCAATGGCAAATTGGAATTATAAACGGCCATAAAAAACGTGAGCACGCATTTATAATGTGCCTTTTTCGATCTCTATAATATATAGTATCATATACATACACGATATGCATTCTGGGCATTTCGTATATTAACCCTTGCTTAAGATTTAGCCGGAAAAAATATTTCTAACGATCGTAAGGAACAGCAATAAACTTTGATATTAAACCTTCTATAAATAATGCACATTCTCTACATACCCACATCCCATTTATAAACACTGATAAAAAGTTGATTTGGTATTGTATACTTTTTATTTACCCAGAATGTTTATCCGATCTAGACACCAATGTCTGTGTTTTCCTGTAAACCTAAGGAAGCATAATAAACTGTGGACATTTCGCCACTCTAATAAGAGGCCCCACGGGGCATATGTGTACATTCTATATTCTACTATATTCTATTCTGTAATCAGCACTGCCGTTGACACAGTCCCCTGTTCACAGAACACCGCCCCCACCCACTGTGTCCACCTCCGCCTTGCGCCATATCATTTGCCATCATTTCAATTTGTTTAATTTCGAGTGTATGCATATGTATATATTTATTTTGTATATAGTCGGCACGAAGACAATCCCCTGGCGCCATCTAACACGTAGAGGGGGAAAACCTAAAAAAAAAACCCACGAAAATGAGCAATTTTAAAAATAAACCCATTAATACTCGGTCTATTATAACAATCTAAGCTATTAAGCCCTTAAACATGGCTAATAAAGAACGGTGGAAATGTTAGAAAAGGTTCCTCGCTATATCAGAAGCATCCCTTTTTATAATTTTAATACAATTAAAAGATATTTACTACTATCTTATCTGTTTCGAAACTAATGTGTTGGTAATCGGAAAGGTTGAAAAACCCTCCATAAAAAGTAGCTTCTGACATTTGAAGTAAATAGAGAAGTTAAAAATAAACCTGTCACCAAAGAGTAGTTAAAACTCTTTTCAAGATTTGTATAGCAAAAAACGTAGATACCCTTGGTGGTTTTTTCTTCTTATTATCATAAAATAATTTTGGAAATTCAATCTCTATTTATGTGGCCTTTTTATCACGTTTATAACTTAATAAGAGAGCCTAATCTATCAAATCATTGAAGCAATTATTCGATAGAGAAGGTGACTCAACGAGTTCCACCGAAAATGTCATACTCTTAAATATGATTATTTTAACTTAGGATGGCTAACCCTTTTGCACCATAGACTAAAGAGAAACATCTACAACGTTTTCTGTAGAAACTCCTTAAAAAACTACATTAGAAAAGACAATTAAACTTTTTATGAACTCGCTGTCACAGATCACTATTAAGCCAAGTAATAAAAAGCGAGAAAAATTAACTATTGTTTATGCTATATATAGCTTAGTACCCCTTCCAAATTTAACGACGTAGCAGGGTATTCAAATTTCTGACCACGATAATGAGCATATCAGCGACAGCTCAACAAATAAATCAAACACACTTTAGCTAACCAGGTAACCAAACATGATGTGGCAAGAGCCTTTTCAGCCAGCCTGATAAGCCAGTTAACTGGACAGTTAGGGTATTGTTATCGATATATACTTGTCTACATATATAACTGTCGTACCCGTGCATATATACACTTGAAAACAAACGGCTTTGAGAGCACATAACGATCGTATAATGTCTAGATTAACTGCACCACTTATTGTTATACCCTTGTTTTTCGTTATTTTGTAGGCCTACGCCGCCGGCTGCAATGTGGTCATCTTGGCAAGCACTTTCGAGCGCGTCCAAATCATCCCGGGCGCCAACCATGGCTATGTCAAAATATCCGCCCTGGATTGCAGCACCGACACCGGAAAGATAGCGGCGGCCTATGAAAACAAGATATGCATTTTTGAGCCCACGCCGGTGATCGAGTCCAGCAAGCACAATACCCACTTTCTGGACTACAGGTGAGTTTGAAATGGTTCTATATTGATTTCTATATCTATATCACCATGTTTCTCATGATCCCTTACAGATGGGTGCAAACGGGCTCCTTCACCAGCCACTCGAGCGTGGTGACTTTGTCGTGGAATCTGGAGGGTACCCGCCTCCTGACCGGCGGCACTAACATACAGCTGTGGAAGAGCAAGTCGCCCACTCACCAGCAGGAGGAAGAACACACGGGTGAGTCAAGTACCCCACTTCATTGACCCCTTTCTTTTTGCGGCCAACTATCGATTGTCGTGGGCGGTGATGAATCACAGATGCAAAGTAGTCAAGAAGGGTCGTCTTTTTTTTTAAATTGGATTTATAATATCCTAAGGGCCTACTGAAAATAATAGTTTTTCCAACCAACTACCGTAAAGCCTTAAACAAAGGCATTTCCCATTTGTTTGTAAGCAATATTGAGAAGAATATAAACTATTCCTAAACTATGCTTTCAAAAATTCTTTTATGTAATAAAGATCCATTTGTTTATGGATTAATGGGTTCATCATTGGATGGCACTGTTACTGAGCGTTAGAATTCGATTTATTTTTCTATAGAAATTCCAAACTTTGTTTAGTTTAGGTACCACCTGAGTGGCGTGGATAGTGAGTTTAATGAAATTCGATTAGAAGGTATTTTTAAACAATTAGAGCCCAAGCAATGTCACAGAAATTTTAGTAGTTTCAGATTTGCAATCTTATAATCACCCGTAATATAATTCTTAAGCATTACATTTATAATCACAACTCTTTCCTCAAATAGGAGTCAAGTTCGAAATTGGCGAGAGCAAGGAGCCAAAGCAGTCGAACAACACCCAGTCTGAGGATGTGTCCACGTGGGAGAATATTTGGAGCTGCCAAACGGCCATACCCATTTACCACATGGCATTTAGTCCGGATGGAACGCTCTTCGCTACCTGTGGCCGCAACGATCGGCTGGTGAAGATCTGGTATGAAAATAAACAGGTCCTTTTTCCGGCCAAAGGTACTTCCGCCGTCGGGGCCACAGGGTCTGGACGTCATGGGGGAGACGACGGCACTGGATCCGGTTCTGGCGGAGAGCTGAATTTTACGTACGTGTACATCGCCCATCCACGAGCCGTATCCAACATAGTGTGGCGTAAGACGAGCAAGTACATGCCTAAGGGATCGGTGGCAAATATGCTGGTCACTTCCTGTCTAGACAACATCTGTCGCATCTGGATCGAGACGGTACTGCCGGATGACGGAATGGTGAACATGACCCAGTTCGATCCAATGGCATCGCAGAACCCGAAATTCCGTACGCACCGGCATAAGCATCGGTTCATGCAACGGCTGAAGCACATGAAGACCTGCTTCCATATCCGGAGACATATGAAGGCCGGAGCGAATGCTGGTCCGGGAGTAGCAAGTGGAGGCATAGCAAGTGGTGGAGGAGCCACCGGAGCTATGGGCGCCATGGGTAGCTCTCCAGCCAGCTATAGCAACTATCTGGGACCGATACCATCGTTACCATCCTCGTGCAGTGTGCACGATTTTCATTCTTACGGATTCCAGGGATCGGGCGTCACACCCGGAATGCACTTCCACCTGGCTGCTTCGATTAACGCGGAAACCGACATCCCGTTGGTGCCATCGATGCAGACCAGTGATCCGGCCAACCAGAATGTGTTTATCCTGCACTGGCTAAACAACAAGGAGATGCATTTCACGCTTCAGGCAGAGGCCATACTCCAGGAGCTTACCAAGAAGGTGATCGACGAGGAGAATGGCCATGGAAATGCCTCAAGTGGTGGCGTCGATCTTCCGGATGATGCCCATGGCTCCCACTCGCAGGCGCATGCGCACAAGAAGTACCTGCGCTCCTCAAAGTCCGTCTCTGTAGATGACAGCGGCGAGGAGTACAGCCGCTACTCGCAGCACACGGCGGGCACGGGTATTGGCGGTGTCGGCGGAGTAGCCGGAGCCGGACTCCATCTGAACTCCATGTCCAACACGACGTCGCAAAACTCGTTAAACAACGAGCCAGCGCACCCAATCACACAACTGGTGGATTCGTTGGACAATAAGATCGAGTGCTTGCTACGTGACTGGCACCAGAGTCCGGATCTCCTGTTTGCCATTCATCCAGTGGACGGTAGCTACTTAATCTGGGTGATTGAGTGGCTGGATGACTACTATCCGGGTTCGTTTAGGCAGGCGCAGGTCTCCTTCTCTACACGCATCCCATCAGCCTTTCCGCTAGGCGATGCAATGTCCATGTCCACCACGGTCAGTCTATTTAATACGGGCACGCACCCGCTGGCCTTTCGCGATATTGCCAACAATGTGCGCAGCAAGGATGAGTTCCATAAAGGAAACGCGGATGACTCTTCTCTGAAGAGTGACCAGCATTCGGGACAGACCTTTGAGCGGCACGACGAAGAGCAGGAGGATGCTGCCGACGATGAGGATGGCGACCGTGAAGGCGATGCAGATCAGGATGAGGCAGGCGGCGATCGTAGTGCTGCCGCCAGTGGAGCCGGAGGTGCCGAGCATAGCAGTAGTTCGCAGGATTCGGCTGCGGCTGGAGCCAGTGCTTTGCCACTGAACGTTTCTCCTTCGGTGTCGATGGTGACCAAGCACTCGAATGGAACCCTCAACTTGTGGCAACTGACGTTCGCATTCAAAACGAAATTCACCCAAGTATTAAGCATTGGCCACGTGAGCCGTGCCTCTGGCCATCGGTTCCGGGTTAACGATATTACCTGCCACCCGGTGCTGCCATTGCTCGTCTCCACCTCGCACCATAACTTGCCCGATTCGGAGGCCAAGTCGCCGATGTCGCCGTTTGAGCAGCCCCTGAGTGGAGGGCTTCCTTCAGGTGGAGGAACAGGAACCGGACCCTCTGGAGGTTCTAATGGGGACAAAGATGTATTTACGCCTACTGGATTCTGTTCAGAGTTGATTCTTTGGCGTGTGGATTCCGTGGGACCGCTGTGCCATTCGGGTGGAGTCAGTGAACTTGCCAGGATTAACTCTCCGGAGATCTCGGCCTTCAGCAATGTGGCCTGGATTCCGACGCTCCTGCCGAGTACCACATTGGGCAGCTACAGTAACTCTCCGTCCGCCTGCTTTGTGGCCAGCGATGGGGAGAACCTGCGAGTCTACCAAGCGGTAATCGATGCCCGTACCCTGCTGGCAGAAATCTCATGCTCTGAGAACCTTAACACGTTGCACAAGTCACACTCGCTATCGTCGATGATCTCGAACGCTTCGTCCACGATGCGGGCCCAGCGATCGGCCCTGCACGACAAGCTTAAGGTGGTGTCCCAGCAGTCGACGGCAAGACCCGGTTGCATCCTGCAACTAGATGCCATCTCGGATGCTAAACACGACTGGCAGAACACGCAGTTCCTTCACGTATTCCAGGCGCAATTGATTACTGGTGGACAGAGGACGCCTTTAACGGATCCCCATGATCTTGAGGAACCGCGACTGAACGCCTTGCTGGAGTCGGACATGGATGCAATTGTGGATCTGCAGCGAAATGCAGACTTCGAGGAGCCCTTCTACATTGTGAACATCGAAAAGACTCTTCGCGGCAGTACCATTCACATGTGGCGCATAGTCATCAGCTCCAAGCAGCAGAATTCTTTTCTTTCCGAGACGGCCATGTATGTGCCAGATAGCAACCTTACCCAGGAGCCGGATGAAGATGGTGCCGGTGGCAATCCGAATCCTCGTCGGATGTCGCAGGGAGCGGAAACCCTAACTGGAGCTGAGCATTTTGGTCCTCAGGTGGAGGCACCGCACATCTCAATTACCACGAAAAAAGTGTGCACCCAAGAGTTGCCGCTGCCCGAAGGGGTAGATGTGATCCATGCTTCTCCGGCCGCTGGTCATCTGAGCAGCTCCAGCATTTATCCAGCCTGCTTTGCACCGTACATCATTGTGACCGCCTGCTCGGATTCTATATCCCGGTTCTGGAAGTGTGAACCCATTGGCGATGAGGACGATCAAGATCCAGAGGACGATGCCTATCACTGGAGCGAGTGGAAGATGTTCAGCCGTATCCAGCACTCGGCTATCGAGATTCCAGGCCAGCCGCTGAACATTAGTGCGGCCTACTCCGGCCGGATAGCTTGTGCCTATAAGTACGGCAAGAGTTTCACACGGCCCAACAAGGGACCCGATCCGGATTCACGTTATGTGAATCTGTGCGTGGCTATCTACGAGTGCGAGAGCTCCGGTGGTAGCGAGTGGGTGCTGGAGGATACCATTCACTTAAAGAACGTCCATCTTCCGCGGATCAACATTGGACACGGTATCGATTTGAGTTACCTCCACGACAGTCGACTACTGGCGAAGAAGCAGCGGTTAAATCAGGTTCTTCACACCTTTGCCCACGATCAGGAGAGCAGATCTCCGCGTAGTGGCGAAACCACACCAGAATTGGCCGTCAATAGGCAACCCTCGGCTGCTGCTTCCGGTTTACTAACTGTGCCCAGCTTTAGTACCCTGCAATCCCTACGAAAAAGCATCGCCGAGAATGGAAACACTTGTCCCTTGACCCAAAAGCATCTTGTCCAACTTGACTGGGTGAGCAAAGAGGATGGCTCACACATCCTAACTGTAGCTGTGGGCAGCAAGATCCTACTATACACTCCGGTGAGTTCTGATATTGCCCAGGCGAATATCAAGGCAATGAAAGAGTCGCGGTCGGTCAATCGTCCCATCCTGCGGAAAGCTAGTTCCCTGGCTCAGCCCAACTTTGTGGACGAGATCCGTTGGATGAAGTTACGGCAAATAGACCTCCAAACGGCTGATGGGCTGCCTCCGCTACCCATGCAAATTTCTTGGGTACGCGATGGTATTTTAGTGGTGGCGATGGATTCCGAAATGCATGTGTACTCACAGTGGAAGCCACACTTCTCCTCCCACTTTGCCGCTGCGGCGGCCGCTGCTGGCGAGGATGTGCCAGATACCCGGAATTTAAGGGATGAGGATCTGCGTTCGCTGGCCAACGAGTCCACACAACTACGGCTAAAGAACGTGGCCTCCATGCCGCTGATTAGCAAGGTGAGCACGGCCAATCTGCAGTTACTGTCCCATGACAAGAAGCGTCGTTTGGGCAATACCAGCATGGCCAATATGAATGGAGCTGGTGGTGCAGGTGGAGCTGGCCCTTATGCTGCTGGTGCAGATGACGGCGGCAACGATGACTACATGACGGATTTCGGCCTGTTCCAGGCCTCTCGCATTGCTTGTCCAGTGCTGCCACAATACCATCCCAAGCAGCTGATGGAGCTGCTCAACTGTGGTAAGATTCGCTGGGTAAAGGCCATCCTGGCTCATCTGGTGCGCTGCATGAGTGGCAATAGTTTGAATACAGTTGGCCAGGACGAGGATGGTTATGCCAGGCAGCGTAGCTGGTCAAGATCCCGCACCCTGAGTATTAGCTACACGGCGGATCAGAACATTCAGGTAGAGCATCGTGGCAGCACCACCCAGATTCCCGAAGAGCTGATGCTTGACTACGCGGAGATCAACTCCATTCCGCCATTGCCCTTGTGGGTGCTTCTTAATGCGGACCGGGAGACGCCGGGTCAGAGCAATAACTATGCCGAGGGTGACAAGGACTACGATGAACTATTTGACATGCACAACTCGGAGGACAACTTGGATGAGCTGCTGAGTGAGGGCGATGAGAAGAAACGCCAGGAGCGCAGGCTCTCGCTACCCGAGAAGCATTCTATTTCGCACTTTGGTCCGCGACAGGGGCAACTTCTATCGCGCCTGCTGACCCACACCCATTTGCCTGGCCTCTCTTCGCTGGACCAGATGCATCTGCTGGCCCTGGCCGATACGGTAGCTACTTGCAATACAGATTTCTCCGATAAGTTTGCTGTCGACCAGAGCAAGTCGGGAGGAATGGGAGGAGGAGCTGGATCGGGAGTTGTTAAGGATGGTAGCACCAGTACAGACTCCCTTGATGACTGTGGCCTGCGTTTCCTGCTGGCCATGAAGCACTTTACTTACCTTCTTCGCTGCCTGCCACTACAGCAGCGAGCGCAGTTCCAGCGCCAGGGCGTGGGCACCTCCAACATTGTTTGGGCCTATCACTCGGAGAGCGAAGAAGAGCTTCTTAACCTCATCCCAAGTTACACCAAAGGCGATCTTCGTTGGTCTACGCTGCGGGATCTGGGCATGGGATACTGGTTGAAGAACATTAATACGCTGAGGAGGTGCGTGGAGAAGCTGGCCAAATGTGCCTATCAGCAGAAGCAAGAACCTCTGGATGCGGCTATTTACTACCTGGCTATGAAGAAGAAGTCCCTAGTGTGGGGTCTTTTCAGGTCTCGACGAGACGAGAAGATGACAGCCTTCTTCGGGAATAACTTTGCTGAAGATCGCTGGCGTAAGGCTGCTTTGAAGAATGCCTTTGTGCTGCTAGGCAAGCAGAGATTCGAGCATGCAGTGGCGTTCTTCCTGCTGGCCAATAGCCTAAATGATGCCATCGAGGTGTGCATGAACAAGCTTGAAGATTTCCAGTTGGCGCTCATCATAGCTCGACTGTATGAGGGTGACGCCGAAGGATGTTACTACCACCATTTGTTGCACGAACACATTTTGGGTACAGATGCGGAGACTGGGCGTTGTGATCTTAGTCGTGCCCATCCAGATCCCTTCTTGCGATCGATGACCTACTGGACGATCAAGAAGTACCAAGAGAGTCTGAACACGCTGCTACTAAATAACGTAGGCAGCCTGCACAGCAGCTACAGGGAGGAAGATCTGTTGCGACCCGAGCCACAGGCCACCAATCCGAACGTGTTTAATTTCTACATATATTTGCGCACCCATCCGTTGCTTATTCGTCAGAATATCGCCTTGTCGGCACAGGAAAAGCGCATTGCCCATGTGGTACTGTCTGGGTTCAACTATGCTGGAGATGCTGCTCCTAGTGCCGTGGCCTGCGACAAGCAATTGCAGTTAGAGGATTCGATAACGCCCATCGAGCGGCAGTTGTACTTTACCACCGCACACGGACACTTCAAGAGCGGTTGTCCAGCGCTGGCACTTGAGGTTCTCAACAAGCTGCCCCAGAAGATTAGCGACGATTCTGGAGGCAGTGTGGCTGGTAGCCAGTCGCAGGAGCGCGCCCAGCAGAACAAGGAGGAGCTGATCAACACGGGTATCATGGACCAGTGGGGAGCTACTCCTGCCGCTACGCAGAACACAGCGGATGCCTTTGACTGGGGCGCTCCTGTATCTAGTGAGCCGGAGGCCAAGTTTGAAATAAAATGGGATGATGAAGATGAAGATGAAGACCCTGATCTTGAGCCAGACGAACCTGAGCTAGCCACCCCGCAGCCGCAGGCGTCCATTTTAGGCAGAGGCAAATCAAGTGGAAATGATACAAAGATGGACATTATGGCCCAGCAGCTGAAGTTTGTGGCCTGTCTAAAGATCCTCATGGAGGAGCTGTCCACGTTGGCTACTGGATTCGAAGTGGATGGTGGTCAGTTGCGCTACCAACTTTACATGTGGCTCGAAAGAGAGGTGGAGGCGCTCAAACAGTTATGCAACTACTGCAGCCAAGCGGAGCAGTCCAGTCACGAGCCTGGTGATGCGGATGCCGAGGCCAGAGACAAGGAGATGAATGCCAGCATCTATCCCAGCACTGAGCGTCCCACGCTCCACGAGATCCTCATGCAGGACAAGCAAGATTTCGAGGCCAAGGTGATGCGTGCAGCCAAACGCAAGCGATGGCTCAAGGGTAAGTTAATCTTATAAAAATCATAAGTTATTATTTATTAATTTTAAACTCTTCAGCCAATGAAACACTGCTTCGTACGCTGCTCAGTTATTGTTCCCTACACGGAGCTAGTGGTGGTGGCCTGGCATCCGTACGCATGGAGCTGGTGCTGCTGCTCCAGGAGCTCCAGCAAGAGAAGACACAGCAACAGTTGCTGAGCCCGCTGCCCTTCCCTACCACGCTTCCCTTGCTCAGTGCCTGTGTGGCGGGTAACAAGACGGTTATAGCCGATCCCATTAAGTACCTCCAGTCTCAGACAGTGGACATGCTGCAAAGCATCATCAAGGTGCTGCCCTTCCCAGGAATCGAACCGAGTGCTTTGAGCGAGATCTTTGTCCTTCGGGATCTTGCCGTGGCTCTGTCTTCCTGCATCTACCAGTCGCTCTGCGATTCCGAGAGCTTTGTGGTTAACAACTCGGCCTTTAATGGTTATCCTAGTCCCGGTATGGAGAACATAGCCAAAATAAACTCCTCTTTCGAGTGTAGCTACCTAGTGGGCAGCCGGAATGCTTATGGCCGCAGACGCAAGTATTCGACGGATGAGCCGGCGGGTGTATGCACCACTCCTTCCAAGTGGCCAGGTGTAACCAATCTGCGTGCCCTTTTGGCCCGCGAGAAGGACGAGGATGTGCCCAAACTAAATGTGCTGCTGCTGGAGTCTTTTGTTTCTACTTACATGGCACTATTCATTTACTCGCTGTCCACCTGCGATAGCCGTTTGTTGTACCGCCTGAGTGGCCAAAGTTTCAACAATGAGACCTGGTCCACTCTTTTCGGCGGTGGCATGAAGAAGTTGCTCATTAAGCCCGCTGCTGCACAGCCTCCTAATCAATTGGTGGCCGGAGGAGGCGGAACAGTAACAGGTGGGCCTTCAGGCGGGACCGGATCCACATCTGAAGAGCCGACGGATGAGAATAGTGTATGGAATACGGTTACTTCGATCACAAAACAGCGCATGAAGCTAAATATGAAAATCCTGGGCAGCTTTAGCCAGAACAGCACTTCCAGTAACATGAAGGAGGACAAACCCACGTATCGGGAGCAATTTATGCCACCGGAGACGTCCATGCTGTCCTACTTCCTCACCAAGCCACCCACAACCGGTATGGTTTTGATCTGCAAAGTAACGATCCTATAATTGATTTGGTTAATACCTTTCAGAATGCGATGACTACGACACGGACGACTCGCACGAGTCGGACAACGAGGAAGAAGAGGAGGACGACGATGATGTCAATGTGAGCCGATCGCAGCTGAAGGCCAAGGATAACACGGAGCACACCAATCCCACGTCTTACTCGTGGAGTATCCTGCGCCTGGCGCTCATCAAGATCAGCACGCACAAGATTCAGGAGCTGGTCAAGGTGGCCGGCATCGAACTGCAGGGTAGTTGTAACATTTCATCCATCCATTCGCGATCATCATCTAAGCTTCCCTTCCTATATTGTCTCCCCGTTTCGTGCAGATTTGCCTGTGATCAGTCCACTCTCACACGAAGTGCTAAGGACCCTTAATCGCTGGCAGGAATTTGCCCTGAGTGACCTCATAGCCCGTGGTCCACCGTCTCGAAATTATATACCAGGCTGCTATGCGGAGAGTGGCATCAATGGATTGGCTATCCATAAGTATCGTTCTCTGCTGAATAAGGACAACACTCCGTTTGTTTCTGGTTCGTCTGCTGGGCCCATCCGGCGGCTGTGGAACTATTTGGTGCGTCAGGAGCCTGCCCAGGAGGTATTCATAAAGAGTATCTTCGGCAAGAACATGGAGCCCAGCACACGGGGTTCGCATCACACCCATAATGACAACGAAACCGACGAGGGTGAGTTCATTGCCTCAATGTGTCTTTGAATAAATACTGATATTTTTATGCCGCAGGTCAATCCCATTCGACCAACGAGAATACCGACCACATCCGGATTATTCACAAGGACCACGAGTCGATATTGTCCTTCTGCTTGAAGAACAACAGCTCGTCGATGATTGCCTTTGCAAATCCGCGTGAGATCCAGGAGTTCGACATCTCGCTGCTGCTAGAATCACCGAATTGGTATGAGGATGAGTGTGACTACGATATGATGAACCTATCCAAGGATGCCGATACCAACAGCTCATCCTTCCTAATCATTCAGACCCAGGAGCAGTAAGTCAAGCTTTTCAAAATTTGGCAATGCTTCTATATTGATGTTTATTACTTGCAGAAACCAATTTGGGAGTAACAGCAATGCCTATAGCGAATCCAATGCTAGCACACAAAGTGCTTCGCAATCAGGACGCGGTACATCCATGGTATGTGATGCTGTCAAGCCCACTAAAGCGTAAATTTAATAATGCTCTCGACCCATATAAGGTGCTGCGCCACAAAGTAGACAATGTAAAGCGAATGAGCGCCCATCCGCTGATGCCGTTGTATCTTACTGGAGGCCAGGATGGCTCCGTACAGATCTGGGAGTGGGGTCACCAGCAGCCTGTCTGCTCGCCCCGTACCTCGGGAACCTTTGCCAAGGTCACGCGATGTCGCTTCTCGGAGCAGGGCAACAAGTTCGGCATCGGCGATGGCGATGGAAAGCTCAGTCTCTGGCAGGCGGGCATCGCCTCACAGAACAATCGTTCGTTCATAGTGAGTTGGCATACTGTCTGGGCTTGTCTATGATCCGCTTCCTAACCCCTTGACTTTTATTTTGCAGAGTTACCAGTGCCACAACAAGGCGTTGTCAGATTTCGTGTTCCTTGGTTCATGCAGTCTCCTGGCTAGCGGTGAGTTGTGATGTGGTAACATCATCTGTTATTCAAAGATTCCATTTTACATTGAATCTCTTTAACAGCCGGTCAAAGTTCTGAGAACAAAAACATTAATATCTGGGACACACTGCTGCCCCACAAGAAGTCTTGCGTGTCGGGTAAGATCAATGTTAACTTATGTGGTACGTGTCTAAAAGAATCCTTTACAGCCTTCACTTGTCACGACCAAGGATCGTCCTGTCTGGTGTTTGCTCCTCAGCATCAGGTGCTCATCTCGTGTGGTAAACGCGGCGACGTTTGCGTCTTCGATGTGAGACAGCGTACGCTGCGACATCGCTATCAGGTGAGTTCTTTATATATAAATATATATCTAAAAGTAGGTAATAATTCTCGTTAATTCATCCCATCAGGCCCATGATAGCACCATTAAGTGCATAGCTCTGGATCCGCACGAGGAGTTCTTTGTCACTGGCTCCATTGAGGGTGACATTAAGGTGAGTTACGATGACATTTCATTCGTGCAGAGATCTTATTACTAATCCATGCTTATTTCACAGATCTGGGACATGAATCAGTTCATGCTGATCAATACGTTCCCGCATGAGCATGCCAAGAACGGGTTCTTCAAGCACACTGGCCAAGGCGTTAGCCAGGTGTACGTGGATCCCTTCGGACGACTCTTCTCTTGCGGCTCCGATGGCTGCATGAAAGTCCGTCTGCTGGTGGAGAAGGACAACATTGTTCACTCCGTGTATTGAAAGCTGTATTCTATCCGTAACATTTCTGGCACAGAAATCCATCCGGACTCTGTGTCCGAGTCAGTCTCCGTTTGCCGTAGCCTAGTCCGTGTTTCTGCTCTCGTGCTCGTCTGTTTTTATGTGTGTTGCGGCAAAAAGGATTTGATTCGAGTGTCCTACAATATGTGTATTCTTTGTTAATCGTTGATTATTGTAAAATTTTTAATTGTATTTCAATTTCCTACACGTACAGATATACATATATATATATATATTTTATTAATATTTTTATTTGCATAAATGTACTGTTTTTTTTTGTGCCCATTTCCGTTTTGCTAATTAATGTTTTTTCCAAACGACGAAACAAAAACGAAACTTGTGTCTGACTCGATTCGCTTGATTCGTTTCATGTTCTTTGAGTATTTCCTAAACAGACTATATACTATACACTACTATACAGATACAAGATATATATATATATACATACATATATTATATACATCTATTATATGCTTTAAATCAATTAATTATTATTATACGATATACAAGACATTCGACAGTATGGTAATTGATATGCTTACGAATATATATTACGATCTATGTCTTTGTGTTGAGCTTTGTGCAAAAATTTGTCTGTTGTTGAATCAATCAAGATATATGTATACCTAAATCGAAACTAAATGAATTAACTAAAAATAAATAAAGTGCAAAATTAATAAAAAAAAAAAAATATTTAAACCAAAAGCTGTTGGTTTTTATTGCAATGTAAAAGATATTACTATGAAATGAGAATCTGTTGAATTCAGCTTAAAATAGTGATGATAAGACTATAATCTATATGCAAATCTTTATTTCAACAGGATGTTCCCATCACCATTCCAGTCATAAGACTATAAAAGCCCCCGTCCCTTTGCCCACTAATAGACACATCAATTTCAACTGAATTGTTCCATTTCCGTTTGCCATTGAAAAGTGATTTTCTTATTTCATTTTTATTATTTCTTTTCTGAGCTTTTGCTTATATATTTTTTTTCATTGTTAGACAATCAAACAAATTAGACGCTACGCCTTATATGGGCCTTTAATAATAAAACTAGCAAAAAAAAAAAAGTTGAAGAGTTCACAGGGGAGACAGAAAGATAGAAAAAAGGCAACAAAAACATAGATGGTAGCCAAAAGAGGAATTATTATGGATCGGATCGGCAGATCGGCGGATCGAGCGGAAGCGTTGGCATCCGTTGAAAAACAGCATTATGTGTATAGTTTACAGCGAAGTAGGGTAAGATAAAATGGGTAGAACCGAATCCGTAGTGTGGTCGTCAAGGGGGCCCCGTTTATTTGGCCGGAACGCGTTGTCATCGTATCGTATCATATGGCACCGTTTAGTCGTGTATCGGATCTACGACCTCGGCGGCTTAATTAGCTTGCTGGTGGGCGGTGGCAGCTTGCAAAAGCCAGCCGCATCGAAAACGGGCAGCAGTTCCCTCACCCGTCCGGGAATCGAACCATCGAGCATTCTGTGAGTGCGGAAATTTTGACAAGGATAGACAAGAATTATGAATAATAAAATAAAATCCTCAATTTAAACATTTTTTTTGATAAAAAGTTAACCTGAAATATAACTTTGCGAGCCCATAACTTTTCTAATTGTGTTCCGATTTTGAAGTGTTATACCTCAAAAGTCTTGTAATTTCATTCTGTCAAAATCTGCATTAACAGTTTTTTTTCTCATTTTTGGTAAATTTTTTCAAAATTTTCACGATTTTGATGATGGTACCCCTTACAGAAATTTCAAAAATCGTCAAAAAATCATATTTCTAAGTTTTGATGCAAGTTTTAAATACTCAATGAGCTGAGTCTTTAGAGGTATAACAATCCATGTTACGATTGTTTCAACAAAAGTTATGGGCAGCTGAAAATGGGATTTTGGAGGGTTAAAGGTATGTAGGTACCTGCGCTTGTAGTCAATCTTGGCGCCCTTCAGCGAGATGTTGGCCTCAGTGGGAAAGAAAGTGGCATCATAGAAGTTAAGCCCGTTCTGCAACAGAATGTTGTACTCATCCATGGAGGCCAGAGTGATCCGGATGACGGCTGGAGGCAGTTCCCTGCGCTCAGGGCGCTCGGCCTTCTCGATGGCATCGCCTACCACAGAACCCACGCTCTTGGAGGTGCCTATAAAAAAGTTTGTCGACACATTTTCTTTAGAATAACCACATAGAGAACTTATCTCTCACATTGCTAAGGATGTTCATAAGGATGTAAGGATGGGTCATAATTTAAATATTTTTTTCATGTTACCAATTTGAAAGGGTACTTTACTTCGGAGTGCCGCTCGGCGCAGAGTCTGGGTCGGCGTGTGCAGCAGCTGAATCTGCTCACCTTCGACGCCCTTGTCCCCGCCAGCGGAGGAGGAGCTGGCAGCGACGGCGGAGGAGGAGGCGTTTGCGGCGTTGCTTGCGAGGCTCGAGTAGATGTGCAGGCGCACTACCTCCACCACCGAGTCGAACTTGTACATGGCGTGACGTATGTCCTCCACGGGCAGATCCTCGGGAACATCCAGAACGTACAAGGTAAAAGTCTTCCTCGGCCGACACGGAATGGCTATCTGTGGGTTACAGAAAAGAACGAAGGGAAAACGGAGAGTGACTGCTGCGCATGCGCACGGTTAGGTTAAGCTAGGTCGATCGATGGATATATGGAAGGTTTCTGAAGGGTTATGTCTGTGCTGGGTCAATCCCAATCTCAGTGGAGAGCCATCAATCGATATGGATATATACATATGGATATACTTACGCTGCGCGAGAATGTTTGCTGCAAAACGGGGGAAATAAAATTTGCATTTTTCACTTGTCGGTTGGGTTAGTCTGGCAGAAAATGCTTGATGATCGGATCTGATGAGGTGGGATGTGGCGTGGATATGGGCAGTGATGGGAAGTTCTAGGTTGAGGGTTTCCCTACAGGTAGGTGCAACGAATGTCCAATAGATAATTTCGAAAATTGCTATAAAATCAATATTAAATTTTAATTTTTAGAACTAAAATATAATTGTTCTCCGCTATTGATCAATTTTTCAAAAATGTTTTCAGAATTTTTGGATATTTGTATACCAAAGATATTAATTTTGAAGTGCTAAAGCCACTAATCGAAATAATTAATTTGGTATTGAATTTGGACTTGTAAGCCAGTGTAAGCACACATAGAATTTTCTGTTTAGTCACATTTATGATACTCTAGAGACATTTTCGGGACTTAATCGAAAAGGCGTTGCACCTCTGACCTCTTTGCTGTGGCACATACCTTGTGCCCCATAATGCCCTTCCAATCACTGGAGATGTGGGTGTGGGTGGGTGGGCTCACCTTGCGGTAGAAACGCGCCCCGGTGACCTTGTGGAAGCCCTTCTTGAACACCGCCTGATAGTCATCTGGATGTGAGAATTTAAACAGAATTCCTGTAGCAGTTTTGGTCAAGCTGAAGCATCCCTTGAATGCCATCTTCTCGCAGATAAGTGCCGCCCGCTCCATGGACAACTCGTAGGATGGGGTCAGTAGGAAGGCGCCTGTAAGTACGATTACGCTTTGGTTAGGCTACGTTGTTAGTGTCTCCAACTACCAAGTTAATTTTATGAATTTAAATGGCAATTATTTAATTAAATCGTCATGCACTAAGCGAAATAGAAAGGAAAAAGGAAACTTTGACAGGCCAAAGTTAATAAATATACTCTTGCAGTTACAGATATATATCTCATTTCAGGTTATCAGATATCTTCTAGTTATGCATAACTTGGTAAACTGCCTTTTTTTTGTATTCTTTTTTTATGGCACAGTTTGCGAAACGGACGCTCTATGCTTAGAAAAACAAATCCATATTTATGAGTATAATCCTTCTGCCAGGGTATATCTGTTTAGTGGTAATTCCATAGCGATTTAGTGTTAGGATTTGAGTTGGACCATTGCCACCTTTGGTCAGGAAGTTATCCGGCGACGAGACCTCCGAATCGGAGTCATCCTCCCGCTTGTCAGTCCACTTAGGTTCCGCGGACAGTTTGTGGGCTGCCACTTTGGTGACGATTCCCGTGGAACGTTGCCTTGGAAACTCATTTTTTTCGCATTCCAGATCGGATGTGTTGCCCAGGAACGACATGTTTGAAAGACGACACAGAAAGCGTGTTGAAACCAAAAAAAAAAGTTTTGATACTCGAAAACGGTTTGAAAACGTTCGCAATTCGCTCAGGCGGCGGCAGGCGGTTAGGGCGATAATTTTGAAGCAACTGAAATGTAGCTGCGTTTTCGAAGCTCTTTTATACGGTCCACTGGCGCCGCTTCGCATCGCATCTTTGGCTTCTAGGTTTGGGCACCGATCAGCAAAATGAAAGTCCCACACACGCGTACAACTGGGGGCAAACTATCAGCATTTTTAACGGTCTAAATTTTGAGTTCAGGTTAATAGTTTTGTATATTTTTAACGTTTAAAGTTTAAAAAATCATATATATGTGAGTTCATTGCTAATTAAAGCTTACAATAGAACTGAAATCAAAGTAACACTGTTTAACAGATCGTATACGCGATATTTGGTATTTTAAAATATTACGTATACGTAATACGTTTAGCTCAGATTGAAATTTTAATAACTATTTAATACTTCTTTGATTTCTACTAAAAATATAAAAGAAAATACTACTAACCCAGAAAATGCCTAAAAACTAACAGATTTTCATGGGCTACTTCAGTGCTACCATTTTCACCAGCATTGTGGGCACGGGTTATGCGATCATGTCGGATGTCTCTCAAATTGGAAGTTGGTTCTTACAATTAGACGACGGCATATTATTGTTTGTTATTGATCCTCTCCCGGTGGAGTGGGCGACTCATAAGATGGGATGGGATACGATCGGATTGGATTGGAACAGTTTCGTTTTTGGTGGTGCAGATGGGTTCGTGGTTGGGTGGGTGATCGGGTGGATGGTCGGGCCGCAGGTTGACGCCATCGATATCGCTTGGCCATATAGCCAAGATCACGCTGCGGCGGCGCCAACTGTTGCGTAAAATTCAAGAACACGGCTGTCCCCCAAAAATGGTGCCACATGCCCACCGAATTGCGAATTATATAACGAGCAGAACACTTATGGGCAGTCGGATATCAGCTGGCGGCAAAAGGAGCCCAAACGGGATCAAGGGCGTTAAGAACTTGGATTTGGACCTTGGTTAATCAAGGTCCCCGACATAAATTGTCCCATGGACATTTAAAGAATTATCGTCAGGCATGTAATACATAATTTGCGATATAGTTATCTTATAAGGTCTTAACTTTTGAAGAGTTTATGTCATCTAGAATCCTCAGAAACCATTCCCAAAGTTCACAAGTTTTTAATTTTATCATTTTATAATATGTGGTTTATTAATAAATTATTTTATTTAAATTAATTTTGTCAGTTTTCATTTTTGAATATTTATAATATTTTTGTTGCTTCTTTGTTTGCCTTCTTTCGTTTAAACAAAATGTGTCCTTCGCTTAATAATATTATAATAATCAAGTAATAATAATAATAATAATATTAATAAACTACTAAAGTGTTTTTTTTGTTTCATGGCAACATTTCATTTCGTTTCGTCTCTTCGTTTTGGTTGCTCTAGGTTGGATGGTTGGGAAATAAGGTCTTAACGATCGGAAGGATCAGCTTTAACTGATTGATGGAACTGAACAGCAAGCAAATGTGTACTTTCTCTTTATTTTATTTTCTATATGATGAAAGGGGGACAGGATTCCATTGCTCGAAAATGTTATACAATTGGTATGATTTATATATATATATATATATAGTTGTATAATCTTTATACGCTGTTTATATATGGGTGTGTATATACTATATAGTAATATAAGCATTTTTTTGGAGATCACTCTGAGTGTTTTTCTTGTGTGTGTGTGTGTGTGGTTTTGCTTGCTAAATAACACAAAAAAAAAAACATCTGTTTTGGGGGGAGAGGATAAATCATATATCACTAGCTCTTAAAAGACATGCGCTGCCAATAACAACAAGAATTGAGTATTATCTGATCCGTCTTTATCATTACCGTTAATCGTAATTGTCGTATTTTCTGGGGGGGAGTGGGGCGGGTAAGCACACATTTACATACTTACATACATACATACACAACAACTACGTTTAATAACCGATACAAATGTTAACAATTATGCGGCGGATCGATCGATCGATATATATATTTATGTATATATCGCTTATCGCTTAAAGTTTTCCTTCCTTTTGAGAAGGATTTTGAGGGCGGTGCAAATTAGCGAGGGATTTCTTGGGGTGGCGGGGCATCTAGGCATTATCTCGAAGCGGGGGACATCAGGCAGGTGGGACATTCATAGAACTTACATGGCAAAACATTATATTCGTATAGTACTTTTCCAATTTTCAATTCTTCAATTCTTCTTCTATTTCCCTTCTCTTCTCTTGTAATTTTAGCTTCTTAGCGTAATTAGTTTTTTGGATTGTTTTTTTTTTTTTGTTATGGTTTTGGTTTACTTTTGTGCCAAGCGTACACACTCATATATATTCAATTTAAACATATATGTATTTAGTTTGTATGTATATTTAAGTATAGCCTAATTTTCCATTTTTCTTTCCATTTTTGCAAAAAGCAGCATAAACAACTTTTGTGATTTTCATTTTTTCTTTGCTTTTGTATAGTTTTTCGATTATATTATATATATGCATATATTTTCATATTTTTTTTGTTTTATTTTGTTTTGCTTGCATTACACTTAGCCGGCGTCTTGCTTGCCACGATATAGATATCATATTAATATTAACTATATAAATCGATGATTTTCCAAGTTTTAATGGGTTCGACAAAAAAAATAATCAGTAGTTTCTCGTTTCATTTTTAATAATTTTCATATTTTAAGTGCATTTTTATAGTTTTTTTTCCATTTTTTTTTTTTGTGGTTTGATATTACATACAAGTACATACAGCTTAGGTTTAAGGGGTAGGGGGCGTGGCAGGGAGCGGTAAAAGCTATAAAACTATGAGTGTGTGTGTGTATGTTTGTGTGTTTGTATGGTGGGGGTGACAAAACGCAAAAATAATAACGCTTTGAACTGACTAGAGAACATTTAAATTTCGCCTTAAATTACAGTCGAAACATGCTAAATAATATTGTATATATGTATAATATAATATATAGGTGTATACGTATATATTTAGTTTAAAAAAGGTATATAAAAGTCTTTGCATTGGAATCGTTAAACACATACAAGAAGGATTAAACCGATCCGCGAATTGAAGCCAAGCATTTGTCTAGATTTAAAATTCTGTTCTTTGTTCTTTGCCTCAACGCCATTCGAAATTTTGCTAGGTTTTCCTATTTCGGGTCTGGTCTGGTCTCCATTGAATTATAGATCAGCTAAGACTAAGAATTTTTAATGGAGGGAGGCTGTTGGTTTGTTCTTTTTTTTTTTTGTTTTTTTCTTTACTGTCTGTCTAACAAGCAAGCTTGGAAGAAAGCTTGTGCTAAGCTCGATGCTAGCCGAAATCAATCGCTAGATTGATCAACGTACTTCAGGGTGTGTTGTTGGGTAAAGTTATATAAAGTTATACATTATGGCACTGGTAAATGCTGGAAGCTTCAATAGGCCTAAATCTCACTTTCACCAATGGCAGTGCAGCTCGACTGAGAGTGGGTGTATATGCATATGTTTTGTTGTGCGGACTAGGATCGGGGATATGTCATATAAGTGTTATACTGTATACTCTATTACTGGGGTTGGGCACACAACGAAAGCTTGGGGGTACAGGGCAAACAATTGAGTCTAGGATTCTATATGCTAATGATATTACAGGTCCAAATCAATACGATTGTATAATGTGTCCTTTGTGTATGCGTGTGGTATTGCAGTCCTTAGATCGATAGAGAGCAACTCAAATTTAAGTTTACGTTCAGTGTGTTTGCGCAGCTTTAGGGTTAATAGTACCTTCTGATGTTACTTTCTTGATATAACAGTCTTAGTCGTAACTACCTTAATGCTGCGAAACTCACTGAACTTTTAACACGTTATGTACAGTATACAGTGCAATAAATGTCCAAAAGTCTTTTCAAGGACTACAATTTAGTTTACAAACAATGCTTTCATCGTGCGTTTCATTCTGGGCATTTGTTAGACTTACAAAAAATCAGATATAGATTGCTTAATTTCGTTTTACAATTGTTTGCTTTGCTTTGTTTTGTTTGCTTTTGTTTATCGTTTCATTCAGCTTTGTTTTTTTTTTTGTTTTTGTTTTCATTTCATTTTCTTTTTGGACGGAACAATTTACAACATATGATATATGAAACAATGAGAGAGAAAAACGAAAACGAAAACGAACATAATACTTAGATGGCATCTAAAATATAAGCTAATCAGATGAGACACTTATACATAGATACAGATGTGGTTACACAAAACTTACAAACGAAATTAAACAGACTTACACAGAAAACGAAAGAAGACAAAATACGCGTTTAGTGGCTATAAGTATGATTTGCTAATGGAATGAAGTAGCTCTTGGGTGCTATGATATATATATATATATTCGTATAGTATCCGTATGTATTGATAAAAAAATGAATATATGCAGGTGCCGATACATATTGAAGTTAACCCAACCAACGATTACAGTATCCTTGCACAATTTCTAAACCATTTCTGGCTGCAATCTTCTCAGTCTGCAGACTTTTAAGATTGCAGCCAAAAGTAGTTTATAAATTGCGCAAGAATGCTGAAATCATGGGTTGGTTAAGATCGTATGTATTGATAAGAAAAACGAATATATGCAGGTGCCGATACATATTGAAGTTAACCCAACCAACGATTACAGTATCCTTGCACAATTTCTAAACCATTTCTGGCTGCAATCTTCCCAGTCTGCAGACTTTTAAGATTGCAGCCAAAAGTAGTTTAAAAATTGCGCAAGAATGCTGAAATCATGGGTTGGTTAAGATCGTATGTATTGATAAGAAAAACGAATATATGCAGGTGCCGATACATATTGAAGTTAACGAACCAACGATTACAGTATCCTTGCACAATTTCTAAACCATTTCTGGCTGCAATCTTCTCAGTCTGCAGACTTTTAAGATTGCAGCCAAAAGAAGTTTATAAATTGCGCAAGAATGCTGAAATCATGGGTTGGTTATGATCGATGCGAATTATTAATTCGGCTTAGAAAAAGAGCTTGTAAATGTGTGACACACAAGTGAATGAATATATATATATATCGTAATATATATATCTCTATATAGATAGGGGTACATGGGCGGGGAGGACGACTTGGCGTATCCTGGCTACATTACAGTGTGTATGTGTCTAATTTTTCTATTCAAAGTATGGCATTTCAATTTGAATTTGAAGTAATTTTGCACTTGTTCCTCTTCTCGTTGGTAATAAATACAATAATGATAATCACAAGACAAGATAATAATAATAATCATAATAATAATAATGATAATAAATATGCACGTACGCTATAAATATGGTAAATTTGTTATATAAAGCTTGGATCGCTCGGTAATATCATATAATATTTGGTTACACATTTCCCCATACTATTTTTGTGATTCTGTTGGGTTCGATTCGGTTTTTGGGGATTCTGTTCTGCTTTTAGCTTCCTTTTCAATACAATCGATCAAATAAAGCTCATAAGCGTCTATATATTATTTGTGATGTGTTTGTTTGTGTGTTTTTCCTTTTCTAGTTTAGATTTATGATTGGCATTAGGTATTAGGCTTCAATTACCAACTTATAAAGCGACGTTTTCTGTTCAAGTTACCATTTTAGATAATGTAGCAGTTGGGGTTATCTATTCGATTTCTTTTTTTTTTTCTTTAAATTTAGCGCGCGCCATATTATCATAAATATATATATATATATATATATATATTTATATTTGTATATAGCTTGTATATTATTCAGTTTTTAAGTTCTAGCGACTTTTGGGAGCGGTGCCCGGCACATTTTGGAAACTCTCCTCCTTTTCTCTATTTCTCTCTGTCGCTATCTCCCTCACTTTCACATTTCCTCTATCTCTATCTCACATTCACTGGCATTCACGCATTCAGACACACTCAAGCAGACACAACAGAGAGAAGCTATAGGATATGCAAGATCGGGCCGAGATCGTTTGAATATAGAGAAGTAGAATCGAATCAGACGGATAGGACATGCGACATTATCTAAAGATGCGTGTGTGTGTGTGTGAAGCGAAGAGAATGGGAAAAAATGTTTGGATTAAGCTATGCTTTGATGGCTGATCCTTAACTACATCATAGTACTTATGCAGATACTGATACAGATACAGTTACAGAGATATAGATAGTTGTATACTATATATGGTTGCCCGTCGATTCCGATTGTGTCAGGCACGCGCTCCTCGAGATACACTTGGATTATCTCCACGTTTACATATGCCTATAGGTGTATGCATTAATATGAACTTAGCCTAGCAATAAATATGTTTCTCCTTCAACTTATTTCCATTTCCTTGCCTATAAGCTTTCTGCTCGGCTGACGACGTATTTCGTTTCCTTCAGGGTTTCTATTTTGACCTCAGCATGGATTGTTATTGGAGTAGGAGGGGCGGCCTAAAGGTTTTTGTTTAGAGTACTGAGGGATATATTGCTAGAATTGCGTTTAGATCTGTGCCAGGTTAACGTCTAGAACTGCCTGCTCTCGATATCCAACGCTCCATCGTAGGCATCGAATGCTTTATCGGCTTCTTCAACTTCTCCATCAGCCATCAGGGGCAATGTTGTTGGCTTGATTGCGGTGATTGCTGTGGCCGTTGCCACTCCGGCGACCAGCTCGTCTAGCAGCTGCATCTGCTTGCGAGTGGGCGAGGTTAAGGGCGTGGCAACCGTCTGATATCGGTGATGGAACGTGGACAATATCTCGCGAATTTTAGCAATGATCTCCTGTACTCAGGCATTTGACTCCTGCGGAATACCCAAATTAGAAGTTCATTAGAAAATCATGCTCGAAACAAGTCAAGCCGAATATATTTTAGCTCTTAGGTAATACTACTCTATACTCTTTACATATCTAACAAAAACCCCAGTGCTACTTACCTTTAGGTTGTCAAAGTAGTGCATGATCTGCTCGTAATCCATGTCGAGATCGTCCAGCCCTAGGCGCTCTCCAGGGGCTACAGACTCATCGACGGTGGCCGAGAACATTGGATTGCCCACCACGGTGGCCCGCTTGACACGTGACGATTTCGTGGTGGGCTCCTGGCTAACAGCGCTGGGCGGTAGCCGCATGATCTCGTCCGTTCCATTCGAGTTTGCTGCGTCCCCAGTGCTGCTGGCCATGCTGTGGTTTTCTGTTGAAAGCCAATTATCGTTAGAAGGTTTCCCATAGACAAATATAAACGAATGTTATCCTACCTTTAGCTTTGCCCTGGACTGCTGCTGTGGACGGCGTTGCCGGCGATGACGCGGCTGCTTTGGTAACTCTCTTTGGTGTCAGCGAATCGAATTGAAACGCGTTTTTCTGGTGCGGATTCGTGTACTCCACCAGTTTTTCGGCGTTGTGCAGCTCCTCATGCTGCTGCTGCTGCTGCTGTTGCTGTTGCTTAATTTTGTTGTGCGCCGCCTTAATCAGTGGCTCCTGGCTGAAGTTGTGGCTGTGGCTATGACTGCGCTGATGTTGGTGCTGATGGGGATGTCCATGGGAATGAGCCAGCGGATGAGGGCGTTCTGGAGGTGGTTGCTGATTCGGCTGCTGGGCCGGCTGCTGGTTGGCATTGTTGTCGCTGCCCTGCAAATGCTCACGTTTGTAAAGTTGGCTGTGACGCTTGTTGGCCGCATCCTGAAATATATGAACAACCAAATTAGGTACCTACTAGTTCATAAATTATAGCCTTAAACATACCTTTACAGATCCTGAACTAGGAACAGGCTGGACCGGTAGACATGCCCGGGCGCCCACATTTCTATGCGGTGGAACTGGTGGCTTATAATCCAAGGCATTATCCTTGCGCTCATTGGCCAGATAGCTGCAAAAAATATATATATATGTATATCGAAATTAGAGTGGGCTGATATGATATATCTCGCACAATACTTACTGGTCGGCATGCTGCTTATTCAGATTTGAGGCCGGTACAATATGTGTCTGAAGCTTGGGCTGTTGGTCAAAGGAGCTCACACGCCGTCCATTATCGTAGTTAACAATGGGATTGCTAGTAATGCGCATGCGGGAATCTGCTTCAAACATATATATTCAAAATTAGGATTTCCTAATAAGATTCACACAGATCAAATATTACCTCGTGGATTCAGGTGCGTATTGGTTTCAGCTACAATCGACTGACGGTCGATGGTGGACCGCCCCAGCCAGACCCAATCGTGGGCATTCGTGGTCGACTCCTTCAAGCGTACATCCCGGAAGCCACCCGATGCTCCTGAACCATTGCCCTTGCCTGCCGACAGAGGATCTAATCCAGATTCAATCATTGCTGGCCGGAATTTGGATGCATAGACCACGCAAGAGATCACAAACACAATAATAGCAAAGCAGAAGGCCGTCAGCAGGACGTACATGCCCAGTTCCATGGTCGTCATGGTACCAGTGCCACCAATGCCTTTGCCATGATGGCCCTTATGGACCGCCTGGATGCTGCCACGATGTTGACGCGCCTGGACAGTTGGTTCATACAGCTGGCTGGAATCTCGCAAAGGAATGCCCACTAAAAACAGGATTTACTTCAGATTAGTTTGACAGGATAAGGACAATAAGGGTTGCACCCACCTATAATATCAGCCAAATCACCAGTCTGCCTATAATTCTTTCTTTCCCTGCCAACAGTGCCATCATTTTGGATCGCCTCCTGCTTGCTCACAATATCCACATTGTTGAAATCAACTTCAATGGATGCCAATGCACTGGCCAGCGGTGCTGCATTTGATTTGTTTTGCTTGGTGCTGCTCAAGGTGCCACGTCGCTGACGACACTCCTCGGAGAGTAAAAGAGTCACGCGCAGCAAGTTTCCATTGCCCTCACCCACAGCAATGACGCGCGGATGATGAGAGGCTAGCATTGGGGCAAATGCCACTACTTCGGTATCCAAACTCTCTACCAGCAGGAAGTAGTCCTCCACGGCAATATCTCTGTAAGAATAATCAAGCATACATTAAAATTATGATTTAATATATTTCTTTTAAGAAATAAGCATATAAAGTGAACTTACCGCAACGGAGTCTTAGAGCCATCGGTGAACTCCAGATCGATATCAAGTAGTCCCTCCTGATACTGAGCAGTCAGTTTGTGGGTGACAGAAGTCTCCGCCAGATAGCCGTTTTCAATTGTGTTGTCTGGACTGATGGTTAGCTGCAGGCCCGAAATGACGCGCACGATAAGCTTGGAAAGGTTAACTTTGTCACTGCCCACGCGGATTTCCTTTGTGCCAATTACTCGACCCGTGATAGGTGACAAAACCTGAACGTCGGTGCGCCCCATGGATTTGCCCTGCAGAATTCGACCCTTTAACGAAGCGATCTTGGGATCGGCCACCCGAAGAAGTGGTTGCACCAGATCGGTAACCCTTAAGCCTGTCCGTCTTGATATAAAGTAGCTGGTACGCCCTGAGTTCTGTTTGGATTCGAAAAAATCAATGTATTTCAATATATGTTGGATTTTAAAAAGACATCAAATTCTTACCTGATCCACTGCAAGAAATTTGGCATACACCTCCACTGGACTCTGCTGATAACGAGCGCGACAAACCGTCTTATCTGCCCCCAGATTGTTGTAATAGTTGGTTCCATGCTGACCCCAAACGTAGGATCTCTTCTTTCTCCTCCGCGACTGCTTGTTGTGGCTGAAATTTTATTAGAGTGCAATTTTTAAGAAATGCATATCACAAAATTAAATATATAGACTTGAAAAATGATACTCTTCTTTAACGTTAACCCTTAATCATAATTAAATAGTAGGAAGTTAGATGGGAATAAGGACTCACAGATAGTGATTGTCATCGGTTACTTTCCATCCTTTGATTTGGGAGAGACGGAAATCGGATATGTAGACCTCCAACGGAAATTCGGGCATCCATACGATGAACTTGGCCACGCCCACATAGGTACCATACTTAACGATAACCGATGCATTGGAAGACCCGCGCTGCTCGGAACCATCCACATATACAGAACTGCAGGATGAGGAAACCTAAAAGGAATTGATTAGTTATTAATCAATAAATTATGTAATCTATATTCCCAGGCGAACCTTGATCACACTTTCGTCTTCTGCATGACAGGAGCTTTGAAGCGTCACATCGGCCACTTTTCCCGCCTGTGAAACGATGAACACCTTCATGGCCTGGGCTACTTGCCTACCAGTAAGCACAGCGGTATTCATAACCTCCCAGATCTTGGCCATCGGAAGCACCGCCTGAATGTCATCCTTGTTGATTTCCAGTTTGGCTATCAGTCGCTTTTTGTTGTCATCGGGTATTACAAGTTCTCCGGAGTCCTTGTCCTTGGGCGTGTCGTAAACATGGGTCACAGACCACACAATCTTGCCACCATCCACAATGTCATTGGTGTCCTCGGCCACCTCAAGCAGCCACGAGAATACCTCAAATACCTCGCTGGTTAAGTTGCCTCCAGTTTCCAGGCTAGTCTCGACTTCTTTACGGAAAGCAGTAACGCGAGCGGTTGTGTGTTTGGGATTTTCCTTCTCCACAGAGACACTCCACTGATCTGTGGAGGCAGTGGCGCCCAGAATCCTTAAGCCTGCCTTAACACGGGCTCTCACTGTGAAGGCCGCCACCCGCTGATCGGGATATTGGTGCAGGAAAACGGGCACATGAAGACGGGACAGTGGATACAACGGATGTTGTGGTAACAGGAAAGTCACGGCATCATCGGCGCGCAGCATACGATAAGGAGTCCTGGCGGCCAACAAGGGCACCTGCGCGAAAGTGGTCAGTGGTTGGATCTGTACCTTGGGCTCGCATTGCTCGGGGTTCCTCAAAGGAGGTTCAAATACACTGTAGGAGACCTGGGCGTATCGCTGTGGCACTTTGGGTGGCGCCTGGCCACTGCCATCTTGTGTGGGCGCTGGGAGCTGTGGCCACCACCCAAGGGGCACCACCACCTCGGCCACACAGACACCATCCTCGCCTTCAGGCATGCAGCGTCCCTTGAGGGGCTGCTCTGAGCCCATAGCTACGTGAAGAAGTACGCATACTTTCTGGCGCTGCAAATGACCACCAGGATCGGCTCCGGCATGAAACAGTACCCGGAGCACGGGAGCATCCTGCGAAACGCTGGAGCGCACCAAATGCGCGGAAATATCCAGGTGCATATTGGGTTGCTGCAGCTCAAGTAGCGTGGCATTCTGGGGATGTACATTCTAGTTTAATAGGGGTATTAATTGGCTAGCATTAAAGGGCTACTCACGCTCATGTAATCGCCCGATTGGCTGTCCATCGTGTCCGGCACAATGTAGCGGGCTGGCACCGTCTGTTTGGTGGAAAAGGGTCCGTAGCTGGCGCGAATAGACACCGGCTGAGTGGTCTCTACCACGGTGAATCTGTCCAGGGATAACACGGAATCGTAGGAGGATCGTTGCCGTAGAGGCGGCACCGCAGATGATGTCTGCACGTTGGCGATTTCCGGTGTCACAGGTGGTTGGCGGGCGTGCTTCAGGAAGAAACCGCTGTCTGGCGCCTCGAAATGCACCTCCACGGAGCCTGGTGGAGATTGGTAGCGGATTTTCAAAGGGTTTGGAGAAAATTAATAACAGAATTAATTGATTTTTGATGGGCAGTAGATATAACTATGTGTTTTCTTTAAGGCGGTGGTCATCTGCTCCTCCTATTTTACTCCTCCCCTTTTATTAACAACTTCTCGCTCCCCCTCTTTCTTGTTTTTGTAGCAACCCCCATTGTTTTCATTTTTTATTTGTTACTTACATGTCAACGACAGCTGCAATGCAATTAGCAGGCAGAATCTCAACATCATGTTCATGTACAGGAATCCGAAATATAGCGAAATCCTGAAATCCTGTGGCAACCCACTCGTTAATTTGCTAATTAACTAAGTTCGTTCTCTCGTTATTTTCAATGTTCTCTCTCGTTGGGCTTATTTAACCGTTATTCCGTTAATCGTGCCAAAAGTTAACCGTTAATTCGCTTTGGCAAGCACTTTTCGTCCTTTTTTCTCGCTCAGCAATCCGCAGCACATCCTTTATTGATTCTTTCCAGTGTGCCCACACACCAACACACACCCACAGCCAACACACACTCACACGCTGCTCACACACACAGCCGTGGGCCACCTCGCACACAGATACACATGCACATGCAGGTATAGACACATCTTCTCCTGCGAATCGCGCAGTTTGAATTTAATTGGACTCTGCCAAATGATTCGATTTTCACTCGACTGGCTTTTCACGCGCTGGCAAGAACCTGCTAAATATATTGACGCTCTAACGCATGCCTCTTTTCATTCAGGTCTCAGAATTTTACACAAATAACGAACATTTCCAAATAATTTTCGATGTGGTGTGCCCATACATTTAATACATAATAACACCATAATAATAATAATAGTACTACCATATAATAGTCGATAACAGTTTTATATCGAGTAATTTAGCTTTGGCAATTCAATCGGACGACCAAACCCATCAAAAAGCGCGCAATTCAAATTATTTTTTACCTTTAGCTTATTATTATCATTCCATTCTGTCATATAAAAACAATTTTAAGCGAAAAAAATTTATCTTAGCGGGCAAACCGTTGTGGCCTATATTAAGTTCAGAAAGTTTAATCCGTTGTTTAACTCCATTTAGCAATTTTAAAAGCTAATATGAAATTAACTCTTCTATTATTCATGTTATTTGCCCTATGTAAACGAAAGGAAACAATATTAGTCGTTAGTTTCTAAATCAGACATATATGCCACACGAATTAAATATATTTAATTTTTTTTTCGTAATGGTGAGTGTACTAGATGTGTATGGAATACACTTAGTCAAGCCTAGAACCATTGCACATTTTGAGTATTGCCTGATATACCCAGTATACTAAATATAAAATACTAAAATTATACAATCGGTTCGAGGCTTGGCTAAGTGGCATTATTTAGCTTATTTAAACAGTATACACGCTGGTCATCTTACTCTTCTCAGCTCTGAACAATAAGTGATTTTATAAAAGACAAAAGTGCAGCTCGACGAAAGTTGCATTGAAGAAACTCCGAAAGTATTAAACACTCGACATTCGGCAGCTGTAAGTATGAATTAAAGTTGGAATACACATGGAGGACATCAGGAAATGGAAATTGAAAAGGGCGCTGCCCTTTGTTTGTGAGAGTGTGTGTATGAGTCAGCGTCGGCACCGCGCAAAAGAAAACAATTGTTTTTACGGTTAATAAACATCTACTTTTTCATGTGAAAGTAGTAAATCAATAGAGTCACAAACATTTGGCACTTCTTCAAATTTTATATGAATTTGGGGCCTTCAGCTGCTGTATTTTTCAAGCCTTTTAAGGCTTTAATTGAAACTGCATGTGTATGTGTGTGTAAATGTTTTCAATGAGCCAAATTTGTGTGTTTTTGTTTTTGTTAACCGCAGTTCAACAGCATTGATAAACACCCATACACACATGTACGCACTCGCAGAGAGAGCTAAACTCCCATACGTGTCATTTTCGTTTGCGCGAGTGACTCAGAGAAGCTGCGCATGTGTGCGTGCATGAGTCGTACACAGTATACACTCGATACAATGGGCCAGTATCAATGTAAAAAGGAAGTTCACGTCCAGTTTTCAGTTGGATAATTAACTATGTAGTAAATCACAACAGCCTTTAGAATGTTATATTCAAAATATTCATACTTAAATTTTTTAAAGTGTCCAGTATAGCGAATGCCAGCTGTTTGTTGACACAGTTTGTTTGGAGAGCAATGAAAATCGGTTTCAGCGGAATCCACTGCAATATGTCTATATATAGCCATAAATACATACCCGGCCAACGAAATGCTAATGTGAGTCGTTTTTCGTTTTCAGATCCACGCCGCACACACATCACTCCAGCGCAATCCACTGGTTCCACTAGCTCCGACGGCTTAATTTAGCTCCATTAGCTTTACTAGATCCACAATCCAATAACCATGTCATCCCGAAAGACCGCTGGACGTCGCGCCACCACCAAGAAGCGTGCCCAACGCGCCACCTCCAATGTCTTTGCCATGTTCGATCAGGCACAGATCGCCGAATTCAAGGAGGCCTTCAACATGATCGACCAGAACCGAGATGGCTTTGTCGAGAAGGAGGATCTCCATGATATGTTGGCATCGCTTGGAAAAAACCCAACGGACGACTACCTCGACGGCATGATGAACGAGGCACCCGGGCCCATTAACTTCACCATGTTCCTTACGCTCTTCGGTGAGCGACTCCAGGGTACAGATCCTGAGGATGTGATCAAGAACGCCTTTGGCTGCTTCGATGAGGAGAACATGGGTGTCCTGCCCGAGGATCGCCTGAGGGAGCTGCTAACCACCATGGGTGATCGGTTCACAGATGAGGATGTAAGTAAAACTTTGTAATTTCGTTATTTTATACGATTGTTGATTTAAGAGATTTATGTTAGAATATTTTGGACTTTTTATTTGTTTATTTCATTTGAAATATTTATATTTACCTTGTTCATTTGCTCAACACCTCTCCTTAATAGTGTTCACGATTTTGTTGATACTTCGAGAGTAATTGTTGACATTTAAAATCTATGCCAAGGCTATTTTATTTTAATGGAAACGTTGAACTCACTAAAAAGTAAAAAGTAATGTAAGCATTAGTGTTACTAAAAAGAGTATAAATGCTATGAAAATCTTAATTTTTGTAGGTTTTATATCTGGATAAAATATTAATTGGAATTCATTCTTATTATTCTCTTAGGTGGACGAAATGTATCGGGAAGCGCCTATCAAGAACGGCCTGTTTGATTATCTGGAGTTCACTCGCATTCTCAAGCACGGTGCCAAGGACAAGGATGAGCAGTAAGATCGCCAGGAATCGATCACTTAGCCAGCTGCCTCTCCAATCAGCCTGTCCAAACTATACATTTTCATGAGTTTCGTTTTGATAATTTAATATATATATATATTTTTTTTTTGCTTTCGCGCCTTCTGTTCTTTGAATCCTGAAATTCCTGTACTTACCTGTGCATTTAAATTAAACGAAAAGTTAGCCAGCACAAGCGAATGTTATGTACGATATTGTAGTGTGTGGAGTTAGAGCCCGATAACACCATTTTCCCGAAAAAAAAACCCTTTCATAAGTATTAACTCATTGAATATACATATATTTACCTATATACAAATACATACTTATACAAGAATGTGGCAATAAAAGTTTGTTTTTCTTACACTCCAACGTGCGCATGTTTGCCTCGACAAAATTCGTCATCTAAAAACAACTGATCAAACATGTGCATGTATGGAATAACCCCGTAATGATAACTAATATCATATAGTTTGATTTTGATAAAAGAAAACATCTTCGATTTCTGAAGTTAGTCAAGGTTGCTTGAAACTTGTAAACTGACTAATAAGTTGAGCTCGCGAGGTCCACAAAACTCATATCTTATCGTGCGCCTTGGATTCCCAGGTATTTGAGTCACTCTTTTTTTTCTCCGAATACATATCTTTGATGACGTCAGGACAAAGAAAAGCAAACATTAGAAACAAACGATCTTTTAATGCCTATTACAATTTCATTTTTGGAGAATTTATTTAAAATATCAAAAATCAGTAAGATACATGGCTTAAAGCTCAAAACACTCAGCAGTGTAATAGGTATTACAAAAATTTGGACAATTATTTATTTAGAAAAAAAAAGACAGGGATAAGCACACTTCTCGAAGGACAAAGATTACAAGCCAGACAAAGAGGCGTCTACAGACTAAGCGTATTCTATGTACAAACAAGGCGCTAAGACTAAAAATTAAAAATTAATGGCCTCTGCAGCAGGATCGAACACAGCCCTCGGAGATTACTCCACTTTCTTGGCCACCGGAGCGGTGTCGAAGCGGCCCTTCCCGCTTGACCTGGCCCGATAGGCATCCCTCACCTGGTTGATCACATTGGCAAAGAGTATGGTGCCGAAAAAGACCAGGATGGTGCCCACCCAATGGTTAAGGGTAAAGGGATTCCGGAAATAGATGATAGAGAACAGCAGCGAGACGAACTTGCGCAGGGTGACAACCAGAGTGACGGTTAACGAGGCACATTCGGTGGTCAGGACATAGACCGCACTGATGCAAACATACTGAGTAATCACGTTGCAAAGGAGGTAGAACAGCATCAGCGGGAACTTCCACTCCAGACCAATGGCTCCGAGTAGAGGAACCGCCACAGGTTCCGATGACCACGCAATGCCAAAGTGTTGGACGATATTGCCTGCCATTATTAGAAATCCGGGCAGGGGCAGCATGTGCGTGAAGAACAACGCCTCGCTGGGATGTTTACCGTACTTCTTGTATATTACCTCCTGGTATATGCCCATATAGGCGGTAACTAGCAAAGCGATCGTGAGCAAACCAATGCCCACTGACCACCAGAAGAAGTCCGAGTAGGATGTGTCCACTTTAAGGCTGTGGTGTGTGTTATCCTTGACATCACCGCTGGAAACTAAGGTGCACAGTATAATGCCTGCCGTGATCATGGCCACGGAGCTGTACTGCCGGAGGTTATAGCGTTTCTTTAGCAACACTATGCCCATGATCATGTTGGCCATCAATGATCCGCTGCGGAAGATCATGTGCAGTGGCATGGGTATATTAAAGTTGAAGGCATAGTTATTGCATACGTTTGCCCCAAAGAACAGGGCCACCAGGATAACATAGTCCTTGAGCGCAATCTTTGGACGCACCGTAAAGAACTTGGATGTAAAGACGAGTCCCTCCAGTGCTATGAATAGGAATTGTGCAAAAGTGATTAGGTTTCCGGCTCCCGGATCAATCTGGATGATCAGCTCCAAGAAGACAACGTTGCTGCAACAGCCGATAAAGACGAACAGCATGCCCAGCAGGGCCTTCAGATTCAAAGCCATATCTAAAAGGTAAGAGTTAAGAAGATAAGATAGACTTTTAAAAAAATATACACCAATTTAATAGATCTAATGTCTATAATTCTAATAATATTAAATACCAGTAGCTTTTAAAGAACTATTTTCACGGTGTTGGATTATACTTTTGCGTTTATGATCATTTTAATGGGGGTCAAGCAGATATGTGACAATTATATTTTATGGTTTGCTTTTTATTGTCTAAGCTCACTTAAAGGGTTTAAAGGCGAAACGTTAATGGAATATTAAATATTATTAGCACGAAATCGTTTACAGCAGACATTCAAACAAGCGATTCATATTCCTAGATCTGTTTTGATTTATCAAGTATTTTGTTAAGTGTATTTCCTAATTTTATCTCTCATGTAAAACATTCTGTTACATCAGCTATTTTCAAGGGGAAAATGACTACTGTTGACTTCGCTTTGTATAACAACGAATACTAATTAAAAAACAGGCGAAACATTGTTCTGATTATGTTAATTTGATAGGTGATAAAATTGATTTGTTAATTAGTATTATTACATTTTTGATTTTAGTGGTGAAATTCGGTTGGGGCACGTAGCACCTAAATAATTAATAATAATTGATGTATGCTAAGCACAAGCTGATACCAAAATAACTATATATGTAGATATATGCTTAGAAAGTGGAATACATTAACATAATTAATAGTTCTTTTGAAGCTGACCATTAACTGATTTTATAATAATATTTTATTGACCATGAAATTAAATTATCACAAGATGCTTTACTTGAATATTAAGTGATCGTTAAAAAGTCTGTGGGGTATTTTGCACTGTTTATTATTTTTAGTATTACTGAGATCATTTTAATGAGATATTCGGATTGTAAAATTGTCATTATACGTTCAGTTTGCGTGCCAAGCAGTTTTTATAATCTATAGATCTTTTATTGTTTCATGTACTGATCGCCATATGTTATAGTGATCAAATGATCATATGATGATTTATATTTTCAAACATTACCTTCTTGGATCTCGAGTACTAAAGATTAGTTGATGATCTCTGATTGCTATTCCGATATTTGTATGTGAAAATAGTGTACCTTTTATAATACAATATTTATACACTGTCCCAAAGTTTTAACGATCTTAAGAGATCACTGCTTTCAAAAGATTATATTCAACTACTTCTAAGGTCTAAGGGTAAGTGCTTGTGGGAGTGAAATCGCTGCCCTTTCAGCATTAGTCGGCAAATCGGTCGATTGTCACGTTGCCGATAAGAATTACGCTGATTTTTTGGGTAGACTGGCAATCGTAATCGCTATCACTTACCTTCGCAATGGGAGGTATTCTAATCCGCGGGAGAAACGAGATACAGATGCTAGTTAATCCGGTTTGGTTCGGGGATCTCGATATGTTTTGTTTCGTGTCGCTGGCGGAAAGGGAGGTCAAGAATCAAGAGTTAAGATTGATTATATCAGTATAAAACACACACATAAATACTATCTCACTTACGGGTTAATATAATAAGAATATACACCAACACCAACCTGCGAATCAATTATCTCGCTCTCTCTCTATACCTCTTTCGCTCGCTCTTCGCATTCTGTTCGCAGCGCGACCTTCACCGTTTTTCTATCTCTGTCTATGGGCTCTCCTTGGAATGCTGCTTACCGTTTGTTAGGCGCATTGGAACTGCGGATATTTTTTTTGGTAGCTCGCTAATAACTGTTAACAGCTTGATTACAATCTTATTGTTTTGTTGTAGTTCGTTCTAGTTGTTACCGCGTGCTGTTGTTGTTGAACAGCTGAAATTCGCTGGTGTAGTGTGACCACCTTATGGTAGCTGATGAAATGCCATCAGATGAAATGGTGCATCAGCTTTAAGCTCATGTCGATAGCGATTGTTCCGCAAATCGCCTATCGAATTTAAATATTGTAGCTTGTTGCCTATTTACCTTTACACTCTTAAATTCTTGATATTAAAAGTAAACAAAGACACAGTATAGACAAAGAAGATGTTAATAACCCCTATTGCGGTGGTGATAACATTTCAAAGTGGCTTTTATGATAAGTAAAATATCGTATATCATTCTATGGTTCCCTAAACTTATACCTCAATAAATTTCTATCTCTTCTCAAATAGTGTTTTATATTTAGCAACCCCGCCAACACATTAATTTAAATATCCATTAACCCCTTGATGACGGGAATACGTTGTTTAACAGCCGGCTGAGATAAGAGGAATAATCGGAGTTTCTTATCTGCCGAAATGCATAATCTAGTCATATCCGCGATCTCAGTGGCCCAGTAAAATAATTTGCTTATAAGATATGTATCGTAATTTCGCTCTTGGCCCTGCACTTGACTCGAAGCCTTCGTTTTTGGCCAAGATCGCGATGTTTTGGCAGTTGGATTTCGACCACGGTCCCATTATGAGGGCCTTTCAATTGAGCTTGTTTCTCCTCGTTGGATTTTTTACAAGTTCTCTACAGGTAAAAAATATATTTGAATTTAAAACAATATAAGAAAGTCTTGAAGTCTGGAAGTGTTCAACATGGCGTGTACTTGATATGCGATGTGCTTTACAAGACGTATACTTGATATGTAATAGTTGAGGATCAGTGAAATTTCAATGGTTTTACGATTTTTTAAAAATATATATTGGAAAGATCTAATAATAATATTCTTATATTTTTTCTGATTAGCTTTCTAAGCCGGAAGATCCGACCTACTGGGCAGCGGTGGTGGAACATAGCGAGGCGGAGGGCACTTCTGCCCGTGATCGCGTTATATTTGCATCGGATTCCTTTCAGAAGATCATCAAAGAAGCCGGCGATGTTGATATTATCGTATTCCCCGAGCACGTACTGAACAGTCGGGCTACAGCGTCGTTTGTGCCCCATGAATCGCAAAATATAACGCCCTGCTATCAGACGGACTATGAACTCTTCCTCATTGAGTTGTCCTGCTCAGCAAGATCTAGTGCTGTTTACGTGGTTATAAATTTGGTGGAGAAAGAACTGTGTGCCAATGGAGCTGGTTCCGATACCCTCAATCCCTGTCCTTTAACGGGTGTTCGGTACTTTAACACCAATGTGGTCTTTGATCGAAAGGGCAAGGTAATATCACGATATAGGAAAACTCATCTGTGGCGTCACGAGTACGTTGAACAGTCAGTGCTTCGAACTCCTGATATATCCATCTTTACAACCGATTTTGGTGTAACGTTTGGCCATTTCATCTGCTTTGATATGTTATTCTACGATCCGGCATTGAAATTGGTAAGGGAATATAATATCACGGATATTATATACCCTACTTACTGGTTCTCAGAACTGCCATTCCTGGGAGCAGTGCAACTCCAAGAGGGTTGGGCATTTGCCAATGATGTTAACCTTTTGGCAGCGGATGCTAGTAGGCCTGATGGACGAACAACCGGATCTGGAATATATGCAGGACGTGGTGGAAGGCTAGTGGCTGAGATTTTCGAAGAGCCCACCATTAAGCTATTGATATCGGAGGTTCCGAAGAAAGAACATGGTCAATTGGCTCCAAGTTTCACGCCACTTTTCACACCACAGCTAAAAACTCAAAGAGTGACTGGAGTGGCCACCTACAGGGATTACAATGTGGATATATTCAAAAGTGAATTGTTGGAAGAGAACTTCTTGAGTGTGGAAAGGCAGCTGTGTCACGGCAGCTTTTGCTGTTCCTTTACCATCGCAAGGAAGTTAACTGATGCCACTGGCAATGAGGTGATCTCCAATGATGCTCAGTCCTATCGCTATAGAATAGCCGCATATTGGGGCAACGAAACCACTGTAATCCGAGTGGATCGCACTGAGCAGGCCACTTGTGCCCTGTTTGCCTGCACAGATGAGGATGTCACCAGTTGTGGTTACATCTTTCCCAAGTTCCAGGAAGTAATCAATAAGCATCATTTCACAGAGCTAAGAATTTCCGGCAATTTCCCGGCTGCTCCACGTGGACGTCGTTTGATCATGCCCAGCACTTTGAATGCTCAGTTCTTGCCTGTTGCTGTTTCGGACTATGATTGGTCTGAATCACCAGAAGCCTCTGTATATCCAAATAGATCTATTTTTGTCGATATGAAACTGTTGAAGGCGCAGAACGACCTTCTTACCTTTGCCATTTGGGCCAACTATTACACGGAACTGCCCAGCACTCACAATATGGATTACCTGAATCCAGATTTCAGTAGTCCCACGTTTTCGGCTTCTTCAGGTCTTGTAGTATCCAGTATTTTATGGGTCTTATGCTCATTGTTCGTCATACTGTAGATTACATTTTCTCTTTAAGCCTTCAATTAATTCTGTGACTCATATTTTATTTTTATCCATATCTTTTTTTTTGTATTCAGATAAGGCTTTGTGCTCATACAACAAAAGTTGTAATAATTTTAAAGCTTTTTATTAACTGAATTCTCAGCTGGATTTTAATATTTGTTTGCTATAAAAATGAACAGTTTCCAATTTAAATAAGCCAATTTTATTATATGAGTTTGAGTTTAGTACTTAATGGGTTAAAGTGTGCAATAAAAAACGTACTGCGTCAGCTTGTAAAAAAATATAACTGCCAAATCTATATCTTCTTTATAATGTTATACACATGACGGCTTTTATAAAACATATGAGACTTTAATTATGGCCTAAATAAAAGCGAAATTGGTCAATAAAATGCAGCAAAAGATTAAGATTCCTTAAAATTGGTAATGTGAAATAATTTTGTTCTTAATATTAGACGAAAAAAGTTCTTTAAGAATTCCAAAATCGTTAAAAATCTTGAAAAATTTCAGCCATTTTCTTGGAACTTGAAAAACGAGATTTAGTAATACCTTTTTCTAGGTAAAATGTTTTCTGCGCAATTTCTGCTGGTCAAAGCATAAACAGGAACAGCAATTTCCCTAGAATTGCAATGTATCCCATGGGATATATCAATGTGAATCTAATTTCGTAGAATTTTACCAGCTCAAAGATGGAAGTAAAAATCAAACTTTTAAAGGCATTTCCTTAGAATTGACCGTTACTTTTTGTGGCATTCGTTAGTCTCCAAAAGGAGTCGGGAATTATTTGAATGAACGGGAAAATGCTCCCACCGCCCTTATCGCCCACCCAGCCGACGACGACCTTGTGGAGATTTGCTTCCAGCGCAGGCGCTTCAAGGATCTCTGCTGGCGTTGTTTGCATTTCCAACAGGTAGCGACGTCGTCGTCGTCGTTGTCGTTGCTGTTGCCGTTGCTGTTGCCGTCCATGCAACAGTGACCGCCGTTTATAATGAGCCAAGGACGATGATGAGGGAAGGGTGGAGGGTTCTGCGGGTGGGCGGCAGCAAGCCCAACCACCCACCACCCATACACACGCATCAATGGCAGTGACAGTGTGGCATCTTCAATGACAACGACGACGACGACTTCTCCGCAGGAGAATCCTGCTGGACAGGATTCACGCTGTGACTTTCCGTGCGATTTAACATCATTTGCTTGCTGATGCCACACCGCCCTGAAACCACGCCTACAGCCCTGCCCCCTGACCTTCCGTCCTCCGAAAAAAAATAAAATATAAAAATGAAGATACTTCGAAAAGGTGTCCAGCAAGAGGGGTAAAAGTTATCCCAAGCGAAAGGACTGCTGAAAAGTCAAATGGCTTAGAACAAATCCTCAAAATAATAAATGTAAGTACAAAGTACTAATATATTTAATATATTCTCCTTGAACCACGACTGTCTTTTTATAGCCAAGTTAAGTTTATTCTGATTTCATCCCAAAAAGTAAAAGTATTTTTCCCACAACTTAGTCAATAATGCTCCGAATATGGAATGTAATACCTCGTTGAGCATGTTTTCTAATTCTAAACAAAACTGCATTCAAGGTTGAAAATTTAAAAGTTTTGTCATTTTTCTCAAAAAAAGATGATGTTACCTCTTATCCAAAATGAAAAATTACGTTTAGCCTGATTTCACCCCCAAAATCTCAGTATTTTGTTTATAACTAAGCCAAAAATGGTCCAAATAATGAATGTAATACCTCTTAGGGCTCGTAACTTGATTGCCATGATTCCCAATTGGTTTGCATTCAAATCTGGGAAACTTCATTTTGGGCCCATTTTTGAAAATTTTGATGATGGTACGAGTGATAGGGGTTGTTAGAAACGGCAACAAAACTGTGCTCTCTGCTGCCAAAAGACGAATACTTGATTTTGGGCACAAAAAAAAAACAGTAAGAAATGTTGAAATTTTCTGTCAAAAGTCGTAATCCTGATATTATGCCAAGACAATCCAAATTTAGGCTCCAAAGTATGGAAATAAATGGTTTTCGATAGACTTATACCGGTAACGGCTCTCGCCCTCCTCGTCCTTATTTCCCACCTTTATTTTTTCATTAAGCTCGCCCCCTTTTGCTATTCGTTTCGATACCCAGGCCTTGGTAAACATTTTTTTTTTGCACAAAAATCAAAAACTTTGAGCGCTCTCTCTCGGCTTGCCCGCTTTTTAGGGGGTGGCACCATGGGTGGTTTTGTTTGGGGCTTGAAGCAGGGTGATACAGGGCGGTGGGATGCTGCTGTGGCACCTGCCACTTGAAAATTCCACACGGCTTCTGTTACATTTTGATTTATTTGCTGAAATTTATTGTTAAAGTGAATGGAGGCACAAAGTTGCCAGTGAAAGGGAAGGCGGGGCTCGAGAGTGGGTGGCTGGGCTGGGCTGGGCTGGGTTATGTATAACAGGTTGTGAAGTGTAGGTGAAGGCCGCCGTCGCGCCCATAAAATATCTGGCCATGCGAGAGTGTATGGCTTCTTTTTCAGCCGATTTCCTGTTGGTTCAAAACCCGGCCTGTCCCCGCCATCAATCGAGTTCTCCGGACGAGGAAGGATTCTCAATCAGAATCAGTTCCAGCCATTGACACACACACACGCACATACGTATGGTCTCCGCATTAGCAACTAACCACATTCGGAACACGGAACCCTATCAAATCTCACTCTTCTGGCCACACAGAGAACAAATTTGGCGAATTTTGGCACAAATGGGTGAGTAGATATGACCTAAAATAAGCTTTAGATTAAGCTGCTCTTTCTATAATTCATAAACTCTCTAGCATTTAGTTAGTAATTTGATTATATTCTCTGTATTATTTAATCAAACTCGATCTGAAAAGGGTTTCTTATATTGTAACTCTTAGTAAATATTTTCTGGCTGTGCCACCTTCATCGCCAGTGCCTCAGTCACTTCCCTGAGGTCTCAGGCAGAACTGATTGAATTGAATATCAGTTTTCAGCTGCCAGAGCACCCCAGGTTGCCACGCCCCTTGTTCCCTTCTTCACCAGTTCATCCCCCAAAATGCTCCTTTACCGTTCTGGCTTGCCATTTGAATTTGAATGGAAATGATTTCACTTGATTTTCATATTTTTATTATGTTCCCTTCGGGCTTACCTGCCACAAACACACACACACACACAGACGCATATCTTACCATCTCACTTGCACATTGTGAGGCCCTCTCTCTTGCTCATTCGGGCGCCTTTTTGACTTTATTAAAATGTATTGTAAACATGACTCTGAGGGGTAGTATTTTACCTTATTTAGCCGGCTTACCTGGCCACAACTTTCGGTCGCTGTCAGAATGCAATTCTCTAATTGCCGGCAGATTTTGGTAAGCATTTGCGGCTTTTAAGTGACCAAAGAATTCAGCAATTCTGCCTATTCCCCTAGGCAATGTTTTTAATCAATTGGTAGTTTAGCTTGACAGGAAATAATTCTTTAATGCTAAAAGTTGTAGAGTAACCTTGACTAAGTATTAGAACATTGCAATCTTTACCTTATTCTGTATACAATCTAACCAGCAACCGGCCTCATTATCCCTCGACCTGCCTTTGTTGGGGGCGCTGCCATTGATTTGGAAGTCTCAATTTTTTTGGCCACTTGTCCACGCAGCCAGGACTCAGCCACCCTGCTCAGGTATATAAACTATATATATATATATATCCCAACGAGTATATATATATATGCATGCAGATGTATAATTTAGCAGGAGTGGGGCAAGCCGGGGCCGAAACAAAAATATAAATAAGAAAGAATATGATTACGTATACGCAACGTGGAACTTCTTTAACTTCAAGTGCGTGTGTTTGTGTGTGCCTGCCTGGTCATTACGCACGTAGCATTTGTATGAATGGAAAACCCACCCCACCCTACAGTTCCCCTCCCCCCTCCCCCTCCTACCACACTCCAATTTTCCTTGCCGCATCGCTGAGCACATAAAAATAAATCAAGTTTTTCTTCATTTCCTTTGCTGTTCGTCGACTTTTCCTCTCCTCCCCCCCTTGACTTGTTGTTTGTGCTCTTGCCATATGCCTTTTTTAAGATTTTAACTTTATGTGGCATACTTATGGGTGGGGAAAATGCGAACGGGCGAACGCACAGGTGGAAAAGCTAACGATGCCGCGCTGACCGCGTGCGTCCTTAACGCGTTTTTTATGCTAAAACTAAATGAAGTCAAACGCGGTCAGGAAACGTAGAAAACAGGTAACAGGCACAAAAAAAAAAAACCAACAGGTAACAGGTAACAGTTAAGAGCAACAGAACATAAACGACAACACACATACGGTGATAAAAGCGACGGGGAAAACTAATATCTAAAAAAGAAAATAATAAAATTGCAAGGGCCACAGCCGCAGACAAGCGTTTAACAACGGCAACAGGCTACATAACCACAAGTGGTAGCAATATCGACAAAAAAAGAACAGTAACTGAAAACTGAAAAATACACAAAAAAAGAATTTTAGTTAAGGAATTGCAAAATGCATTTTCAAAGCTGTGACAGAGCATAACCTTTAAAGTTAAGGAAATGGAAAATTTATTCTTTCAGTTCTTAGTTCCTTACTTTGGAAGTTCTTTAATAGTTTATTTATCAATTAAGATACACTGCCACCCTTTCTCCTCAGTGTAGACAAAAAAACAAAAGAAAGCATCCAAAAGCAACTGTAAAAAAAACGCGTAAAACCGAGCACAACAGCCGCAGCGATACCAATAAAAGTATTTATATAACCGCACCGCCAACAGACAACAAAATCTCAATTAATTTACATAAAACCACAAAAAAAAAACAAACGACGACACATTAACCATAACCAGAAGCAACAGGCAATGACAATTTAAGGGGAAATGGAAAATGCCAGCACTAAAAAAATGCTAAAAAAAAGATATGTTGATCGCAGATCAACTATTAATCACTTTTTTGCAGCTACAATAAGTGGCATCAAAAATTAATAATAAAAAGCAAAACTCAGACTGGAAGTTAGTGAAGAAAAATCAAACATTAAAGACTATAAAGTGTATTTACAAAAAATTATATAAATATTTAAAAAAAAAACTTTGAAATGGCTAACAAAAAAAACCTAAAAAGCAAACCAATAAAATGTTCAAACGTTTTTCCTATGGAAACTCTAGCGGGAAACTGGGAAATCCCCCTCCTGCTAAAGGATATGTATAATATGAAATATTATTATTTAAGTTAATCATACATTTTTGTTGCGTCCATCAAATGTGTGGAAATCGAAATGAAAAGCGTTTTATTG